CAACCCTCCCCCCGAAGGAAAAATACATTCAGAATCGACTTCGACATGACCCCCACTAGCCCCAAACCGCTCAGCCAACCACGACTGCTGCTGAGCACCACCATTGCGCTTCTAATGAGATGCACTTCAACTGGAACGTTCTACCACCCACCTGGGGGCACCAGGAGCATAACCTGCGACCCTGTTCTTTGCCCGCACGCCTGCCGACGCTGTCCCCCCTCGTTCCGCATCCCGCGAATGCTCTCGCGCTGCTGCGAAGCGCAAACCTGTTCCGCGATGATGCCCTGGACCAGTGCGCAGCACAGCAGCATCGCAGGCATGTCCATTTCGATCGGCAGCAGCAGCTCGTGCCCTTCCCCGTCGGGGTAAAGGTCACGAAAGCAAGCTGGCGGGTGAGGCCACTGGGACAGAATCAGCTCGGCGCGGAGGGTCCATTCTTCATTTCCAAGCAGTTGCACGACGTAGGGTACGCTCTGTCCGATGGGCACGGGGCTATTCTCTCTGACTATACACGCCTGCTGGCTACGCCCTGTTACCTAGCAAAGTCCCGATGTGGGGTTGTTCTTGTTGTGAAGGACGGACTGGAATATGTGACGATGCATTCAGCCCCGCCGCGGCATGGACCCTGCCATCGACACACCCACCAGCGTATCACCTCTTATCAGTCATGCTCGAGTATGCTATGTGCACATGTATGGTGCTCAGACTTGTATGAATCTAGCCATTAACCCTGCCTTCATAGAGTGCCTCTGTAGAGTGCCGCTGCACCTCTGGGATTGGTCCCAGTGAGCGCAGGCGGTTGCAACAATCGCATCAGATCAATGGAAGTCAGGAAGAGGCGTCAGGCAGCCATTCTTTCGGTGCAACCCGGCTGTACTGTACTGCCATATCCAACCAACCACACACAATCACAACGCATCCAAATGTCTAGCACGGAGAGCAAGCTACCATATACGCTGCGCAATAGCGGGCCTGATCATCATATCGCCGCGACCCGTCTGTACTCAGCGGTCGGTGCAGCGCAGGGAAGATCGCAGAACATAGGGCACGATTAAGTATCCCTTCCAGTTGAGCCCAACAATGGCAGACGATGCAACACGAGAAGCAGGCGCGGTTTGGGCCCCATTCGCCGACACGCTTTACCCTCCTCCGCCGTCGATCTACACCAAGTATACGCGACGCAACCTAGCTCTGCTGCAGGATCTACGCGAGAAAATCGCGAAGGACCTGCGCAGCAGCCAACTTTCATCAGCGGATGAAGTGTCGGCGGCAAGCGCAAGGGATGTGTGGCTACGTCTCGACCCGCCCGCGAGGATAAAGAGGCAGAATGCCTTGCTGAAGAGCGCAAAGCACAAGTCGAAAAAACCCAGTGGCGAAGATGGCGATGAGAAAATGACTTTTACCGCAGATTCAACGCAAAATTTAGAAGCAAGAACCGATGAGGAACAAGGGCAAGCATCAACCGCTGCCGCCTACGACGATGATGGTGATGGTGTGGATGATGATGAAGATCCGCTGCCGGATTTTGATTTGCAACTTGAGCTGCAACCCCCGCGATTGGACTGGATCGAGGAGGAAGGCGATTACTTCTGCTTTTCGGAGCGCTGGCCGGTGAGAATTCTAACCAATGCTTTGCATCGGAAGAGCGAGCCCAGCGCGCTAATGTTGTATCACATCTTTCTCTGCGCCCACGCACGATTTCTATCCAGATACACGAGCGACTGCTACCACTGTCGGCGCACCCGGGAATGATCCAGTTATATCCCGAAGGCAGCATAGGTGAGAGAGCACCGGAGCGAGCATGTCTGCATGCATCAATCGTTCCGATGCACGCCAGAACTGATCATATTCCTGCAATTGCTGTTTCCGTGTATCCTCAACTCAGACCGCAAAGCCACTCTGCATACCCTCCTACGCACCCTCCTTGCCACTTACTTCAAACTCATCACCATACTACAATCACCCCCTCGAGACTATCTCGCATCCGTGCCAGACCCACATGCGCCGCCGTCGCAAATTTGGAAATCCGAAATGTTGGACCTGAGCGCTTTCATCCGGACGACGACGATCAACATGCAACATCTGCTGAACGAGATGCGCCCGGCACAAGCCGTAGAGGGCCTGCGCGAGCTCATGAAGGAACAGCTGGAGAGGCGCAGGCAGGAGACGAGTGCAATACGCAGGTGTGTGTCCGAGCTCACGCCTTCGAGACTTGCTGAGCTGCAAGGCACAATGCAGAAGGAAAAAGGTATTCTGACTTCTGCATTCTTTCGCCGTACAGCAAATGCACAGAGGTTCACGCCAATATCGCAGCGATGCGCGTGGCTCTCTCATCTGAGGAGCCAGTCGCGACTGGCGCCATCACGTCGAAATAGGACAAAACTAGGCGCATTTGGACGGGGAGTTGCCCTAGGCAGAAGGCTCTTTGCGCAAAATATTAGAAATACAATGTGGTGGGTGGGTGTGCTTGCAATGGTGCAAAGGAAAGAAGCGTCGCCTTTGTGTGCTGGCGATCTCGGCGAAGGATGTCTCACTTTCCGTGGTACGTAACGGGTGCCAGTCGGCGCTTGAGCCGGCGCCCAGCGGACTGGCGAACTGAGACAGGGCCATCTATTCAATCGCGCTCCCGTTCGAACTGCAGCCATCGGATGTCCGGTAGCCAGCCCCCTCCACGTGTATAGCTGGGATGCTTGGTGCGCATCGCCATTAAGGCATCGTCCGTCACGCGTGGGTCCCACGGCAGGCTCTTGGGGTACGTGCCTTGCAGGCCCACTCCATCGGGTGGGCACCAGTTCAACAGCCCCGCGATCTCCGGAGCGGAGGAGAAGTAAGGGTGGAAGCGCCTCGCGGGGTTTCGCGATTTTCGCTTAGCCTTTGACATGCGATGCCGTAACATGATGCGAGAGAGCGTGAGCGCAATGTGACTTTGTTGCTCCAAATCAGACCATTGACTCACGAGCAGCTCCCCATGGCACCCATACATGTCTCTTTCAAAGAGTTTATACCCGTCTTGCTGCTGTAGAGTAGTCCGGGAGTCAACACATCTTGTGCATCAGAAAGCCCTCGGTTCGAACGCACCTCATGCTTGTACTTTTCGATTTTGTCCCCCTCGTCGTCGATGCCAATGTAAGCAAAGCGCTTGTGGCCTAGGACATATGACCTCGAGGGCCATCGTATTGCCTTAGCATGCAGATTTTCAAATCGCTCCTTCTTCATACCGAACCCAACGACGGTGATGCGCTCGGGGAAAGCGCCAGTATACTCGCGGAAGCGCGCGACGGAGAAAAGCAGGTTCTCGTAGCTGTCCAGCGCGAACGTCTCGGTAGTCATGCGTATCTGCTCCAGGCCGGGCGCAGCGGCGATGGCTTCGTTCTGGATAGCGCCGGACCCGATGGCATTCACATCGATGTGCCCTGCACCGTCCTTGTCATCGTCAAAGAAGGACTTGACGATCGCCTCATGATCACCGATCGTCTTGAGTGTGAAACTTGACCCCGGGAGTACCGGGAGGTCCATGCCGGAGGAGAGCGCCAGCGAGAAATATGACTCGGCTTCGGTTTGGAGCGATTGCGAGCGAGTCTGGCCACTGGGTACAAGAAGATGGAGGAATACCGGGATGGGATCGATCGCTCTTTCGGGCGGCACCGCTCGCAGAGGGGAGCCGCAGCAGACATTGGACTCACCCGCTGAAGACGAGCAGAGCCCGTTTGTCCTTGTTTGCAATCTGGATCCCCCTCTCGATGTGCTTCCAAAATGTCTTAACCGATCCTCCTCGCTGGTACTGTTCCAAGACCCAGTTGTCGTCGCTCATCCTCCCGGCAAAATTGGTGCCAGCTGTGTGAAGTGAGAGCGTGGAGTCCTCATGTCAGCATCACGTCTGCTCTGTCCACTCGGGACAAAAATCAGGCTGGACGCACCCCATATTGCGTGCCCGACGACGAGGACCAGGTGGTTGAGCTTGTCTGTGCCCTTGATGGGCTCCGGCAGGGTGATTTGAAGCGCCTTGGGTGTGCTGCTGAAGAAAGTGTCCCAGCGGGCAGGTGTGCGGCCCAGCGGGTCGCTCGAGAAAGCCCAGTGCTTAATGTTGAGCACGACACTGAGCGATGTGAGCGCCATCAGCAGCAGGATCCCCAGATTGGTCACGCGCGAGCGCTGCGCCAGGCGTTGACGCCATGGCAGCGCCGACGCGCTGCCCAGTAGAGTGATGCCAGGGGCAGAGGATGCGTTGGCTGAGCCGTGAGCGCTGCGCACCAGGCTTGTTTTGCGCGCTGCTTTGGAGAGAAAGCTAGATGAGCTCGCTTTTGACATGATTGTCGGCTGCGGCCGCTCCGAACCATGCGTCGGTGTGTTTAGAGGGCCAAGTGGTCGCAAGTAGCGGTTCGACCTGTTGCAGGCGTGAGGCTGCTTCGAGGCGCTAAGCGAAGCCCTGCTGTTCGCTCGTCGCTCTCGATGCCCTTATTCCCCGCTTTGTACAGGTGAGCAGGTTGGGTGAGCGATGGATGCGAGTGGAAAGGGTGGTAACGAGCAAAAGCGCAGTTTCATCTCCAGTCAAACCTTTCAAAAAACCCATCTGGCTCTTCTTGGCGGCTCTGGGAGGACTGGATGTACCCTTTAACTAGCTTGCTGCGTGTAACCTCATCGCAACACGAACAAACACAGGGAGACAGAGAGCGATATGAAGCACGCCAAAAGGCGGGAGGAGAAGGTAGACAGATACAAAGTGTCGCTTTATATATTCTGCTGTGATACTACGGTTTGAACCAATCTTGTTTATTACACACGCTCTCGCTTGTTGTTCTTCTTCGCATACACCCGCTCTGACCATCAGCGGAGCGGTCGGCGTCGTCGCTCGATCAAACAGTTGAAAGGAGGCCTCTAAGAAAGGAGACAGCACGCGAGACGTGCTACGCATCACGCCCGCAGCCGCGGTCTTCTGAGGCCTGCAGAACGCAAACGCAAGCATGCAAAGACACCGGAGTCCGGAGGGAGGGGGAGGGAAAAGGGGAGAGGAAATATAGCAGCGGTGGCGGCGGTGGTAGTCTTGGTCGCAACAACGGCAGTGGCCCGGCGGCGCGTCCAGCAGAGAGCCGCAGGAGGAGGACGCGGGCAGAGTAGAGCACTTGGGCCGACGTCTGGCTCGCCATGTCTCATCGGAGGCAGTGTCCAGCATCCTGCCTGGCGGCGCTTTCGCATCAGGTCATGGTGCTAAAGTACTTGATGACTGGCTCTGCTTGGAAAACTTCCGGGAGCGCGCTGCATGCAGACAGGCAGGCAGGTCACACAAAAGTATGACAAGGTCAGTCACCGCGCGTCGTCTCGACCCCAGTGTGCGCATTTGCCTCGCGTCGCCTCACGCCGCAACTCACTCGACTTGAGGGTAGAACTTGTCGTCCTTCTGCACAAAGAACCTCGGCTTGTACGTCTCCCCATTCTCCTCGCGCTCCTTGTTGGCCTTGCGTTGCCGCTCCTCGATGGTGGTCTTGTGCTCAGTGGCCTTGTCGAGGTTCTTTTCCTTGATGCCCTCGGTCACCTTGCTCCACAGGCGCCTGCTCTCGTTCTCCTCCTGTTCCGCCTCGGGCCGGACGATCTTGTCGGCGATGCTCTCGCCCTTGACGTCGAACAGGACGTCTGTGTCGCCCGTGGCGATGTGCTTGTAGTCCAGCTGGTCCGACCACTTGCCGCTGAGCTCGCCGACGGCCTTGCCCTTGTGTGTGACCTTGCCGCCGATGGCGTTGTATGTGCCAGAAAAGTAACCCTTGGTCTTGAACTCAATGTCGCACGCCATGCCCGTCGTCGGGTTCTCCACCTTGCTGTGGTCGCCCAGCTCGAGGACCATCTTGCCGAAGAGGATACCCCGGGCGTAAATGTTCGGCATTCCGATCACGTACTCATTGTCCTCTGGTCTGTCTAGCAGCGCAATCCGGCTCTCGCCCTGCATGATTGTCGCGGCGGAATTGCCGAGGAACCTGGACTTCGGCTTGAGCTCGCCGTATACCAGCATGTTGTTCTCCGGTGAGCAGTAGAAGTAGGCGCTAATTGGTGGGTGGTGGGATACTGGGCGTTCCGATCGGAAGGGGCGACAAGAGCGTCAGCGCATGTCCGCAAACTGAAGGAACGGCATTCCGGCAGCCGCCACTACTCACCCTGTTCTGCAATATAGTACCCTTTCGATCCATCCGCATAGCTGTACGAGCAGTGGAACCACTCGCCAAGGACTGGATTGTATCTGCACAGGCAAATGTCGAGAAGAGAGAGAGAGAGGAGAAGGGGGGGGGGTTCAGCCCATCGCAAGTCCGATCAACACTACCAGGCTCCAAGCAGTCCACACCCACGGCTTCTTGACACCCTTGGGCTTGATATGCCACCCGGACAGGTAGTACTTTGTGATCTGCACAAACCGCTTCTCTGGGTCCTCGATCTTACCGACTCCAAAGATCAAGTCTGCGTGACTCATAAAATCCTGCGCACGCGGAGCGAAGCGTGTGCAGGCCAGACGAGACCAACGGGCAGAGTAGTAAGGTTCAGCAACGACGCGTCGAGGGCCAAGCGGTAGCGAAGCAGGAGGGAGGCTGGGAAACGCACAGTGATCCGTTCGAGCATGCTCCTCGGCTCGAGCACAAAGGTGGGCAGTGTAACTTTGTGCAGGTCCATCCCGATGCGCAGCTGGCTGATCAGACTTAGAAGGATGTTCCCGCTTTCCTCATCGAGCTCCTCGGTATCGTCGGCATTGGCGCCTTCTGGCGCCCGGTCCTCCTTGCCAGGCTTGACGGCGGCGCCTAGTGCTCCAGAGACGGAATCGAGGAGACCCATGGTTGCGTTGTGTTGCTATGTATGTGGTTGCAGACGGAGCGATTCGCGGGGCCCTGCCGTGTATGCGTGCGTCGAATGTACGTGCCGCCTCAGTGGCCAGTGGCAATCCCTTTTTTTCTCTTTCCCTCTGGATCGGCTGTGCTGCATCAGGCAGAAGCGAACCGAGAGATATGAACGGTCCGACGGAGAAGAGATGTATAACATGAGGGGCAAGGGCGCGAGGGCGAGTGCGAAAGCGAAAGAAAGACCGTCAGCGTGGGTTCCAGTACCAATACCGAATCGAAAAGAGTCTTTCCATCGCCAGTAATCGATGACCAGCTTCTTCAGGAAAAACAGACTCGCGCTATCTACGCCAGGATCAAGGTTGCGACACCCGATTCCACCACGAGACTCGTACTCATTCCGGCCCTTGGCCAAGCTGGCATTGCGCATACTTTCCGCCCTTTTTGCAAACCCTGTGGGAATGTGAGCCTTACGTGGCGCATTCGTATTTCGTGCGCGGAGGGGACGTGAAATGGCCCCCCTCCTTCTCCTCCTGTGACCAGTCCAGCATAGCCCCTCCATCCCGTGCACGCCCAACAGACGCGCTTGACTGGTCGTTGGCGCTTGTCGGCCGGTGCACTCACCAGATGGCAGATAGAGACGGGTGACCAACCAACCCCTCTCGGCAGATGTGGGGTGGGGGGTGGAGTGAGAGAGAGAGAGAGGAGCGCGGCTTGTCACGATGCTGTGTATGCGGTGATGCTTTCCCGTGTACCAGCAATCTGCAGGCGATGGCTCGAGGTGTGAACGGGGTAGTATACATGGAATAGGTGGGACAGGAGGGAGAGAGAGGGCTGTCCGCCCACCCACACGCAGAACACTACTATGCGATCGGAACTGCAGTCTATCTGTCTGTCACATGGCTCCACACTGGGGCGGTTAGACTGTGACCCGGCGATGCCGATGACCAAGCAGCACGCCCCTGGAGAGACACCCACCCATACCGTCGGGGCCGCGCGCTGCTAAAAATAATAATAATAAAGATCTTGTGTTAGCACCTGCGGCATACCCTACATAAAGCTCGCTCGCAGCAGCAAACGAGAGATGGGCGTGAACGAGAACGAGATGCGCGCCTGGCCTTTGCCAGCGCCTGCAATCGAGGCGCAGTCTCTGCAAGCTGTTGCTGGAGGACTGAGGGGGAGGGTTGGGATCCTCGAGAAGACTTGGTCTGGTGTGGGAGTGAGGTGCGCATCAGCGATGTTCTCTGTTCTACGGTGCGTAGCGCCGGCGGCCGTCTGCGGGTGTGTAAGAGTGTGAGACAGATGACGTGCCCGCCGCCGCGTCCCAGTTGAACCAGCCTGTGGCCGCTGGCCAGACAGGCGGCCCGGCGTAGTGAGAGATACTGCTCATCGCGCACCAGAAAGAGACCCGAACATTAAATCCATCGTCATCATCTCCACATTCGCCCAGGCAGCCAAATATCTGTGCAGTACACACACACACACACAGAGCAACGATGGCGAGCAATATGGATACACGCAACAAATGGTGTTGCGTGGGGTCTGCAAAGGTCGGGGATCGGGTCCGTTCATGCTTGGATAGAGTACAATGAAAGTGGAGAGAGTCGAGTCGGAGGCTGAGAGTGGGGAAAGGAAACAAGAGGAAGGCGAGGGGGGGTCGAGAGAAAAATGGGACGCGGGGTAAGGGAAAAATGGACTAGCTCCCCAAAGGCGCCTGCTTGCAAGACCAGGGCGGGCGGGTGCTTGGAAAAGATTCTTTGTGTTCACGACGCACACTCGCGAATGCGTCGTCATCGGAGAGTGAACGGCGTGGGGCGGCTGCCTATCAGGTCGTCCAGTGATATCTTGCGAGCGGGCGGCGCATGGCCTGTATGTCGCTCGCTCCGGCCCAGTCGGACAAGAGAAAAAGAGAGAGAAATGGAACATGTTGACGACGGGCGGGCTGGACAGCATCATCGGGACCCGCTGTGGGTACCGCCGTCGAAATGTAGAACAAGGATGGCAAAACAGAGTGTCCATTGATTGTGCGTCTCGTCTTAGACAAAAATGTGGCGTGGTGCGTGTTCGGTCGTGGGAAGGTAGATGGCTTCCGAATTGAATGAATGTATAGCGGATATTCTTTTGTCTGTCTGCTGCTAGTAGTGTTGCCGAGGCCGAGAGGGAACGTGTATTCTACAGTCGTACGGTGTATAGAGGAAAAGATGAAGCCGGACAGGGCCCAAGGGCGAGGCGAAGCGAGCCATGCCTACGCGAAAAGGATATCGACGCCCTGAGCGTCCTAGCCACCTTGTGCCGTCCCTCGTCCTCTTGCCCGTTTGAGGGGGAAGGAATTTTGGAAAACATTGCTTGTGCGCGCATGTGGGTGCGAGGCGAGAGACAGAGGAGGATTTGCTTGCTCTTTTAAATTATGCTTTCAAGAACTTTGAGCGGGGACCAAATCATGCATTGTAAGGGTGGGGGCGGAGATGGCGAGAGTACCTGTAGGAAGGCAAAGGGGGAAATAATCTGCTTGCTGCTCCAAAGTGTGCAGCGCCGCGCCCCGTGCTCAGACGAAGAACTGCGTAAAGATGCGCGACGACGGCGCGACCTGCATCTCCTCCATCTTGAATGTGTTCAGCTCCTGGTAAAACATAAGAATAAATAACATAAAAGTGTCAAAGGAAAAGGAAAGGACACAGAGACATCAGCCAACATGCAGGTACTTGGGTCCGCGAAGGAAGAGAAAAATGCGAACGCACCTCCTTGATACGCTGAGCAAGCAGCGGCGTCAACCGGTTGCACGTCGCCAGCTCGCCACGGCGGTCATACACGTGCGAGGGCCACGTCGAGTGGTACACGTGGGTCTCAGCAAACGTCAGTCGCTTCCGCCGCTGCGGTGGGCCCGCGACAGAGCGATGCTGCGCGTACGCGCCGTCCGCACCAATGTTGGACATTAGCGACAGCTGTGGCATCGATGAGTTCGGATGGTGCCCGATCGATGGGCCGCCGCTTGGCGGCGCGCCGGCGCCGATGCCAATGCCTCCGCCAAGCGTCTGGGCGCGTTGGTGTCCGCGCGTTGTTGTTGCAGTCGGGTGCAGCGGCGACGCGGGGCGCGCGACGCCGTCCATGCGGTCGACGCCCGCGGCCGTGTTGGACATCTGCGACATGAGCGGCGCGCCGGCGGACGGGCCGTTGGGTGCGTCGTACGAGTTGGCGCGCATGCGCATCCACGGCTTGCCCGTCTCGGCCGCGATGATGTCCGACGCGACGGGTTGCTTGAGAATGCCCTTGGGCGCTTTGATGCGTGACGCGCTTGCGCGCGAACGTTCGATGCCCTCGCCCCAGTGCCGCAAGCTGTCCGTCTCCGACTCGTCTGCCGAGTCCACGGCGCCGCTGCCGCCGCCGGCGCTGCCAGGCATGTGCGGCGGCTCGAGCTCCTCCTCGTCAAACGCGGCATCGAATGCCTGTTGGTCATCAAGCGTGTATACACCAGGCGGGGGCATGCCGACACCTGTGGCGGCGTATTGGCCGTACGCCTGCTGCCCATGCTGGAGGTGCTGCTGCTGCGCATCGTCACGATCGTGCAGGTCGTCGGTAATGGGCGTCGTCTCGAGGCCGGTGAGTTCCTGCGTGTCGCTCGAGCTGCCCATGCCGATCTTCTTGCGCCAGCCGCCGGCGCGCTTGCTTTTGAGCCTGGCCTTCTCTTTCTCGATCATCTTTTGCCGGTCGCCCTGCATGTCGTCCGTAGTCTTTGTCTTCGCCTTGGTCGTGGCGCTGCTGAACGCGGCGGACGCTTCGGTGTCGCGTTGGCGCTGCGCCTGCGCGGCCGCCTCGGCGCGTGCCTCGGCCTCTTGCATCTGGCGCACATAGTACGCGGCAGGAGTCATACCGCCTTCGAGCTGCGCGGACACCGCGCCGCCGGCGCTGGCATCCGACTCGGCCGTGGCATGCGAGATGAACGTGCTGGCCGCGGCGCTCTTCTTGCTCTTGGACTTCTTAGACTTGCTGCCGGCAGCACCCGCGCCCGGAGAGCTATTGCCGCTGGCGCCGAGCCTGTCGTCGGCGTCGCGGTCCTTGTCCTTGTTGAATATGTTGGTGATGCCCATGAGGTTGCTCTTGCGCGCCAGCTTGCCCAGGCCGCCGACCTTGCGCAGCATCATCGACGCGCTCGAGACGGTCGACGATATTGAGAGCTTGGATGAGAGCGAGATGTTGTCCGTTGACGAATTGAACTTGCGGTTGAACAGGCTGCGCCGCCCCTCGCCGCCGCCAGCAATGGGCGGGCGCGCGCTGCGCTTCGAGGTGATCGATGCGCCGGACGACGCCAGGTTCGCCGGCACGTTGTCCGGAGTCCGCGGCGGTGACGAGGAGCGCGTAGACCCTGTCGAGCCGACGTGCGTGCCGGCCGGCGAGGTGGAGATCACCGGCTGCTGCTGCTGCTGCAAGACACGGCCGTGCACATGATGCACTTGCTGACGCCCGTTCGGCGCCATTTCTGCCAACACGCCAACGCCGGCGCCGTTTGCGCTTGGACCAGGCGTTTGCGTGTTCTGTATACCCTCCAGCGTCGAGAAGGATAGCGCTCTGCGCAGCTTGCCGAATGATGGTGTCTTCTTGTGCGCATTTGCGGCGGACTCCTCCACCGGCGCTACAGCAACAACAGCGACGGACGAAAGACCTGCGCCGCCCGCTGGAGAGCTGCTGGAGTGCAGGTGGTCGGGACAAAGCGGCGAGGGCTTCTTCATCGCTGCAGCAGGCGTGGGTGTCGTGCAGCCCGACGCGGAAGCTTGACCGCTGCCACCGCCGCTGCCGGCCGAGTGCTGCGAGCCTTGCGACGAGAGCGACTCGTCGCGGCCGTGCCTGCCGTTGAGTGCCGGTGGCGGCCGCCGTTCGATGTTGAACTGCTTGACGGGAGCGGCGGTGCCATTGGCCAACAGTGCTGACGGTGCTTTCTGCCGTTGCTGCTGCTGCCGAGAGGTATTGAGGGACGACGAGCTGGGCGACTTGTTCATCGCCGCTGCCGCTGGGCTGGTCTGGATACCGAGGGGGCTCTTCGAGTAGTTGTGTGCGTGTGCTTGACTTGCGCCTGCCCCGCGGAGCGACGATGCGGCCGCGGCCGAGTACGACGTCGGGAGTAGCGGCTCTGTTTCTGCCGATGAGGAGCCGGAGCCGAGGCTGCCTTTGCGCAGCTGGTCCAGCAGCGCATCTGAGCCGTTCGACGGTGAGCCGTTACTCGACGTTCGCGCTCTCGACGGGTGTGTCACACCTGCGCCTGCTCCTCCGACCCCGGTCCCGGCGGCGGCCAGGTCTGCGAGGTGTGGCAGTGACGGAAAAGCACCACCGCTAGCGCTGGCGCTAGCTTGAGAGCTGGACGGACCAGTGTCCGAGCCACGCGCCGTGCGGCGGTAGGGGTGATAGCCTGTTCCCTGGCTGCTGGACGCCGAGGACGAGCCGGACGAGTGTGGGTGCGAGGACGACGGCGCAGCGCCAGAGGAGGAGGACGAGGAGGATGGGGCGGAAAGAAGAAGGTTGCTCTTGAGCGTCGCAGCAAAGGAGTGCTGCCCCGGGTATGCAGCTTGTGCAAAAGTGTCGTTGTACGTCAGCGGGCCGGGCAGCTGGGGACCCGACGCCGTTCGTCGACGATTAGGAGGGTGCGGGTCATGCTGCATAGGCTTGGAAGCGGCCTGCACGCCAACGCCTTTGTGGAAAAGATGTTGCTGCTGTGCTTGCTGGTGCTGTGCTAACATTTGCTGATACTGCATCCATTGGAACTGCGCTTGAGGACCTGCGGCTTGGGGTGGGAATAGCAGAGGCGTATGTACCCCGTACGCCAACGCACCGTTGAAGGCGGGCTGCGGACAACAACCGAACGCACGAATGAGCAAAAGCATGAGCCTGTACTGCATCGTCATCCATGCGGGACGATGCATCGCCGAAGGTTCCACTCACCTGACTGCTGAACACGCTAAGTGGGGGGATCTGCGGTGCCGCAGAGGCACCGAGAGTGGCCGACATGGCAGCAGGCGCCGTTGCCGATCGCGACGGCTGATGTATCGCCGGCTCGGAAGCGGACGGCGGAGGCTGCGAGCTGGCTGCAGCAGCGTAAGATCTGCCGTTGGTGAGCGCGCTGCTCACGCCTGGCGGGGGGTTTCCGTTGAGAGAAGTTCCCGCAAGCGTCAGCAAGCTCTCGTCTCTGTTACTGGCAGCAGCAGCGGCGGCACCACCGGGCGAGTTGGATGTTATCTTCGCCTTGGCAGTGTTTGGCGAGCTGCTATAGCTTTTGCTTTCCTTTGCCGTACTGGGGGACGCCGAAGAGGTGGCAGGGAACGGCGAGAGGCTGTTTCCCAGGGAAGCGTTGCGAGCTGTCCGCGCCGCTGCTGGTTCTCCTGTTTCCGAGGTTGGCAACGAGAGCGAGTCGGGAGAAAGCGTCATCTCGTCCAGCAGCGGCGAGGACGGTGGCGGAGACCAATTGAGCGCGAGCGACACCGCCATGTTTCCTTCTATCCGCTCAAACAGGATAAGCACAGCAAAACCAAAAGGGTTGCAACAGCAAATGGAGACAGCGCTGTCAGCGATTGGTCTCTATCACAGCGGAACAAGCCCTGTGTGGATGAACCAACAAGCGAGCCGGCACGCCAGACCGTATGTCAGGACGGAAGCCCGAAAAGAGATCGCCGATGTAGATGAACAGCGCCGGAGCCGCTGTTAGTCCGCAAGCCAGCCCTCTCTGTTGGCGTCGATTATGGCAGGCTCTTCGCTGACGGAAGCCGAAGCGCGCAGTGCCTACAAACGCCACGCCACCCCGAGAACACAGCACCGCAGGCTGACTGTGCCGTGTTTGCTTCTCCTTTCTTCCACTAGCGGCTGCCCAGACCCTTGTGGGCGGTCTTGGTGGAGGGCGAGGCGACTAGGAAGGACTCACAGAGAGCAGGGTGGAAGTTTCCCCCACGAGCGACGAGATGCGCCCAATACGAGATGCGCCCAATACGAGATGGCAGGGTTTGACTTGTGAGCCTTTTCGGAATCTGATGGAAAGGGGGGGAGGGGGAGGCTCGTTCGAAGGCAAGCGCACGGCGGTTCCTCCTGCCCCTCTCGCGGGGTCGAGGTTGAAGAAGAGAGACTAAGGAGCGACCTGCGCTTGATGCCGTTTGTCTGTTTGTCTGTTTGACTGACAGGCTGGCAGACTGTCGGTCCCCTTTTCCCAGGCCTTCTTGAGAGGAGAAGGTGCGGCTGAGTGAGGTGATCGAAAGATGAGTGAATTGAACATGTGTGGGCATGACAAAGGACGCCAGAGCAAGAGAGAACGACGGTGTAGAGAGAGTGTGGCCGCCAACAACCCAACCCCCTCCCTCCCACTGCGGCAGTCTCTCACCCACCCACACACTCTTGTCGGTTTGCGCCGAGTATGCTCTCCGCCTCCTGGGCCCCAAGAAATAGCGCCAAACCAGCCTGACCAAGAAAAGAAAGAATGCCAGCTCGCGGGACCACTGCACAAGCCGCTGTCTCTCTCTTTCGCTCGTTCTCATTTGGCCTCTCGACGTGATCCCAGAGACTTTCTTTGTTTCTAAATGCGGGAAACGCTTGCTTACCTCTTAGGTGCACCTCGCCATTTGCTTGACCGTGTGCAACATCACACTTGACCTGCTGACAGCGTCGCAGATAGAGTGGGTATGAAGCAAAATGGTCCCGCATGCTACAGCTGACAGCTGCACTGGGTACAAATGATTGCGCTGGCTTCGAATGGGGTTCCAAGAAAGCGGCGCCCGAAGGCAGAGAATTGAAAGAAAGAAAGAAAGAAAGAGTGTGGTGTATATTCGAAGCCGAGCCACCAGCACACGAACACGACACGTTCGTTCCACGTCTTCGCGTTTACTTTCAGCATCGGAGGAAAAAGATACCCAGCGGCCTAACCCTCCCCCCTCTTTGGCAGATGCACCCACGGGAGCCTTTCTGTCATCATTCAGCTCGAGCTCTCCGCTGTTGCCAACAGGACCGGTCGCATCGACTTGAAGGCTTTTGAAATAAATGGCAAAGTACGACCGCACGACAGGACCTTCATGCTCTGACGCAGAGTCATGTATCAGCAACAACAAAACTCGCCCCCCTACATATACCAGCCAGCCGATGTCGAGTCGCATCTCGAGGGCAGACTCTCAGTGTAAATAATTGCACTGCAGTGGGAGTCTTTGACGCGCGACTTTTGTACCTTGCAAGTGAATTCTTATATACATCAGCCCGAACAAAAAAGAAAGAAACATTGGCACTCCTCTGATGCAGCGGAGTAGCTGGTCACTCTCACCGCCCTATCTCACTCGCTCTCTGCCAGCCACTAGACGTATCACGATTGCTTAATCCACACTCAGGCAACATTGTAGACTGCACAATTCGATTCAGTAGCAGCACTATCATTATTGATCGCAGGTAGACACCCTCCTTCTTGGTACTTGCACACCATGAGCCAGGCAGAACCCTCGTCACTCCAGAGCTTGGCCGGCAGCCAGCCCACCTGGCGACGAGCATGGATCAGGACGATCAATGATGCACGATGAGCGCAGCAGCCGGAAAGAGCAGGACCCGCCGAGACGTGGTATGGACAAAGGCGCACCGTAGTTCTCGACACACGCTTGCACAGACACCGCTTGTTGCGCCTTTTTCTTTATCTACCCATCAAAGGTATTCTGTAAATTGAGAAAAAAAACTATTGATGACATGTTCATCTCACTCCGCGCCTCATCTTTAAAAGTGCAAACGAAACGAATACAAAAGGAAAGTTAACCGAGAAAAGGGGGGAAGATGCATTCTTCGGTCCGTGCTGCTGCTGCTGCGGCACGCATCATCGCAGCCTCCTAATCTATCAAGCGTGCGCCTCGCCTTCTTCCCTTTCCCCCTCCTCCGCACCAACCCCGCGAGCCATCGCGTCTTGTCCTTCCTCGCGCGCTGCACTTTGACCACCGGCACCGTCAGCATCAACATCCTTTTTCTCGGCGGATGTATCCGCCTTGCCCTCCTCTTGTGCCGCCGTCACCGAAACGACGCATCCGGTCGCATCATCGCCGGTTCCAGGCACGAACTCGCCATCCTCCTCGCCCCCTTCCGGCGCTTCAGCAGAAAGAACATCTGCGGAAGCGGCGGGGGTGGGCGCGTCTGTTGAAGCAGCTGTATCCATCTTTTCGTCAGTCGCTGTCGCGGGATCCGCAGCGTCCTTGTTCGCTTTGACTTTGCCTTCATTTTCGTTCGCAGATGCGGCTTGTGGTGCAGCAGGAGCTTCTGGAGGAGCCACAGCTCCAGCCTCAACCTCAGCCTGCGGAGCTGCGTCCTCGGTTGTCCCCGCTGCTGTATCCTTGGCATCGTCAGTTGCAGCTGGGGCTGCATCTGCTACATTCTCTGCCGCCGGAGGCGAAGGCAAAGCAGCAGGGGAAGCCAGAGCAGAAGCCGAAGCACCATCATTAGCCTCGTCCATCTTGGTGACCCCTTCCATCTCCTTGGCGGAGGCTGTTGCCGCATCGGGTTCGGGTGGTGCCGCTTCGCTTGCAACTTCTTGAACCTCCGAAGCATCCTGAGCATCCGGCGCCGATTCTTCTCCTACTTTTACTGTCCCTGCTCCTGCCTGTGCCCGTACCTGTGCCTCTCCCGTCGCGCCAAGCGATCCTGTCGCTGCCTGCTCCATTGCCACTTCGCCCGCAGTGTCGGCAGGCGGAGTTACGTCTTCCATCGAGACATCCGCCGCTGTGGCTGATGCGGGTGCCGGTGCATTACCACTGCTAGTAGCGTCGAACTCTGTAGCCGACACTGCTGCTTTCGAAGCCTCACCCACTGTCTTGTCGTCTGAGCCGGAAGGAGAGGAATTGCGCGGGCGCTTGTTGCCCTCCACGCCCACCTCTTGCGTTGTCGATGTGTCAACCTCGTCGAGCGACCGCTTGCCTGCCCTCGACGATTGCATAGCATGAGAAGGTTCAGTTTTGTCCCCTGCAGCAACAAGATGCACCGTCCCATTCTGCACTCCTGGAGGTGAATCATGCTTCGTGCTTGGCTCGGCTTCTGCTTCTGATCGAGCAGGCACAGACAACGTCAGCAGGGGTGCTGCGGGGGCAACGCTCGCTGCGCCAGCCAGACCGAGCAGAGCGTTGGCAGCCCCGTCACCATCGTCGTAATCTTCGTCGATGACGCGCGAGTACAGTGGCCTTGGCGCAGCTGCAGTCACAGTCGACGGGGCGCCAGCAGCGCTAGCGAGCGGCTTGTTGCTGCCAGTCGAGTCGTCGCTTCCCGCCGGTGAGGGTTGGCGCGTCGAGTCATCACCATTCGTAGTCGATACAGCTGCAGATTGTGTGGCAGCTGCGGCTGCAGCCTTTTCTGCTGCCGCAGCTCGCTTGGCCGCCGCCGATGTGCGCGGCTTGGGCTTTGCCGTTGGGGGAGGCGAGGATGCTGCTGCTGTTACCGCAGCCACCGCACCGCCTTTACGCTTCTTGCCACCAGCAGGCGATGTGCCTTCGGAAGCAGGAGCCGGAGGGGGAGCCACGGCGGTGCCCTTCTTCCTCGAGCGCGCCTTTGCGGCGCCCATCGTCGGTATAACTGTGCCAGTCTTGCTGGCCGATGCCGCTTTCTCGTCCGATGCAACAGCTATTTCGACGCTCCCATCCGACCGGCGCTGCGGCCGCTTAGACTCGGCGGGCGGCATATCGTGCGGCGTAGACATCGGAGGAGGCAATGATGGCGGTGGGGCGCCGTAGCGCGCATCGTTCCCTGCAGACATTGGGGGCGGCGGCGGCCCATACCTGCTGTCGTACTCGTACGCCTCCCGATCGCGCGGCGGCATGCCGCGCCCGTTCGCATACCCAGACTCGTAGCCTCCCGGTAGCGGTGGTCGGCCATCAAAGTGCGAGTGTGCGGTGTGCGCATGCGCGCGCTCGCGATCCATCTCCACCTCCCGCTCGTACATCTCACGATCCCAACCGGACGGACGGTAGCCGGTGCTGGGTCGTCCGTAGCCCTCGTAGCCCCTCGAAGAAGCAGCGCCTAACGGCGGAGGAGGCAGCGGTGAACCCGCGCGCGACCGGCTGAAGCGAGGCGACGTCTGCGCTACGCCGCGGTACCGGTCGTAATCGCTGTCACCAACTCGGTCTGGTGCAGGACCTAGGGATCTGGGCCCACCTGGCCCAGAGTAGCCCCGATCGTCAAGGCGCGGGACCGCGAGGCCATCGCGTAGTCTGCGATCGCGATTTGGCGGGGAGCCGCCCTGGGGGAGGCTGGCTGGTCCAGGCAAGTCGTGCGCCAGTCCGTCATACGCGCCGTTACCGGCGGCAGCGAGCTGCGGCCCAGCGGACGATGCGCTGTTGCTGCCGCCGCCGTTTCCGCCACTGTGGTTGCTGCCGTTGTTGTTGTTGTACGAGCTCGGCGGGCGTCCAGTCGAGATGGCTGACGGCGGACCACCGGCTTGGTTGTAGTACGCGGTCGGGTGCACGTCCTGCGGCACGGGCGCCGAAGATACTTCTTCACCCTTTGCCTCGGCGTTGCGGAGCAGCAGCAGACGCTGCTGGATGTGTGGGTTGTCCGGGTCGAGCTCGGCGGCGCGCGTGTACGCATCGATCGCGTCGGAGATCTGGTTGTTGCACGACTCGTAAAGGCTACCCAGGTCGAACCAGACTTCGGAGATGTACGGATTGAGGCGGATCGCGCGCGAATACGCATCGAGAGCGTCGCGGAATTGGTTGATCTGGTAGTATAGCACACCGATCGAGCACCAGAACGTCGGATTCTTGCCGTCGCGGTAAACGGCCTGCTGATACGCCTCGTACGCTTTGTTATAGTTCTGCTCGGCCATGTAAGCTCGCCCGAGCAGATACCAGCTCTGCGAGTCGTTTGGATCACTCTCGAGGCTATGCGTGAGGAACTGGACCGCACGGTCCTGGTTTGTGAAGCCGGTGTTCGCCTGGTGGTAGAGCCAGCCGAGCTGCTGCAGCACCTTCGCATGCGTCGGATTCTCTGCCAGAACCTTTTCATATGCCTCCTTGGCCAGAGAGAACTGCGCAGGAAGGTGGGGGTCAAATTTTCGTTAGCCAATTCGCAAATCCCGCAAGCGCCTGAATGCCCTTTTGTTCGGTGGTGACTCACGTCCTTCTGCTGCTCGTATACGTGGCCGATCTGGAACCAGATGTCAATCTCTGTGAGTGGCCGTGGCGGGTCGTTGAGGATATATCGGAAGCATTCCAAGCTAGATGAGAACTTGTTCTGCTGCTTGTAGATGATGCCAAGGCGAAAGTAGATTTCGTTTGCCTTTTCGTAATCTGCACGGGCGGCGAAAAGAGATCGTTGTCAGCACGTGCACATGCGGGAAAACGGCTGAGGACACTGTACTCCGTGCGCTGCGCCTCACCTGGGTCCATGCGAACGACGCTGGCGAATGCCTCCTCTGCATGCTCCAAACTGCCATACCGGTCGTACAGGATGCCGATGCCGTACCACAGCTTTGGCTCCTTGGGGTTGGGCAGGTGATAGAGCGCCTGCTGGTAGGCCGTGTACGCCTTCTGCAGGTCATCCATCATGAGGTAGCAGTGGCCCATGGCGCCCCATGTCTCGCCCTTGTCGGGGACAATGCTGAGCACGTGCTGAAAGTACTCGACCGCCTTATCGAACTGGTCCATCGAACGGTATACGCTCGCGATCGCGCTCAGCGCCGGTACCGAACGCGGATTGTGCCGAAGCGCCGACTCGTTCGCCGCGATCGCGCGGTCGTAGTCCTCCATTGCCTCGGCGGCGGATGCAATGGAGAGCCAGGTTTGCTCGTTGGCCAGCGCGAGCTTCTGCGTGGGCGTCAGCGGAGCACTTGCAGTCTCGACAAGCATCGCACCGCCAGGCCCGGTCGGCGGCTGTTGACTGGGATGCAGCCCGGGGCCGCTGCCATTCATACCAGCGCCGGACGGTGGTGGAGGAGCCGGGCCTTCGTGGTAATGCGGTGTCGACGCTTCGAGCGACCTATCACCGCGTACTGACCCCATCTGAGGCAGCGGAGGCGCGTCAGCGGAGGAAGTTGCAGTCGCCATCTCCCGCTCCCGCTCCCTCTCACGCTGCTCCCATTCACGATCCCGGTAACTGTCCCTTGGTCCGCCGCGCATGGCAGCAAGGTGCTCGCGTTCTTCCCGGAAGCCAATGCTGTTCGTCGAGCGCATCAACTCTCCACTTGGTCCCGCTGCTGCTCCAGCTCCACCCCTCGGTCCTCTCCCTGCACCATTCTGGGGAGGCAACGTCGGCGTGATTCGTCCGTTGCTGTGGTGCGCTGAAGGATGATGCAAGCCATGCGTGCTAGACAAAGGTGGCGGAACGCCTCTTCCGGTCGTCACAGCAGTTTCGCGCATATCAGCCTCCCTCTCTCGTTCGTACCGATCCCTCTCTAATAGCTCCCTGTCTCGCTCGCGTTCGTAGCCACCGGGATAGCTATATGGATGCGGTTGAAGGTGATGTGGGGGGCCTTCGCGCTCACGCTCCCTCATCTCGATGTCGCGATCGCGGCTGTAGAAGATCGCCCTGTCCCGCTCACGTTCTCTCTCGCGATCGTATGGAGTTGGGCCCCTGCTGCTATCGCCGCTACCGCCAGGAAGGGGTGGCATGACGGATGGTACGGATGAATGCTGCATATGACCGGGGATAGGTGGGGAAGGTCAATATGTGCAATGAGAGGTCGCTATTTCTGCTTTGTGGCGGACGTTGACCGGATGCACGGCATCAGCAGCGAGGATCCCCTTTTGCTTTGCTATTTGCGAAGGATTGGATGCCCACACGCAACTTGATTTCCCACTTGTCGCCTGCTGATGCTAACGGTAGGATGGGTTGTTGTGACTAATTCCAGGGGAGAACGGGGTCGCGTGTTTGAGAGAGCAAGTTTGGCGTCTATCAAGTGGGTGGGGATGCGAATGCCAAACAGAAGGATCAATGGGAGATGGTGTTGGATCGGAGATAGTGCGCCTTCTTGAATGAGCTTGTAGAAGCCTTGCTGCGTGTCGACAGACAGCGAGCGAATGTGCGAGCACGCTGCCTGGTTGGCTAGCTGGGGCTCGCTCGTTTGCAAGAAGGAACGTGGAAAATCCACCCCCAGTATGTGTAGCTGGCTGGCTGGGATGCAACGCCTCGCTGGCTTTCCTGTGCGAACGTGTTCAATCCAGCCCAGTGCTTGGCCAAGATGGAGCAAGCCCAACAGAGGTGGAGGATAGTAAGCACAATAGCAATGCTGCTGGTGTGGGTGATGGTGGTGGTGAAGGTGGTGGGCGCGATGTGCTACTGGGCTGTGGGTGGGGTGGGTATGTAGTCGATTACTACCTATAGGCTACAGCGTTGATGATGATGAGAATGAGAAGATCCTGCGCGGCTCTGTGGCTGCCGGGCTGCGGCTGCTGATCCATCCAATCCAATCGAATCTCAGCTACTACATACTTTACACAACACGCTTGCCTTCTTTGGGCGGATCTCGTCTGCAACAATTGTTGGCATGCCGCGGGGGGGAAGGGGAGAGAGAACGCAGCCTCACCGAATGCCCGCACTGGCTCCTGGCAGAGGATGCAAACTTGCACCTGCCAGCTTGTGTGGACTGCGACACTGCCGCAAATACACAACTTTGTCAGTCTCTGCAGGCTCTGTCATTTGGCACTAAAAATGCATATAATTCTACATATATGAGCATCCAAAGCAAAGCAAAAAGTATGTATGATGCGTTGATGCGGCAGTGATGTTGTTGATTGTTGATGTCACATCGTCACATTGCCATAGGCACAAGACTGCCATGTGTCCTTGTCTGGCCAACAGCAGTGCGACAACCAGCAACAGCGCTGCCAGAACAAGCAAAACGCCACGAGCGGAGTTGGCTAGTGCATTGTCAGTACACAATTTACATACGTGCATAGATATGTAGTATTCACAGCAGATACGTACTGCGCGGTCCGTTCGCAGTATACATGGAAGCGTGGACTCAGGAATGTCGCGTGTATGTCTGTATGCAGGTGTATTTACGGCAATTAGAGGTCCAGTCAGGATGCATGTGTGATTAAATTGTACATTCATAAGTAAAAAAGGTACATAAAACACATGTGCATATGTCGATATTGTGCTGGCATTTTAATTGTGAGATTTGGCAATTGGCAAGGAAATGACTAAAGCCGACGAAGGAGACTCTGAGTGGCTGGGACTGCTGAGACTTTCTGGGACCGACTGGCTTAGACGGTGCTCGGACTTGGAAATTGGGAGAACTTTGGGGAGACAAGGCCCGACCGGGAAAGCATTCAACATCAATGTCTAGTCAATAGTCAATAATCAATAGTAAAAAAAGTACACGGCGGACACGGCGTAGCACTGCGGGCTGTGCGTATAAGGAACACGTGGCACCGCCCGCAATCCAGAAATTCGTGGTCCGCCCGCCATGTTCGATCTTCAACTTCCTGCAGACCGTCAACGCGTGCTCGCCACGGCGGCAATCCATGACAATGCTGGGGTCTGGGGCCGCTGCCACCTGGATGAGTGCTAGTTGAGCTGGCATGAGATGGATGAGCGGTTAGAGTGCAGCCTGGCCCTGCCTGGTCCAAAGTGGAAACCTGATGAAACGCTTGAAATTCTTGAAAGACTGTGAAGTAGTACACTTCTTCAAGTATGTAGTTATATGTATCCCCGATGCTGTGACAGGTTGACGTGGAGGCTTCCTTGTTTCTTTTCACATAGCAGCTCCCCTTAATAAGGAACAACACAAGTCTTCCAAACCCAAATTCGAGCTGGGGGTGCATTCGCATTACATACATACACACCCATTATCCAGGCCCAGAAAGGATCGAGCGGGGAGCCAAAGTTGCGTCGGCCGTCGATTCTCAAGTCTCGCAAATCATATCGCGGCCTCTGGCCGAGCGGGCCCAACGCCTCAACCGTCGATGCGATCAACGGTCAATTTTTGGACTTATTTTCATTCATTTGAGAGCTACATCTCCATTTCAACTATTGCATAGCCTAATATGGTATCAGTACGCGCGGGTTGTTCTGGAGAGTTGTTCAATCTAGTTTGTTTCTCGTGAAATGCTGTATACTCCGAGTAACGTGCGCGTAAAAGACGCCCGCTCGTTCGTGCTCCAGGCAGACTTTCGCCTGTTCGACGCGAATCGTCCAACATCGCAAACTTGTCGAGCGATTTTGCATGCCCAGATTCTGGCAGGGAATCATACTAGGGATGATACGCTGTGTTGTCATGTGGGTATCTCTTGTTGAGGATATGAGCTGGGACCAGATGATTGGAAAGAATTGTGTAATCTCATCTGTTTCCCATGAAATGCTGTGTGCGCCGGGAAGCTCCCGCACAGTGTTCGCTCTTGGGGTGATGAAGTCGCCTCCACGCACTTTCTTCATCCACACAATAATTTTCCAATCTTGTGAGCGAAAACAGTTCAGCAGGCCAGCGAGGTATCGAAAGAATGACCACGACTAGGGCAAGGCCACAAAATCGAAGTGGTGTGTGCAGGCCAAGCTCGAAGCTGGCGCGGTCGCGCGACTTTTGCGTGTGGCCACCTCTGCTGCATTTAAATTGGGTTTGAGTGAGATCCGCACACGCAAGGGTTGAGCCTCGAAATTGCTTTGTATCTGTTCTAAGAGTACAAAGCATCCGTTGGGTCTTGAGACTTCTCCTACTCGTGATCTTCGACTTCCATCTCGGCCTTGTCCTTGGCCCGCCTCACTGTCTCCAGAGCGATCGCTCGAAGCGTCAGCCCGTCTACAAGCCCTCCGGCTGCGACTTTGAATTGTGATACTTTCATACACGTTTCGATCCAAGGATATAGAGGATCTGGTCCGTGGCTGGCGATTGCTTTGGTACAAGCTTTAAGCCTGCGTGATGTGCTCGACGTGTCCGGAACTGCGATCTTGACCGGGCGAGAGTGACAGATCATGCTCGGGTAAGGAGTTGCCCATGTGTATATCGAAGTCAACGGGCCTGCGCCATCAGTAGCGAGGGCCTAAGATCTGTGGAAGTACAGAAGGACGCCATGAAACGGCCCACCGCTTTCACCGAGCCGCTCCTACTCTTCCTGCGTTTCAGGCTCCTTCTCCACTTCATCGGCACCAGTTCCTTCTCACCATCCTCTTCCTCCAGGTCCTCAGAGGCACGCATGGGGGTCAGAAGGAGATTCATATCGCGCGGTACGCTTCTAGTAAGCTCACAGCCGCGTCTGGCGGTGTTTGGTCTCATCGCCTGCGCTCTCGTCGGTCCGAGCAGGGCAAGTCGGTTTCATTGATGGCCTTAGCGTCGTTAGAGGCGAACCTGTCACGTCCTGTTATCGACAAGTATATGAAAGTATCACAATTCAAAGTCGCAGCCGGAGGGCAACCTACGATGCACCTGGACGCTGTCATAAATGAGCAGCGCAACACGCACAGACTGAACGAGAAGCGGGCGCCAGAACGCTGACGACGGCCGGAGGGCTTGTAGACGAGCTGATGCTTAGAGCGATCACGCCGGATAAAATGAGGCAGTGGAAGACAAAAGATAGCTGCAAGATCTACGAGTACCACCTATGGGAACTTCTGCCAGTCGACGTGCTCACGCGCTGTACGAATTCATATTGAGACATGGCCATATGTACTCATGACGGTATATCTCTTCAAATTCAAGGAAGCATACCTGTCAAGGGGGGCCAAGGCAAGTGTATGGTACGCCCCACAGGTCAGTTACCGGAGTGATCGTCACTTGCGCCTGTGGCTACGATTCAATTTGTTAGGATTGCAGTAACATCTTGCACACCTAAAGAAGCTTCTCGAGCTCAGCGCAGACCTTGTCACCGACCTCCTTGGTACTAGCCTCCCCACCGAGGTCTTTGGTCCTGAGGCCAAGACCGCCCATCTGCTCAGTGTCCAGAACTTTGCGCACGGCTGATTCAATGTTCTCGGCCGCCTCCTTCTGTCCCAGCGACCAACGCAAAAGTAGGGCTGCCGAAAGGATCGTCCCGATCGGGTTTGCGATACCTTGGCCAGCGATATCCGGCGCAGAGCCATGAATAGGCTCGTACAGGCCGTTGCAGCGGCTCTTTCCGTCTGGAAGCCCTGAAAGACTCGCGGAGGGGAGCAAGCCGAGCGAACCAGGGATGACCGACGACTCATCGGAGAGAATGTCGCCAAACATGTTCTCCGTGAGCAAGATGCCGTTCAACTTGCGTGGGTTCGACACCATCAACATCGCCGTGCTGTCGACAAGCGAGTGGTCCAGCTCGAGGCCCTTGTCGCCGAACTCATGCTGCACCGTCTCGGTGACCACGCGCCGCCAGAGACGCGACGTGGCGAGAACGTTGGCCTTGTCGACGGAGTGCAGTTTCGCAGGTGGGCTCTGTTGCAGCGCGAGGTAAGCGGCGAGACGCGTGATGCGCTGTACGTCCGCGCGATTGTACACCATCATGTCTGTCGCCTCGCCATCGCCGCCGGGCGTGTCGAGATCTGCTTCCTTCCGGTCGCCATAGTACAGGCCCTTCACGAGCTCGCGGACGACGATGATGTCGGTCCCCTTCGCGATTGACTCCTTCAATGGGCTGTACGCGAGAAGAGACTCGGATGGAAAGCTGGCCGGTCGGATGTTGGCGTACAGGTCAAGCTCCTTGCGGATGTCTAGCAACCCTTGCTCCGGTCGTACCTTGCCGACACCCCACTTGGGCCCACCGACAGCGCCTGTGGCATAATGTAAAAGCAAGAGGCGTCAACCCCGATGCAAGTCATCGTGACTAGCCTGCAGGAAGCATCTCACCCAAAAGAATGGCATCTGCAGCCTTGCATGCGTTGCGAGTGTCATCGGGCAATGGCTTGCCAGCCGCATCAATGGCCACGCCTCCGAAGTTGTACTAAACGCTTGAACGAGAGTGACCAGAGGTTGGAAGAGATCAGCATTCACGCTACGCTGCGCACGTCGAGATTCGAAGCAAGTGCACGTACGCTCTTGAGGTTGAGTTCAAAGTCCTTTGATTTGCTGGAGACTAACTCGAGAACTCGAACAGCTTGTTCGACGACCTCCGGACCTGTGAAATGACGGAAGCGATGAGTCTGAGTGTGAGTGTGATCATGCCTTTCGACACGGAGATATGCAGCGCGAGACAATCCCTTCAGCGCTCACCGATTCCATCGCCGGGAAGGACAACGACATTGTAGGACTTCTTTCCGGACATGACTATGGTCGTGACTTATTGGTCCACCCTGAACGCTACTTCAAATGGTGTGCATAGAATGTAGACATCATCTGAGTCTCTTGATCTGGAAGAAAGGAGAGACGTACCTGACAAACGGCTTGTGGTATGTGACCGCCCTACCCCTGATGCACACGGAGATCGTGGGATGCCAAGAGGCTGCCAGGCGGGAAGAGTCGTCGGAAGCGCGGAACTAGGAGTTTTGAATGTGATTGTGCATGCAAACTCTCTTCCAGTCTCCATATCGCTCCTTCCAACTGCCATTCACTGAGGTCCGTCCGCACACTTTGGTCAGCAGGAGCATGGCATTTCAAGGCGACTGGAGATGGTGTGTGTATTGTGCGCACTCTCGGAAATGGTCCGAAATGCAAGTCAAATTCTGGAACAAAGGGACTTTTCGTAGCTCTCGCAAGGATCGTGGTAGAGCACACGGCGCCGATACGAACAAATAGCCTGCAAGGCATGACAGCCTGTGCAAGGCTACTGCATCGTGGATCATCCCTGTTTGCTCTTCGTTTCCCCGTCACGACGATGCCCTATTTGTTCTCATCGAAGACCTAATCCCTCTCGCAGGTACGGTCAAGAGGCCAAAGAGGGTTAGACGGCAGCAACACTGAAGCCGAAGCAAGCGGTGACATGTCCCCTCCCCATTAGGCATCGATGACGAGTCGTTTGTATGTGCAGTGGCACTGACGAAGAGCGACAGCTACTCTGATCTACGGCGACCGACATGGAGGGCGCGGATCAGACAAGCGCGCTTGATGACTTATGAGGAGCCGGACATCTTGACCACCCTGGCAGTCACCTTCCTGCTGCTTTTTGCATCGATCCGCACTGTAATCCACAAGCTTCACGATGCCGGCATCATGAGCTATCTGGTCATCGGCTCCGTTTACGGGTCTCCACTCGGTGACATCATACCTCTTCAGCTGCAGAGCGCGATGCAGACTTTGGGCGACCTAGGACTTACACTGCTCACCGCTTGTGGCGGCATATCAACCCGGCGCGGTATGCTCGCTCAGTCAAAGGCATTCGCTGTCTCCTTGTTAGTCGGTGTATCATGCATTGGCCTTCCCACCGGTCTCAGCATGGCGATTAGGACACCCAGCCATGGATATTCGTCGCGCCAGTCCTTTGCTATGGGTGGTGCTCGTTGCTCTATATCTCTAGGAACGATCTTCTCAGTGGAAACAATGAAAGGAGCGCCTTGCAAGAATTCAGTGATGAAGTGAGCACGGGCGACACGGGCACCCTGCTGGATTGGGTCAACACTCGCATCGGAACAGTGCTAGTTGGTGCGGCCCTTCTCGATGACATCGTCAGCCTCGTCATCGCCTCAGTGGTGTAGATGCTAGAGCAGCGGAATGCAAGCCCAGAGGCTCGAGCGAATAGCCCAACCCACATCGCACCGTGGATAGCTACAAGGCCTATCGTCATATTCATTTGTCTCATTGTCGGCGCCGCGCTCCTGAGGCTGCTACTAAGTAACCCTTTCACCCGCTCTCTCGTACGGACTCCTCTGGTTGGAAGAACAAAAATACACGACCAAAGAGCGAAGCACCCAGTTGTCAAGGTGATTCCGCTCTTCGTCATGATCACCTTTGTGTTTGTCATGTTCGCATTCGCAGTTATCGCGAACTTTATCTCCAGCAGCGTGTTGATAGGCCTATGCTGCGCAGGCGCTTTAGTGTGCTACAGTGAGTGTTCTCGCAGTTAACCTTTGGAGCCGCAGCCAATATCACGCTCTGCTTCCCCCACCGCAAAGTTTACGATCAATTTTTCCAAGCCTTTGCGGATTCGCCGCTTCAATGGCTCCATATTCTTGATCTGAAGCGCGCATTCGGCCCCATTACTTCCGTCCAAATCCTTGTACTGGTGCCATTCGTCTTTGCATCCATCGCCAATGAGATCCTCGTCAAAGACCTCTTCGTCAGGCAAACAGCATGGTACGGGATCGTGTACATCGTTTTTATGTTCTTGGCGAAGCTCGCGGCTGGCGGCGTTCTCTTGTCCTTCGATCCCATGACCATGCTATGGACCTGGGTTAGCAAAACAACGCCTAAAGGTCATAGAGGCGAGCGCGAGACGGAGTTAAGAGACGACGAAGCTTTTTCGCTGCCGCCTGGCGTCGAAGATCGACGTGCAGCTGCTCCTTCAGACCCAATGGGCAGTGCTTCCAATGTACCACAATTTTACGCGTCAACCGTACCGAATCACATGCACGCGCCAGTGCCCACGACGCTATCATGGTCGACAGCGTCGGCTCACCTCGAATTGTCGCTCGTTGCACGCGGCGACATCAGATTCCTCATCATTAATTACCCGATCAGGCCGGATCATCGGCGATACCGAAGATTCTGTCTCGTCCGAGGCATTTAATGCTGCCATTTGAGCCATCATCAGTAACACATTTCATGGGCCCATCTCTGTTGGCTTGCTGCTGACGTACACGAGCATGGGAAGGTAGATCACGGCTGGTCGCTGGGGCTAAGGATGTGATCACACATGCTTGGTGCATGGACCTTTTCTCAATGTATAGCGCTGCAATTTGCTATAGTGAACTTGTGTTGCGATGTTCACCCAGCCGCCATCACGAATGCAGAAGTCATACATGCTACCAGTCCACCATGCAGGCTTCGATGTTGGGGTATTCCGCTCGTACATTCCGGAGCATCAACTGTGGCGTCTGATGACTGGTCACGTTCGTGCATCGGGTTAGTAGGCGCTACTTTCATAGTATCCGTCCAATGTACTCTGTAGATGGCCAACGTACTACTGTTGAAACTGGACTTGAGAACATCCGATATCTGTGGTGAGGCGGGGTGATTGAAATGAGTCTGGACGCGGATTCATTCCTAACGTAACATTCCCGATTCACGCAGAGGTGCACTACCCTTTGCGGCTAAAAGCCACCCATCGATGGATGTAGAAGAGGATAGTGCACAACACACAGGATATCTCTCGGAGGCAGCCGACGGATCAGACGAACAAATAAAGAGTCACAGAGCATCTCAAGACGTTGCGAGTGCGGCTGCCACGCCGGATACTAGTGGGGACAACCTCAAGGTCTCAAATGTCGCTGGAGCCTCTAATGGGCGGACCATACGTAGCGGTGGTGTCCGGCCCTACGTCAGCCTGAGCAGTGATGGTCAGGCTTTTTCATCCTCTTCGACAGGACCCTTCTTCGATACACGCAGACCTTCCATGGACGCTTTTCGACGACGCTCTCTCTCCCCGTCTGGAGCGCCTGGCCTGTCCGGACCAGCAGCTGTTGAGGCAGCAGCGCACCAGTACCCTCTCCTTCGAAGAGGGGGAGCGCCAGGCGCGGGTCGCTTTCGAAGAGGCAGCACGCTGGGGCAAGATGTGACGCCTGAGCTCATGCCGCCGTCAGAGGGTTATGAAGCGTCAGATATGCTAAAGGACCCGCCGGAGCCGTCAGCAAAAATGCTAGACTCGCCATTACATCTGGGTAATCCATTACCTGATATCGATCGGTATCCAGCAACAGACGCTTCTACAGCGCGCTATCAAGCATCTGATTTTGCGCCGCTATCGTCCGTCTCGCGCAACCGAGCGCGCTCAACATCCAATTCAGGTTTCCGGATATCACCGTATGCAGTCGCCAGTCGCTCGAGTCCAAGTCCCAAGAGCAAACGGCTGCCCAGCAACCCATGGAACAGTGGCACGGTCGGAGGTCCAATGTCAGACCTGAGGCGGAAAAGCGGGGAGCGTGAGCGTGAAGCGGTTCCTTTGGCCTGTAACGAAAGCTCAAATGGGGCATTGGGCTTGCTGCCGCCACGAAGGCGAAGTCCCCAGAGCATAGATCGCACGGAAGACGGCGATGGCTCTGGCAACAACGGCTCATCATCAGAAGGAATTGCTAACACCCCTCCCTTTGGTGGGCATTACGGGGCCAGGAGCCTTGGACTACGCAGAGGTATTGCAAGGAGGGGTGGTGCTATGACTGTGAGTGTTGACGAATTGGTTCATCCAGTGCATCGAGACTGACCTGCTCTGCTCACGTTGCAGCCGCGGGACAAATCCATGCTGCGCATTGCTGCAACTCTCCAGGATGAGAGCCATCCCTTTGCAGGCGAGGTTGCTTCCGAGGCTCGTCTCTCACGAGAACGCCGCCTTGCCAGCTCGTCGAACGACCATCCATTCTCTTCTGGCGGTCGGGTGCTCGGCTTTATCATTCCCCCATCCGCAAGATCACGCCATCGCTCCCCATTCGTGGGCACAGGGCCAATCAAGGCAGGCGGGAAAAAGGCATGGGAAGAGCAAGACGACCAGCCTGATCTTCTGGACGACGTCGCTTTCGGCGTCGATTCTGGAGAGCTCAGCAGCGACGACGAAAATATGCCCTCGACGGCGCCGAGCTTTGGTCCAGTGAACGAAGCTGAGATGGAGGTCGAGTCCTCAGCGGGTGTCAATGCAGACGCGAATGCGGCACCGGTGCTACGTGGGCATAGACGCAATGACTCTAAATGGACTGACTTTCGGGAGACTCGACATCCTTCAATATCGACCGGAACCGCCCTCGCTTACAGGGACTCTCGCCTGAGTGCAAGCCCGAGTGCTGAACGATCTCTGATGTGGTCCAAGACACCGGCCTTTGGGCCGGCTTCTTACGGAGGCAGTGATATGATGGACACGGTCGTGCCAGAGGAGCTACCTCCAGCTGTCTTGTCAGCACCTTGGCACTTTGGGGGTAACAACGGTGGACGGATACCAAAACGCAAGGCGAACGACGATCGCTATGAGCCTTACGCCGCGAGCGCGCAAAAGCGCCGTGCTGTCAGCCCTATGCATCAATTGAGCTTGTCTATCTCTCAAGGCAGCTCAATTGGAGGGCCTGTGCCGCATGCAATCACGTCTCCAAGCAACAGTCATTTCCCCGTCACTGGCGGTAGTGGCTCCGCTGGATGTTACTTCACTGGCTCGCACTCGAACCACACCCAAGCTGGCCACCATTCGCGCAACGCATCCAGGGTATCCCTGGTCGGCTCGAGACCCGGCTCGAGACAATCTTCACCAGCTCTTACGAATGCATCCACGCTTGGCTCGTCAGTCACAACTCAGGCACGGCCATCCACACCGACCACAATGATGCCCCCAGTAGCGTCCTCGCCCTCACTTGGACCTGGGGTTGCATCCATGGCGCCCACGCTCTCTGGTGGGGGAACTCCAAAAATGGCCACCACGTCCGGCGCCGGGTCCGGACCAGGATACGGCAGCGGTGCCCTCGGCCTGAGCTTGGGCTTGAATCACTCTCTCTACTTGTCGCCAGGCACCAGTGCTGGCGGCCAAGGAGTGCTCCCCCGTGGACTTGGCGTTGGGCCTGCATGGACCCGAAGAGACAGGGATGAGGAGATGCAGGAAGATGCAGTGGAAGAAGGCCTGAGCATGATCGAATTGCAATGACGATAATGGACCCTATTGGCATTTACACCAACACGTTGTATTCTACGTATGTGCGAAATCAAAGCACCGAGTAACGACCAGGGCCCGATGGACCTTTCTGCTCAGCTTCCAGTGCGGCTTGCGTAGCCTCGAGTAGGATGAGCTTGATGTCGCGTACAGCTCGCTCGATCCTCTCCGGATCGTTGCTCTCGATAAGCAATTGCAACTTGGGAGGCTCGCCAGGCTGTGGTTCTTTCCCCTTCTCATAAAACGCACCTTTGCTCGTAACTAAAGGAACCAACAATCGTCAGCTGAAGTTCCGCGGCTTGATCAACAGAATAGCCACACTCACTTGAAGCTCCGCTGCTCTCGATAAGCATAGACATTGTCTCCTTGTTGGTTGCGCGCCACCTGGCCTTTTGTGGGAAGCTGCGCAAGGATCAGGTACCGTGTTCTTCAGTTACAGATAGCCATAAACGGAGCGTCTCACATTCCGACTCACTCATTAATTGGGATGATAGCGTGAAAGTCGGTGGCATCAGGGTCTTTCACCCTGCGCCGTTCCGTCTCCTTTTGCAATTGTGATTTCTTATCAGCATGCATGGCCTGGATTTTGGCGAGCGCTTGGGCAAGCTTGGTTGTGTCTGCACCGCTCGTCTTGGCAGCTTCCAACGCTCGTTCCATGCTGGCTTGCTGTGTCGCAGTGTGAGAGATACTCGACTCGGTCAAAGCGGCAGCGACCTTGTTATCGCGGACAAAGTCGGGCGCAGGGCCTTTCTTGACCTCGATGGTCATTTCGTTGAGCTTCTCGAATTCTTCATTCGCAGCAGCGGTTTCTTTGGAAGATGCTGTCGCTCTGACATTACCCTCGGCGTTTGCTGCACTTCCATCTTTTCCAACCTTGTCTTCCTTGTCCTTTTCGTCTTCACCAGTTCCTTCGCCGAACGCAGACTTTTGAGCGCGCAGTGCCTTTTCGCGGTCATTTTCGAGGCGCTCGAGACCCTTCCCGCCAAAGCCAGAGCCGGCAACCTGGGCTTTGCCCGACTTGACTTTCTCGGCAAACTTGTTTGCCAGTGCTTGCAGATCCTCGGGCACTGCAACTTTGCTCGCCATGAGAGCACTGACGATGTCTTTTGCATATCGCTCTTGCTGAGGCGTGATGAAGGTGACACATGTGCCTTTGTTGCCTGCTCTCCCAGTGCGCCCTGCTCGGTGAACATAGTCCTCAAGATGGTTGGGTACGTCGTAGTTGATGACGAGCTTGAGCTGCTTGACGTCAAGACCGCGGGCAGCGATGGACGTGGCGGTCACGATGGGGACGACACCGGCCTTGAAGTCTGCGATTGTCGAGTCTCTGTCGACCTGGTCCTTGCCGCCATGGATGGACATGGTTGGGTATCCCTTACGCATGAGTTCCCTCAAAAGATCATCAGCAGCTTCTTGTCTATCCACGAAAATTAGTGTGCGAGCGTCTTCATCGTCGTTATACGTCTGTCCCAGGATCTCTAGTAGACGGTGGAACTTCGTATCCTGCTCGCGCACTTCGACGATCTGCTCAATCTCGGGTGCGACAACGCTCTTTCCGCCGACTGTAATCTCGAGTGGTCGGTGCTTGAGCACCTTGCGCGCCAGACTTTCCATCTGCTTTGGGAATGTAGCAGAAAAGAGGACCGTCTGCCGATCTGGCCGGATGTTGTTGACAATGTTCATGACCTGCGGCTCGAAGCCCATGTCAAACATGCGATCCGCCTCGTCGAGGACCAGATACGTCACACGTCGCAAGTTGGTCACACGGCCAGAGTTGGCGGTGAGCAGGTCGATCATGCGCCCCGGTGTCGCGACAACAATCTCGGCCGTCTTCTTCATCTCGGCAATCTGCTCGGAGATGGGCACACCGCCATAGACGCAGACAGCTCTGAGGCCGAGACCGCGCAGGAAGGGCTTGCTCTCGCGATAGATTTGAATGGCCAGCTCACGCGTCGGAGTCATGATCAAGCCCACTGGCCCTTCCATTGTTTCGACGGGACGCTGATCATTGATGTGGCGGAACATGGGAAGGAGGAATGCCATTGTCTTGCCCGATCCGGTCTTAGCGACACCGATCACATCTCGACCGGACATGATGGCAGGAATCGCCTGCGCCTGAATCGGTGTTGGTCTTTCATAATTGAGCCGCTTGATGATCTCCAGGCAGCTGGCCGGTAGTCCGCAGTGACTCCACTTGGTCAGCGGCTTCGGGCAGTCTTTCCCGCGCACGGCAATGGCGTCGAGCTGCAGGCGCAGCGACTCTGCATCCTCGTTTGTCATCTCTTGAATTTCTGCCGGAGGGTGATAGAATGCTTTCCTGTACGGCTCGTAGTCTACGCTCGAATGATCGGTCTGCGGTAGGCCGCGCTTCTTGACAGACTTGGCTGCAGCGGCGATGATATCCTCCATCTTGGAAAGCTTGGACAGCTCATCTTCTCCCTCTTGTCCTTCACCTGCATCCTCCCCTGCGGAAAGCTCGTCTTCACCCACGACAGTACTGTCCTGCTTTGTTTTGCCCTGATCCTTCGAGCTGCCAGCAGCGACACCAAGGCGTTTCTGGTCAGCCTCGTTAACCTCTTTGACTTCGTTAGAGACGCCAGCCATGAATGCATCCAATGGGTCCACCTCGTCATCCTCCGCAGTATCCATGTTTCCCGCCATAGATAGTGGCTGAATCCCCTCATCCTCGTCCTCGTCCTCGTCATCTACCGACTCGAGGTTTGGCCCGACCTTGCCGCCTGCAGCTGGCTTTAGCAGGGGGTCCATGGGAGGAAGCGTAAAACGCTTGATCTCTTTCTTCTCCGGCAGATCAGCAGTGTCGGCCAGAGAGTTTGTCGTGGAGCTGAGCTTCCCTTTTGCAAAGTCTGACCTGGCACCAAGGCCTTTGAGAGCGGTGGCGTTGATTAACGTCGCGCCGGGCTTGTTAGGCAGGGATGCTGTACATACAAGCAGAAGAACGCATATTCTCAGATGCCGGTTATTTCTCCAAATCACCTTGCAAATGCCACTCACATGTCAGGGTACTAGCGACCTTCTGTGCACGCTGTTTGGCCTCTTCTGCGGCCTTTTCTGCCTCTCGCTTCTTCTTCCAAGCTTCGATACGTTCCCGCTTCTCGCGCTTCTTTTTCTCATCTTCAGTCTCAGCTGACTTACCACCAGGAAGGGTAGGAGAGCTGGTATGACTCAAGTGCAGGCTTTCGGGGTGGGAAGCTTGCGGCTTGGGCGGCAGTGGATGTCGATGGCTGCCATCCCCGCCGGCGCTGGGAAACGATGAAGGGCCTCGACCGTTCGGAAGGGTGACACACGGTGGTGACCCAGGACTGCGCGATCTTCTCCGCTTGCTGCCCCTCCAGTCGTCATCCTCATCGAGCCTTCCTTCCCTGCGAGCCCTCTTCTCGCTATGTCTGTCTCGGCTGTATGCATCTCGATCATATCGATCGTAATCAGAGGATCGAGCGTATCCGTGCCTGCTGCTACCGGAGCCAGCACCGCCGCTGTGCCTCCAACTCTGATCACGATCCATTACGTCCCTGGAGGAGGCCGAAGGTGATGCAGGACGGCGACGAGAGTCGTAGGCGTCAGGCCCATGTGTTCGGTCAGGACGGCCTTCTTTTGCAGCCGAAGAAAGCTCACTTCTGCCTCCGCTTCTCGTATCTCGTGATAATCGATCGCGCTCATCGCGTTCATCGCGACCGCTGGGACCATCTCGCCAGTCCCTTTCGCGCCGAAAGTAGCTTGACATGGCTGCACGTTGTCATGGGAAACCCAGGTAAAGATGGCGTTTGGTCCTCCACCCTTCTCGGGGATCTTGCTCGCCTTAGTTATGACAGGGGATGAACCAGGATGAGCAAGTTCGGGATCGCGCGTCAGTTATGCAGCACCACGATGCTGTGTGGATATCCAGTAGCGACCGACATGAGGTACAGCTGTCAGCAAGCCTCCAGGGTCAGAGAAGGGATGCATCGATGATATTGCTGAGTCCACCCTGTGACGTGACCTATTCACCACCAATGTGTGTGCGCTCGACATGGTGCGGAACGGAGAACTGAAATTTATTTCTGTGACCCACTCACCTTGTTGCAACAACAGGTGCCTTGATTCACATTGAGTGTATGTAGGGAGTCACCATCTACAACTCCGAGGCGTATGTGGGCATGCCTGTACAGAGCTGACTTTGCTCGTCGTACTGTGAGCCATTGCAGCCTAGTGTCCACACAAGGGCTTGGCGTTCCCGTCGCTTTTTTCCCATTGACTTACTGGTACTCGAAACCGCCTGAGACAGCCAGGTTGGCCGATAGTTCGAGGTTCATCAGCAACTGAAGCCTGAACTCGTCGTTACAATCAGGAAATTGGCTGCTTTAAAACTATGGGGCGCAAGACCAAGTCAGTCTCATCGAGAGACTCTTCCACCTCACTGCGAGGTGTGGCTCTGGGAAGGGATGCGACCGCGTTTCGCGATCAAGACTTCATCTCTTTCGACTTGCTCGAACCAGAGCCAGCACTGGGTCCGAACAGTCTGAATGCGGCGAAGAATGGAAAGGGAAAAGGGAAAGAGCGGAGTTTCGATGGCGACGACTCGCAAGAAGCGGCAGAAGTGGCAACAAACGACTCAGCTAGAAGAGCGGGATGGCGTCGCCAAGGCACATCAGCCAGTGCGGCGGCAGAAAACTTCGCCAATGGGAGATCAAGGCCGTCACCGGGTGTTCCTGCGAATGGAGTTGGAAGAGGGAAATCAAATAGAGCGGGGAGCGGGAAAAAACGCAAAAGAGATGAGGAAGCCCAGACGGCCCAGACAGACAGAGGCACGCCGTGGGCTGAAGAAGTGGACTGGGCCACCTGCCACAATGCAGCCGCTGCGTACGTCTCTTGCCACAGGATCAATGATTTCTGAGAAGCGAAGTTATCTGACACTTACTAATATCACCTCCACTACAGCTTGCACAGGGAGATCATCGCTTTCGACAGGTATATTGCACCGACAGTGGAGGAGCATGCGACACGGAAGATGGCGATAGAATTGATCCGCCAAGCCGTCACCAACAGATTTAAGGATGCGCAAGTGCACAGTTTCGGCAGTCAAGAGACGCAGCTGTACTTGCCGCAGGGGTGAGTGCTTATGTCGATATATGTTCTACCCAAGCAACTTGCAAAGCTAACCCGTTTGGGTCGCCGTTACCATTGCTCAGCGACATCGACCTGGTGTGTCTGTCGCAAGAAATGACCCGAATACCGGATAGAAAATGTCTCCGCACGCTGGCCAACGTGCTTCGACAGAACAACATTGCGAGCCAGATCGCTGTGATTCAAGCAAAGGTGCCAATCGTGAAGTTCACCTGCCTCCCTAGCTTAGGCAACTTCAAAGTCGACATCTCGATCAATCGCCAAAACGGAATTGCAGCTGCCAAATTCGTCAACGAGTGGCTTGATCGCCAACCTGCGGTGCGGCCACTGGTGATGTGCATCAAATGTCTGCTCTCGCAAAGGGGTATGGCTGAAGTCTTCAGTGGCGGGCTCGGCAGCTTTTCTGTTATCTTGATGACCATCAGCTTCCTGCAGCTTCATCCCAAGATGCAAAGAAAGGAGATTGATCCTTGTGAGAATCTGGGCGTGCTTCTGCTCGAATTCTTAGAGCTCTACGGGAAGAATTTCGGGTATGACAATGTGGCGATCACGGTCAGGGAAGACGGAGGCTATTTTTCCAAGCCGCGTAATGGCTGGAAAGACGAGCGGAAGCCTTTCTTGCTATCCATCGAAGATCCGCTAGACAGCAGTAAGTGGAATCTTGTGTGGGTCTTGAACGAAATAGAACAAGTGCTTATCCATACAATGCCCATATTACAAAGCCAATGATATATCCAAAGGATCTTGGAACATCCTAGAGGTGCGCCAGCTCTTCGCAAGTACGTTCGACATCCTCACGAGCGCATGCTGCAAGCGCGCCATGGACATGCGCATTGATCCGACTTTGCAGAACCTCATGCCGCGCAGCACGCACACTCGATACGATGAGGACGACCTGGCTCGGGAGGCATTGATCAGCAGCGCGAAAGGGGGCGACTCCGGTGGCCTTCTGCGAAAAGATCCTCGGTCTCTTCTTGGGAATGTTTTCGGCACCTCGCGGTCGGTTCAGAGGAGTCGTGCAGAGGTAAGCGAGCGCGCACAAGAACAGGTGCGGTAGCTAAAGACCAGGGCAGGCCGCTGATCCCGCTTTCACCTTTTATCTCAGCTGCTCCGCCTATTCCAATCGGGATCAATGCAACGTCGGCTTAAGCAACACCCACCTGGTACCGGACCGCTACCAGGACCCTCCTCATCGACCATTAGATCGAAGGAGAAAGAAGACGCGCGCAAGCAAGTGCAGGTCGGGACCGAGCTCGTTACGGGCGGAGGAACGACAGCTGGGCAGATAAGCTCGGAACTCATGGGAGTCAATGAGCGGGCTGCAGAGAGCGGAACAGGATGTTCTTCGGGAAGAGAGAAGAGCAAGTCTGTGGATATTGTGGACGAAGAAGAGCTTGCAAACAGTCAAGGGTACTTTTTCGATATTCATGGCTTATCGCAGCGGTCAGCCGGGGATGACGACGACGATGCTTCAGATAGCAGGTACGCGCAACAGCCTCCGCGAAAGCGAAAGCACATTCACCGATCATCGCCGCCAACTGCATCGGCGGCCGAGGGAAATTACATTGCTGACAGCGATTCGGAGAGCGGGAATGATGACGATACGAGTCTCCCGACCCTCGTCTGCGAGGCCCGCGCTACTCCCACTTCTAGAGCAAGCAAGAGCAAGGTCAGCGCGCAGGATCGGAGAGATTTTTGGGCGAGCAAGACTACGCATGCATCTAGACAGCAGAGTCCTGCCGATGGCTCCAAGGAAGGCGATGGCTCCGAGGAAGGGGAAGCGCCAAGCGATTAAAGGCATGCTATTTCTGAGATATGCAGGAGAGCTGACTGACGAGCCATGATACATCATCTTATGTACTGCATTGCAAGTTCCGGCAAGGGGAACGCTTCTTCATTTGAATCCGTGCCTTTTTTTCCAGTCGCTCGATCAGGTGCTCATGTTCACCGAAGTGCCACCTCCGCTGCCGGTGCCTAGTTTGGCCTGCGCCAGATCCTGTCGGGCGTCAACGGCAGCTTTCCTCATGGCATCCACCCATTCTTCGCACGCAATGGGGATGGTGCTCATGCCGATGTGACGAGCGTGAGCGAGAACTGGCAATTTGCGAAGCGTTCTTCCAGAGAGACCCTACAGTGTTTGTATGACCCATAGAGGAGGTTGTCAGCTATATGGCAGTGACACGATATATGATTCGATTTGAGGATGACGTACCTCGCATGCTTCCGCTAACTCCCACATCTTGATACTAGCTTTGCGGCTCGATTCTAGCACTGAACCTGCCGTCTCCAGGTTCTGCTTTGCCATGCACGCCCGCGACCAGTCGAGGAGAGGCTGTACAGAGACAGTGTGACGTCGTTGAGCCTTGGAGCAACATTGGAACTTTAGCCAGACTTACAATGCGCTCAGCTAGACCCACTCGCATGAGCTCGTCCAGACAACTTCGCAAAATCCAGTAAATAGCCTGCGGCGGCGGTAGGCCGATGTATTGCTTTATATCCGCCCGGTCGACGAATGCAGAGTCTGTGAAAGATATTCTGTGAGAGTTGCTCAGCCGATGCAAGATGTTTCAGAATTGAAGCTTACCGATAGCCTCAGAGATGTTGGAAGTAGTCATGACAAGCACGTTTTTGCGGGCCTTCAGCTTGTCGAGCTGCGTCAACAGCGCATTTACGACTCTTAGCGCATCTGATGGCTCCGTACCCGACATGGAAGAGGTCCTTGCTGCCGTCAGACTCTCCACTTCGTCTGTAATCATTTGGATCCTTTGTCAGTGCAGCTCCTGCGAATCAATTTCCACATGACGCACGTACCGATGAGGATGACGACAAAGCTCTGCTCGTCCTCAACGAGATCCGTCACCATGGAGAACAGGCGTTGCACCAGCTTTCCCGATTCTGAAAACCACTTGGAGAACAGAGAGTGGGAGTTGATTTCCACAAGACGCCCTTGACAGTATCTGAGATCAGGACAACTTGGTTAGAATGGGCAGGGGACCGACGTGAGATATTGAGCCAGCTTACCTCTCTGACAGACGGATGGAAAGTTTCTGGGCCAATGCTCGGCAGAGACTCGTCTTTCCCGTTCCTGGCGGCCCATGTAAGAGGCATACTCTGTGGAATCAAACAGAGCTCCGTCAAAGGGCGTCTTTGAGCCGCAATAGCTTCGAAAGCGCTTACCGATTCCAGGAAACCACATTGAAGTCGACATTCGCGTCAGAAAAGAGGACTGTGGTGTAGATGTAATTGAGGAGTCGGAGCTTGACATCATCCGCATATATCAAGCTGCAAGGCAGACAAATTCACTTTCAGAAGCGGAAACGCGGCCGCAGCTTGCGTTCGATCCGCACGAACGAACCTCTTCCATAGCCCGTCCAAGTCTTTGCTTGGAAGTTCGGCCACTGTTGCTGCCATGACTGGTTCCCCTTCATCCTCGTCCCCATCGCCAGCTGCGAATTCCTCCACAGCGTCAAATATGCCTGTCTGGTACACGTGAATCTCTGCGCTTGTCCCTTGTACTGGAAGATACTTTCTCCCGCTCGCTTTAAGGGTTGTACAGAAGGTTGAAAACAAGTGGATTCAGCAAAATGCCAACAAATGGGAGACTTTATGTTGTCTTGTTACGTACCACTCTCTGCCACAATGATTCTCTCAACGTTGGCAGAGAGGATCTGCGCTGACTCCCAGCCTTCAAGATCGCTGTCACATTCAAGCGCCTCAATATTGTGCTCCAAATATGCGCGCAAGGCTCGACGGATCGTGTCGTATCGCGCCGTAGAGTCGGGGTAGAGCTTGACCTCAACTGTAACGAAGTGCAGACGCGTTGTCAGGCCCCATGCATATGAGGCACCTTTAGGGAAGCGGCCGCGACAATGATGGCGTCAGAAGAACGAGCTCACTGTGAATGGTGTCTGACTGCAGTACCGCGTGGCCATTCAGCATGTTCGGTGAGGCAACATGGCCATTCATTGTAGCCAGGTTCACCGCGGTCGAGCTGCTTGCTGTACTGATCTCCGCTTCATATTCCATTTGGCTGGCTATTGAGCCGGCTCGAAAGTCCAAACGGGGTCGAATGATTAAGCGTCTGTTTGCTTCAGCTCTGTCGCTTGCGCCTTGGCCGAATCAAAGCACCAATGCACTCAACGCTTCACGTTCTCTACCAAGGTGTAGTGAAGCAAAAGTCAACCGTCAAGAATCAAGACACAAAAGCAGACATAAGAGCAACAAGAAAAACACGACAGAAACGCGCGGTGCGCGACGCGACAAAAAGCCCTGGAAATAGAAGGCAACCCTCGAATGGAAGTCGGCATTACACAGGACAAAGGACATCACTGCTTGCAGCATCGCAGGCGCTGTGTGTCGTACATCCAAAGTGCTGAGAGAATACAGACATGTAGATAGTAGCCTACAGTTTGATGCTCTTGCCTCAGACAGCGCAAGAGCACCGGAAGCGCCTTGCACGGAAGAAGGCAACGTGTCCGAGTTCGCGCAGCGCCCGAAGGCTGCCGCCTCACTGCTGAGGCGGCCCTACGCCAAAGGACGGTGCACCTGTTGGCCTTTTGCCAAAGATGAGCTGATCGACGTAGAGATCTGCACAAGTGTCCTTAGAAGAGCCAATCAGAAAGGGTCCACGCAGCCTTATGAGCAGGCACTGCACGAACTCACGCATTTGCTCATTGTCTCCATCTGGCGCAATGACGCCTGAAGCACTCAACAACTGATCCATCAAATTATCAAGCATGAGAGGCCCAGCACGGTCTGCCTCGCTCCAATCCATCGCGCTGGTCGTGGGCACAGTATTTGGCCAGCCGATATCCGTAGGCTGTCCTATTGGATTGGCAGGTGCAGGAAGGATGTACCCCGTGACCGGCTCGCTCCATGTTGACCGATTGGGGCCGTCTGCAGCCAGACCAAGGCGTGGCAAGGGTGCATTTGAGCCAAATCCGAGCGAGCCAGGCATTGGAGATCTAGAATCATTTCGAAGTGATGGTGATGTTCGTGAGAGGAGCGGTGGGCGCAGGCCACTGAAATTGGGGTTGGGCAAAACAACGCTGCCTTTTCCGTTCGGCAGAAATGCGCTGGCACCAGTGACGTCACTCGTTCTGCTGAGCACGCGCTGCAATAGCTGCACGTATGTCGCAGCGAACGAGTGCCACGATCGGGAAATGGGCTGTTTGCTGGACATGAGCAGCTTCTCGGTGAAGAGTCGCACCTTTTCTATCGCACGCTGACCCGCATATGCGTCTGGCAGTGCAGGGGACTGCGGCCTTGAAGCGAATTGTACCAGCATCACAGTGGCGTGGACAGATGCTATGATGTACTGGTTTGTCGCATAGACGAGATGCCCCACAGGCTGCGCAGCGCATGCCTCGATGAACTCCATCGCCGCGAGCCTGCACTCGTTTCGTAATTCGCGACACTGCAGCGGCCCAAAGTGAGAATGTTCCTTGCGTCGGTCGCGAATTGGCAAGCTGCACAGCAGCATGCGCGCGGAGGATAGCGCCTGCACCTGCTCTGGGGTCGGCCTCGTGGCGTAGTGTGTCTTCCATTTGGACAGTTCAGAGCAGAAAGCGTCTCGATAGAACTGCAGTCGAACTGCAACGTCTTGTTGGGCGTCGGCCACCAGGTTCTGGTACAGCTGCTGGTGGTGAGTGACTGTTATCTCGAGCTCGATATTGGCAATCATGGTAGCATCCTCTGGAAGGGCATACAATTGCCTGTGCCAGCTGGACATCGACTCGTTCTCGTACGGCTGCTTGGGCATCAATGAGGGCCGTCCCGTTTGTGCGCACAGGACGCGCTCTGCCATCCAGACAGCCAACCAGAATCGCTCTTGATTCCGAAGCCCTCGAAGGTGCGTCTCCGATGTGTCAGTCGTATATTTGGAAAGTGGCTTCACGTGACAGCCAAGCTCGGTCGCCATACACATAGCAGAGTATAAGAATGTCCATGAGCGATCATGCTGAGCTAGCTCTGTTGTGGATCCATACGCCACTAAGATGAGGAACGATTGGCCCAGTTCCAGCGACTTGAATGACGGCGGAAGCATGACTTGAGCCATGCATTTCTCTTGTATGTGTCGTCTCATAGCGAGAGCAACGTCCTCATCGCCTTCAGTGAATCGTGCTTCGAGCGAGCAGATGACGCCAAGTAGCATGGATGAGTGCCGACGCAGATAGTGGATGGTGTGAAGGTAAGGATCCAATAGCTGGAGCTGCTTGTTGCGCCCCTCGAAAAACATGTGCAAGTACTTGCTCGCTTGCGCTTCGGAAATGATGCCAGCATCGATAACGCTGACAGCCTGACTGCCAATGTCGGGGACCGGTTGAAAGTGTGATTTGCGCCAGTACGCGCCGGCGTCCAGTACCTTGTGTGGTGTCGAGCGCCATCGCGGCGGGAGAGAAGTCTGCACTGGCGATGATGCCCTCTCTAACGGTTGTTCACCACGCTGATGAGGATCAACAGCGCTTGCAGCGAGCAGTTTTAGAGGGTTCACGGTGACGCCAGCCTCATCTTCGCTGTTTGTGAGGTCATCTCCTGGCCAGTTCCCAGTCTGCACAGAAGGTGGATCGACGCGCCTTTTCCGTCGAGGAGGGCTGCCAGTTCTCGAAGGAGCTTCGATTGCACTTCTATCTGGTGGCGCTAACCGAGAGTTTCCAACGGGCGACATGGAACAGCTCGAGTGGCCGTCCTCTCCGAGATGGGAAGCCCGCTTGGGCGGTTTGGCATCCACTGCAGACTGTTCCAGGTCGGCGAGGGAGCATCTCGAAGCGCTGGAGACTAGCTCGCTGAAAGCCTTATAGACCACGTCGAATGACTGTTCGATGTCCTCGATTCGACTTTAAGCGGCTTGCAGAGTCAAAGACAAATTCAATGGAGACGGAGCATGCTTGGCACTTACTCAGTATCTCGCTTCTGGGTTCTGCGATGCTTCTCGAACACGCAATCGTCGCCTCGCGCCACACACCGAGTGCAGGGTCCCACTCCTTCCTTATCGGTCTGACATTTGACCTTAAGCGGGATTAAAGGAACGTGAGTCAGACACTGAGCGTACTTTGGGAGAACGTCACGAACACACCTTGAGCTCTCGACATACAATGCACGAAAGTTTAAGCACGCTCTTTCGTCCACGGCTTGGCTTCGTGCGCTCTTCATTTCGGAAGTAATTAAACCTCCTTAACAAATCCCGAACCTCGGTCAAGTTAGCGAGAGCACGCACGAGGCGCTCTCGACCCTCCTTTTCTTCTGTCCATTCCCTTCGCATGTTACTGGGGTCTGCCCCGTTGACAGCATCTGGTGGGGTCATGCTGTCATAGTGGGGAACGTCCGGCCGCAGCTGACCAAAAGGCTCCGACATTGCGGGCCCCTATTGCAGCTGGATTTGCTGCACCTGCGGAAGCGGAAGCGGCAGTGGCGCAGGTATAGGAGGCTGAAGAAAAGCGTTGCTCAGAGGAATGCCATTCATCCAGCCAGGCTTGCTTGTATGCCACCGTGCATCAAGTCCTCCTCGGTCCAAGATCAAGCTGCGAGTGTTATCTCCTGTCCGTTGACGTCAAGAAGGAAACACTAAAGAGGCATCACCGATGACCATGTCATAAGACTGAACGCTGCAAGCTGACCACTGGCAGACTAGACATGAGGCAATGGGCGATGTCATCGTTTGGCGCCTCAGCGGTCAGTTGGTCACAGGGCTCACAAGCGCAGCAGGTCCTGGCTCCTGCAGGTCCGCCCTGCGAGCCCTGCGTGACCTGCAGGGCACGGCACAGACCCTCTCCATCGGCAGTCTCAGCCTTTTAGCAGTTGGCGCCGTAGACGACTCACATGTCACGATAATTACAACCTCTCAACCCGCAAAGGTTCTCCTCTGCGATCAAGCGCAGCCTTCGTGAATCAATGCCCCCACGTCAGGGCTGTTTCCGCCCGTGTCCTGTCGGCTGGCGCCTGGTTCAGTCTCACCACTCTCCGGGGACTGGTGCTTGTGTAGCCCCCCCCCATGCGATCTTAACGCTGCCACTCGTCGGGCGTCGATGCGAACAGCGCCAAGGCAACAACGCACCTTTGCATAATAATATGCACATAAATACACTGGTTGAGTTAAGTTCTTTCGACTGCCGTCTTTCGAGTCCTGTCATTATGCCAGCCATCGATCAGAATTCCGGGCTTCAGGTACTGTCGAGTCCCAGCAGGGTCCGAGTCTTCGAAGATAGCGGATAAATGGCCCACCTCGATGCGACCCTCTCGACTTGCCTGCGCAGGACTACCTGGCCCCGCCATACATACGGAGGTCTGGGCAACGCTTACGGGTCACCATCTGTCGCCACCGAATGTTCATCCAGACAGCAGACAAAAGCCTACTTGTGCTCGACAGGGCCTGATTTATGGTGACCTGATCGTTCAATGTCAACACTCCACAGCGCCGAACGGACAGTCCTCAGTAGCACGGTCGCGTTGTTGCGCATCGAGTCTTGTGGGAACCAGCGTTGTTGTGACTTCTGTGACTTGCTTGAGATGTGGAGAGAGAGTCAGGAGGCAAGAGCCAATGGCCAGCATTGGTTCTGATTTCTGCGAGTTCGTGTGATACATTGGCGTGAGATTTCCGTCCGTCGCGACGAGAAGCAGTGTGATCATAGGAGCAAAAGAGATTCTGGTTGATAAGCACAGCCACTGGCCTAGGGCGGCAGTGCGAGCCTTATAAACCCAGCCGGACCATATTCCGCTGTTATAGTGCTAGGCCTCCGCCAATCCATGCAGACTGGGAACCGGGGCGATAAGTAAGCAAGAGTTGTGCACGTTTTCCCTCTGGGAAGACGGTCTGGCGATCGACTGTTCCAGCAAGTTCGAGACCATGTATTCCGCCTCGTCCGAAAACAGCTCTCGCCTGTCTGGCGACAGAGTACACATATAGTATATAATTGCAATTTAGGAGTATATATGTAATACCCAACCTGCCGCGGCAGGTTGTGCGATTGTGAATGTATGCTTCCTTGCGCTGGATTGGTGGAGCGAGTGTGGGCTGTGTCTGGCTGTTTGCACCGTGCAGTGTGCGCGAGGAATGGTCAAATCTTTCGGCAAAAAGTGGGTAGATCTAGTGGTGAATTGACACAAGTTGCCTTCGTACAATCGCGTTACCTGTCGGGACACTGGCAACAGAGGGCAGTGTCGTGGTCTCGTGGATTTCGAAATTAGAACGCGTACGTCGCTCCCGAGACCTCCCCAACATTTGCTCCTATTGTGAAGCCCGTGCGATTCTGTGACAGCTGACGGGCTGGTGATGACACGAACTACTGCCAGTAGCGCGATGGCGATGACGGCTGAGAAGATGGCGGAGCTTTAAAACAGTCAAAAAGCCGACGACCCTAGATGGATCGCCGAACAGCGTCGAAGACTGGAATAGTCTGGAACTAGGGAACTATACTAGAACTTGGAACACATTGGAAGCTGGAACACACGGAAACTTGGGATACCGTACCCTCCTTTTAATGTATGCATGTGCAAATAGACAACTTTTAAAATTGGGCAATTGCTTTACTCACCATATAGGTTTGCCTGGTGCCCTTCTGTCACCTTGGCAATGGCACCAGCCCCCGTTAGGTTCGACTTTTTGGCGGCTTCTCAGAGTGTCCCTAGCAACCTTTGCACTTTTGGCTTCACTTCCACTACTTGCAACTTCTGTGCCTTATCCTTGTACAAGATGCACTTTGTCACTGTGGCCCTTGCACTCTACGACAGCCCTTCCGTATCTGCTCCTTGTGTCCCCCGTGTGAATTAATTGCTTTTTCAAGATCTTTCTCGGACAACCTCGCACTGACACGAGCATTATTGAACATCCATCCTATTCATTGATCCCAGAGCTGCGTGTCCGTCAAGTTCCAGTTTTCCACAGGGTTCGAAAGCCCGACATTAACATTACTTTAGGACATGGATGCTCATTGACGCCATGGCAGAGGCTCATTGACTTTAATGATTTACTTTTACAGAGTCATCCATTTGAATTGAAGTGCATCATTGAGTTGACGCAGGAAACTGGGCCTTATCTAACTAATGCCTTTCGACTCAATGACGGACTATCATGGCTCACCTTGATTATTTCCACTCCGACAGCAAAGGTCTTGAGTCATGTCGCCGCACTTCCGCCACTCGGCACTTCTGTCCACTATTCCCTTACTCTGTCGGATTGAATAGGATCGAGGCAAGGATGGGCATCATTGCGTACAACATGTTCATTGGAGCACTGGAGCGGAGTTGACTCCTTCATGAAAATGCTTTGAGCATTGCAATATTCAACCTGAATTGGAAGAACCTCTTGGTCACTGGAACGAATAGGGAAGATGAACATCGCTTCTGATCATTTCCGGTTAACGGCAGATGCCTTTTTCCAAAAAGGTCAACCCACTCATACTGAATGAAATTGATCGTTGGTTTGCCTTCCAGGACATCTAAATTGCCAAAAATTCAGATCGTCATCACATTCCAAGTATCTTAGCTTGAGTTCTCATCTCAATACTCGGGACGACTATGCGAGACCCGATCACCGGATGCCGGTCCAACGCCCTGCATCAACCTGAGACTTGCGAAACCCTCACCAGTGACCCATGCCTTGCTGCCCTGCCCCTGGCCATCCCAGCACGTATGTGTGATTTGCGTGTATAATTATCATGCATATGAATGGAGCCTGTCTTTATATAATATATTGGGGTTAAAAAAGAAAGCCTTCCAGGCGTGAGCGCGTGTGAGTCCTCTTGAAGGCTTGAGCCATGCGCTGTTGCGGACTCCAGCGTTTCCCAACCCCCCCCATTCCAGCAGGTTCCAGCCCGCCTCCTGAGCGATGGTCAACACGCGCGCAAACTCGAGGGTCCCGGGATTGGCGATCAGCTTGACGAAATATGAGCCGAAAAAGAGCTGGAACTTCGAAGAAATGAGCCAAACTGAAGCAAGGCAGCAGGGAGAGCACCGAGCAACAGCGAGCAGCTATTTTATAAATGCATATTAGCAAGCGAGCACTCCTTCAATGGTGAATGGGGGATAAGTGGGTGCTGTGGCCTGTGACCGGCCTATGGCAGCTATATGTACAATGCACTCTGCACTCCGCAGTAAGCATGGGCCGCGGAACCTTGCGGAACTGCCGAGACTGTCCGCTTGGCATACCGAACAATCCAAGTGGAGCTGAGAACAGTGGAGGGTGGACTCAGGTGAGCACCGCGATCAGCAACATCAACCATCGGTGGCCATGGCAAGGAGCCTGGCAGGCACTACATGGGTATGTAGGCAGACCATCTCACTGGCAGTCCATGACGCAGTGCCCGACAAGCGGTGGAACATTTTGGACTTTTGCGCTGCGCGGCTGCGGCTAAGAGTAATGCGGCTTGTTCGCTTGCGGCTTGGCCTTTGGCTATTGGCTCCTCTCTCTTCTGTTGAGTTCGTCCACTGTCACACTCCACTGCACGTTTGCCGCTGCAACAGTTGTTGCGAAAAAAAAAGGTGCACAGAGAGCAGGAGCCGAACGGCAGACCGGAGACAGGGTGTGGTCATTTGGATGGAAAAAAATCTAGCTGCAGGATTGGTCATCGGTCATCTACGCTGTACGTATGTACTTTACCAGTGTGGTCTCCGCCCTTCCGGCTGTGAGAGTTTGAGGGCCGGACCTGGGCGGCGGATGCTTGTGCGATTGTGCATCATGCGGGCAAGTGCAGATTTGCAGATGAGACACGTGGAGATGTGTGTATTTTTTGTGTGCATGACCCCCCTCTGCAGCCCTGCTGGGTCTCTGCTCTCGTGGAACGATACTGTTCGGAATATCGTCGGTTCACGCGGCGCCAACGATGAGCCACCAGCCCAGCCCAGCCCAAGCGAAGCTGGGCGCCAGTCGGCGTCTCTCTCGCGCAAAGCAAGCTGCAAAGCTTGGGGAGGCTTGTGCATGCTAAACAGCAGTAGCAGCTGAAGAAGACCGCAGCGATTGATTATAAAGCACTCTCCCCTGTCATCGGTGCTTGCGTTCAGTAACTCGACATGGCCCCGCGTTCTGCTCACCGCGATGGACGGCGAAAAGAAGCATGCTCATGCTCAGGTCATCGCCTGCGGAGTGCAGTGTTGACAGCCCGGTCGCGTTGGACATCGTGGATCGGAAGCCCTTCATGCTAACGGTGCTTTAGAAAGTGCCCCTCCTCGAAGCGTTACAAGTATACTCGATTCGACTTCAGCCAATGGTTCTCACCTGTCAGTTCCGTCCACAGCCATGCTGCCACCGGCAAGCACCATGACCTTTGACATATTGGAGCAGCATACCATGGGCGAGCCGAGCATAAGTCTCAAGCGAAAGCTCTCCTTCGGCGGCATGGGCACAACAGCTGCTCAGGCTTGGCCATGCGACGCCTCGCAGCGTCAGCGTCAGCACCAGTACCAGGATCAACACGGGCTGCAAGCACAGCAGGGCTGCGAGGCGATAGCTGCCTCAATCACGGGCTCAGGCGCAACGCGGCCAGCGGCAGGAGCATCAGCTGCTTCGACCCGGAGCAAAAAGTCTGCAGAAGTGGTCAAGTTAGCAGATTGGTTCGCAAAAATGGTCTGCTATATTTGGTTTGCACCTTGCATGCCCAGTGTCATCCCGAAGCCTGTCACACCAGCTCACAGTCCGCTGGCTAGCTACGCCCCGCTGCATCCTGCGCCGTCCACGCCATCGCTCAGTCCAACGTTCCCGACCGGACAGAAGAATTCACCTAACCGTCATTTCGCTCCTAATGGCAGCATGAGCGTCCAATTCGTAGCGGAGCTCAAGAGGCGTGATCTGCAGCCGGAAGGCCAAGCTCCTCCGCGCGCTTTCACCGGCTCACCGAGTTCGCATTCGCCGCTTGTACGCTCTGCTATGATCCGGCTCAAACCGCAAGCCAGCTTCATTTCGTTCGCAAGAGAGGTGCTTAACACAACGCAGCTCTCCATGTCTGTTGTCCTTTGTGCACTGTGAGTCCAGCATTTAATTATGGCGTATGAATCTCAGTCATTGAAAGATCTTTCGCGCCTCCTTCGGACAGCCTCTACATTTACCGTTTCAAGTCCATGCATCCACATGTCAAAGGGCGAGAAGGATCTGAGTATCGCTTGGCGATTGTGGGGCTGATGCTGGCCAATAAGTTCCTGGATGACAACACATACAGTGCGTGATTTGTTCTCAAGAGGAGTACGCCGAGTGAATGCTGATGGCTGTTGAACCCCTCAGCCAACAAGACTTGGTCAGAAATCTCAAACATGAGACTTAATGATATCACGAGGATGGAGATTGAGTTCTGGAGTGGTCTTGGCATGAGCATTCACGTCACCGAGCAAGAGTTTATGGCTTGGACAAAGTGGCTCGAAGTCATCACCGAGCAGAGGACGCAATCGTTAGCGAGGAGAGAAAAAGAGACTATGGCAACGAGTAGCCGAACGTCGACATCAGCATCGGCATGGATGGGAATCACACGATCGCCGTCATTGCAGCCACGCGTAGGGGCGTTCGACCTGTCCCTCGCAGGAACGCAGCCTGCACACTTTAGCAAAACTTCCTCGCCGCTGCGAAGCATGGCGCCGCCTTTTGCATCTGCCCATTCCTCTCCGCTACGGGCGTTCTCCAACAGTTACCGACCCCCACTTTTTGCGTTCGATCTGCATTTACCTAACGGTCTACCGCCGCTTCCTTCTGTCGCACCTGTCACATCACCTCGATCTGCTATTGGCCGGGATACCACCATCGGTGCGACCAGCGAGCTCAGCAGCGTCACGAGCAGCAGGTTCTGGTCCGATGCGGTCTCCCCCGGCGCGAGCTCACACACATCTGCACCAAATGGAGCTCTGCGGATCTCCATCTCGCCGCCCTCTGCGCGACTCGATGACAGCTCGCGCCACGCAGCTTCAGCCGCGCAGGCTTGGTCAGCAAGCAGGCGCCGTTCGGCATCGAGCTGGTGTGACGGATCAGGGTCTTTTATGCCACCACCTTTGCACAGCGCTTCTTGGGCGCCTGTGACCGCATCAGCACCTGGTAGCAGCCATGGGCTCGCAGGCAACAAACGCACTTTCGGCTCGCTGGAGAGTGATACCAGCAGCTCGCAGGGGTCCGCTTTGTCCCCTACTTGGAACGTATCGCAGACGAAGCGCGTTGCAGCTTCGGCAGACAACGCTCAACGCCCGTATTATTCGCTGGCTGCGCCGCTTTCAAATGACCACCAACAGCAACAGCAGCAACACGGCCGTGCCATGCGTGCGGCTCCGGCTCACAACTACAACCTGCGAAGTATGCGGCGATCAACTATGCGTCAAATGTCACCGCTCGCTCACGCCGGCGGCTCTTCGTTGTTCACTGGCCCATCCGCACACCCTCGAACTGTAGCAGCCAACAGCGGCCATTCGAGCGCCGGGACTTCTCTCTTCACCTTCACTGGCGATACGGCACGGGAAGGCTCGTTGGTACCGGCAGATGCAGCAACAGCAGCAGCAGCAGCGGCAGCGGCGATGAACCACTATCATTCGCTCTTTGCACAACATGATTCACAGACACCCAACATGCTCGTGGCTCCATTCCAGGCGAGAGAAGTTCGCGAGCCGAGGGCACTGACGTACTACCAGCTCGCGTCCGGAGTGGCGCAAGGCATCCCGTCGTACCACCTGCCAAACAATAGCTATGCGCAGGCGCCAACCTGGAATCCTGCTCCCTCGGCTGTGCCGACCTCGTGGGCAGGTCAACTTGTCGCGACCGGTCAAGCGCAAGAGCAAGTGTTGCAGCAGCAGGCATCTGCCGACTTTCCCCTTGCCAGTCCGGTGAAGTCATACATTTGCAACCAACAAGCGCAGCCAAGCATGCAACCGCGGATGCTTGATGTGGCCAGCTGCGCTCCGACATCGTGGGACATCTCGGAAATAGGCGCGTGGCAACAAGAGCCATTCAACAATGCACAAGAACACGTCGATCACTGGCCTCTTCAGCTTCCCGCCGCATTCGTCCGGCGCTCACCCTCCCAACTTCTCTAGCCCCAAGTTACCACAGCAGGCTCCCTCAACCTGCATGCGGGGCCCCCGTCGCCCCTCTGGACAGGTATCCTCCACAATTCTCTTTAATCAAGCATCGAGTTCGCAGCATTCACACGTTCAAGGACCTGATCACTAGCAGCATTTTTTGCAAACACACTCACGACCCTTCAGAACAGCAAATTGTACAACAAGCAGCGTTACAAAGAGCATTACAACCCCTGTCTTCTTCGTACAAAGAGCAACATGTCAAATACATTGTATCTTAAAGAAAAGGAGGTTCGATCAGAGTAGACCACCACCAGAGAACGACATGCGCTTGTCGAGGACCTCGTAACGAGCGATGAGTGTTGTGGTGGAGACATAGAGATAGTCGCCTGCTGGATCCCAGCAGAGACCGGAGATGTCGATGAAATCGGGCTGTTCAAGAGTGCCAGAAGGTCAGGAACGGTAGGGGGAGCTTTGGATGGTTCCCAGAGGAGACGAGCATCAAACTTACCATTTCCCGCACTCCACGCGCACGATCCCATGATGAAGGGTACAGCAGCGGCAGGCGGCGACGTGCGCGCAAGAGGTTGTTCTCGCCCTGCAGCTCCTCTTGCACCATCTGTTCCATGACAGCAGACCAATGCTGTTGGCCAATACCTGCACCCGTACCCGACCCCGAACCTGCGCCGACCCCAGCGCGCTCTTCCCACGGTGCACCGGCCAAGAGCCGAGAGAGCACGTTCGCGGAAGACGTGGCCGCTCTAGACGTCAACCAAGGACGCGTCGGGCGCGAAAGCCCTCCTAATCCTGATCCTGATGCAGATGCTGCTGCTTCTGCAGCAACAATTGCAGCCGCTGCTGTTGTGTTCGACGAGCCTGCCATACCCGCGCCATACGGAACGGAGAGCTGTCTGCTGCGTCGCGCGAGGCCATTGACGGCGCGGAAGGCGTCTGCAATGTGCTCTGTGTCGCTGGGAGAGGACAAGTCGCGCACCTCGGTCGTCGGCTCTACGGGCGCCGGAGACCACCGATGCGTGTCCAACAACTCCTCTTCCTCCGCCATCTGCACCTCCGCAATGTTCCAAGGCACAGGTTCGGCCTCGGCTGGAACTCGTTCGGCGCTACTCGCTCGTGGTGCATCCGATCCATGTGAGCCACTGGACCGCGAAGACGCCGTGCGACTCTCCGAGCCTCTCGGTGGGTCAATCTGTTCGTGGGACATCCCGCTTGGTAGCTTCGAAGCCATCGGGAGGGTGATGCGCTGATGATGCGTGAATGATTCGGTGTCGTAAATGTGGACATGACTGAAGTGTTCTGTGAAAGCCAGCATGTCCCCCTTGGGAGAGAACTTAACAATGCGCGCGGCGTTTCGCGGACGGAACGATGAGTTGTCCAAGGACGTGGAGAGAATGGCGATGGGCCGAGAACTGCGCACGTCCCAGACGTTCACGGTGCCGTCCTGCGAGCCGACGGCAAATTTCGTCCCGTCCGGATGCCAGCTCGTCGAGAACGAGGAGTCGGTCGTCTGGTACTTTGCGATCTGGGAGTAAGTCCCCGATGGGTCGCAATTGTATAGAAAGACGTCAGGTGAATCGCCGACGGCGACCAGGGTGCGTCGGTCCGGGCTCAAGGAGGAGTGGTTGATAGCGGTGGGGAAGTGAAGCGTGTGCATCTTGCTCAGGCCAGGCAAACCTGATTCCAGCCGTCCTTGTGCGCCAAGAGAAGAGCTCGGATGACGCAGTCGGTAGCCTTTGATGCTTTGATCGTTATTATTGACCATGACCCGCACGCCACCCGCCACCGGCTTCGGCCCGAGCTGGACGCGGCCATTTTCTTGCTGAGTCTGGGATGATGGATCCGCCAAACGTATGCCGCCGCTGCTGCCCCTCGCGTCTCCACGACCAAAATCTCCTGCTCCAACCCGAACGGGGCTGCCGGAGCGTCGGCGATCATGCCCGGGCCGTGACTCCAATAACGCCACATCCTCTTCGAACAGCGGGTCGGCGAGTGCGACATCACCGTCTTCCGGTTGGTGCCGCTGCTGACTAAGGGTCCCCGAAGGAGCGTCTCTCCGCCATTTCATTGTCGATGACGTGCGCCGTGAAGGAGAGGACGACGTTGACGTCGATGTATAGGAGCTGCCACGTCTTGAGTATGGTCTCGAAGATGCAGGCGTCGCGAATTGACTCGAGGTCGGTGGTGGCGGTGGCACGTCGGGTTGGATGTGGATGGAGTTGTTGATGCTCCCCCCTGTGGGATGATTGAGCGCCCAGGCCAGGGGCGCGCGATGCTGCTGGCTCGTCGCTTCTTGTATCTCATTCGCGGACGATCTCATGGATACAGGGGTAGATGGAGCGCTTCCATCGAGCGGGTAATTTCCGATGCGCGGAGCTCTGCTGCTACTGCTACTTCTGCTGCCGCTTGCACCTGCTGCCGCCAAGCTGCCATGGCGCTGCCGCTCTAAATCCTGGAGTGGTCGGAGAGCCAGTTCGCCGTGCTGGCCGCCAGCGGCAACGACACCATGAGCGCAAGCAAGGCACACAGGCCGAAAGTCCAAGGAGCAGTAGGCTAAACACATGGATCAATCAGTAGTGTGTTAGCACAAAACAGGCAAAAATTCGTCCTAGCTTCAATTGAGTGCCTTTGGGTATACGCACTCGACACAGGCTAGTTGTTCGGATCCCATGCAGAAGGTTTGCGGCAAGATTCAAGGTTTTGAATTGCGGTTAGCCAGTGCTGGGTATTCCGCACTTGTCCTGCAATGTATATAGTTTGACTTACTTTGGAAGAGGAGAAGTCGACCAGATGGATCCGGTAGTCGTTAACAAAGAGCAGTTGATCCTTACTCCCCGTGGGCTGGAGCAGGTCGCGCAGCTCGTGATGCCAGATGCTGATCGGCGTCTTGACCGTCTCTGGCTCAGATGATACAAATGCAAAGTCTCTATAGCATCAAAGCACAGAAGGATGGACATTATGAGTAAGGTCCTGTCTAGGGAGACCACGCGTTGCGCATCGAGCATGGAAAGGAGGGGGGCCTCGATCATGACGGCACCACTGACCTGGTCATCTTCAGGTGCGCCTCCTTTGGACAGCCGCGTTGGCCTCCCACAAGAGGCCAATGCAATCTCGCGGCTTGGTCACGGAGGCGTGCCTGGAGGTGCTCTCGATGCTTGCTGTTGATGGAAGGCGATATTGAGCTTGGGCAAACTGTATAGCAACGAGCTTGCTCCATGGTCCATCAGGGTAGGCTATGAGGTGGTGTCTGTATAAACAGATGGGGCCCATGCGATTGCTATGGTGAGTGCGCGGCTCGCGCGCCACTAACCCAGTGTCTCACTACGGCCACTCTTGCCATCTCTCGATCACTTTCATTCTTTCTTTCTGGCGCAGACTTCTCTTTCGGTCTGCCAGCTTCTCTCTGTTCTAGCGGTTGAACTTCATGGAGCTCGGAATGCGTAGCACGCCGCCAAGGGCAAGCTCTTCAACCTGATACAGAGAGAGGGAGCAGCAGCTTGGAATCAAAGTAATTTATGGCTCATATGACAGAATATTGTATGGTTGCCGAACGAAGAGAAGCAGTCGACTCAAGTCGTAGCCATGAACGCGGTGTTTCCCTCCGTTCCGCTTTGAAGCTGATGCCACGGAGCTGCATGGTAGCCCACCCTATTCGAAGGTTGTGTGAAGGCGAGGGCGCTGCCGCTACGAATAAGATACGCTCTCCAGCGGCTTGGTGATGAGCGGAGACGATGGTCGTTTGACCGGCGATCGCAAAGTTGGAAGTTAGAAAAAGGCGTGTACCCGCACATGCGACGCAAACGCGCACTTGGCGGTTCTGCACTTGGGTCCACCAGCTTTTTTATCGTTGGCATTCGCTCCGTATCATCTATTCCACCGCAACTTGCTCTTTCATTCGCTTCTGCGACGGATACAGAACGCCCTCCACAGATGGGCCGTACAGTGTTGGCGACGCTACGGTAGATTTGAAGCAGTGAAGCGACCGTGCTTTCCAGCCGGCGGCGAGTTTTACTCCACTGGTCGAAAGAACGGCGACGGCTGTGCCCTCATCTAGGCGTTCTTTTGACAATCCCTCCACCCAGGGGCGACGCTCTGCACCATCCCACTCGTCCAGGAAGCTGTCCGACGAGACGGCCGACGTTTTGTATTTTCCTGGCTTCGCTCTCGACCTCGCTGCCGCTGCGACGACCGCCCAATCGCGCGCGGGCAGCATCGCCGACGCGGTAGCTGATACGTGGCAAGTGAGCTCCGCTTCGGTCCGGCCATCTGTACGCATTGATTCCCAGCCGCGAGCAACCATCGACCATGTCAGCAACCGCGAGCACCTTGGCTTCCAACCCTTTGGCGCCGCTCAATGCCGCCACGGTTCAGCCGATACTGCGACCAACTGCGTCCGTCAGCACGGTCGCCTTCCGTGACGGACGGAACATTAGCATCAATGGTACGTTCCTTGTTTCGCATGGCACTTCGTTCGCTCCTTTGTTATTCTCCTCCGTAAATTCTGCATGTTTCGGATCATGGGTGCTGCTGGTAAACGTGCACAGCAGACATGCGCTGCTTTTGCATTGCCTAATGTGTTCCACGCCGCTGTGCCACTTCAGCAGCGCACGCAAAGTGACACCGTTTACTGGCATCGCTTCCCTTGGCGGCGCAGGGGAAGCAATGATCTTCAGCAGAAATACTCAACCCTCTATTAGACGACCACATATTATCAATACTGCAACGGCCGTTGATACGCATGCTCAAAGGCTGCTCGGGTTTTCTGACATTTAGATTGGCGGATGCTGACGATACGCAACGCCTTTCTCTTCCTCCTTTTCTCTCTTCACCATTTTCAGATTTCATCTATATTTCCCCGCCATGGTCACCGGGTGCAGGCGAGCCTTACCTCATTGGTCGTGTTATGGAATTTGTCATGGTTCCCGCCGACCTCGCCGCCCCAGGCCCGTCGACAGGACGAGTCAACCGGCTGCACGTTCGCGCGAATTTGTTCCTGCGCTCGAGGGACATCTCGCTGCGCATTAACAATGATCAGCGGCTCGTCGTCGCTACTATGAACGCCGAAATTTTCTCCCTCGAGAATATTCGCGGTACATGCGAGGTCAGGCATCGTGACCATGTCGGCGACGGTTCCGCACCAGATCTGGCCATCTGGAAGAAGCAAGAGGGTCGATTCTATTTCCATCAACTCTACGATCGCTACATCCATCGCTTTTACGATATCATCCCAACGGAAAAGCTGCGCAACGCCCCAGCAGAGGTGCTTGAATTTCTTCGGAATCATTACTCTTTCATTATCGCCGAGCCAGGAATGCAGAGTGAACTGTGCGATGCGTTGAGAGGTTGCGCAACTTGCAAGCAATGGGCATCCAGGTAAGTTCCGCCCTAAAGCCCGTCTGAATGTTCCCCGAAGGCCGTGATTCGACCGTTCACATTCATTCTTGCCCCCCTCTTCCCGGCAGCCCTGAGTCCGTACGATGCGACACGTGCAAGCAGTTTTGGCACATGCGATGCCTGAACCCTCCTCTCTCCGCCAAGCCGGCGAAGGGTTACAGCTGGACATGTGCACCATGCACAAAAAAGCACGAATTGGCTGTCGAGGAAGGCAAGTCTGGCAGTTCTACATCATTGGGCATGTCACGTCTGCCGGGCTCGCAAGGATCCATTAAAGGCGGGCCGGAGACGACAGCAGTCAAGGCCAAAGCTGGATGGCCGAAAGGGAGAGGTGCGCTCGCAACCTATTCTCCAGTCTAATATTGTTCCTTGTGGTACTTACTTCATTCCGGCCGCTTTGACAGCCCGAACGAAGATCAATCGAGACACAATGACACCCGAGGGTTCCCTCGCACCGCAGCGCGTAGTCGCCGATCTAAAGGGAACGAGGTGTTTCAACAAGTGGCCTTACAGGTATTTCGGTCAACACACGGATGCTATGGACGTTCTCGATCCGTATGATTCGATCTACCCGCGAGCGACCACGCGTCTCGGTGTCAAGTTCCAAACAGACCTACTCTCATGGGAAGAGCAGCTTCAGCTCGGCAAAGGCGAGCGATCGGCAGAGCTGGTGCAGCCTGTCAAACATGAAGGAGCCGAAGATGAAGCCAAGCACGTCAATGGCGGCGGCACAGTAGCTTCTGTTGTTGTAAACGGCCAGCCTCTTGTGAAGAAGATTGATTTAGAGCCACTTGATTCTCAAATGTCGACGCCAATCGGCTTGCCCCCACCGGGGTCATGTACCACCCTGGCCTCTGCGACAGCAATTTCGTCCATGTCAGCGTCCACTACCCCTTCAGAGCAAACGCCAGCGGCAGCCGACATCGTATCTTTTACTTCCGCGTCGTCTCAAGTGTCCACGAAACGAAAGCCAGGGCGCCCTGCGAAGAATCGATACCAGGAAGGTGATGGGTCCGCTGCTAATGTTGATTACGCTACCCAATCAGCAACACCAATAACAGATGCCACGCCGGAGCTAGCTGCTCAGGCACCGTCAACGATTATTACGGTTAAACGGAAACCAGGGAGGCCGCGCAAGAGCGTGTTTGGCGAGGACGGTGCCGCCTTGGAAGGGCCTTCTTCAGCAAGAGGCAGCCCGGCACCCGCGGTACTCATTCCACCCCCTTCGGCTCCTTCAGCAGCCGACAGCATGGCGGCCTCACCAGCACCCGAAGGCCCTTTCGTCCCTGTCAGGCGGAAGCCCGGTCGCCCGCCAAAGAAGCAGCCCTCATCACACGCAGCTTCGCCTGCTCCTGGCGCTTCGCCTGCTGTCGGCACCGTCGAGCTTCCAAATGCCGTGCCCACAACTTCCAGCTTGCACCCACCGGATGCGCCAGAAGCAGCGGTAGCTGGAGCGGCGGCGGATATTCCGGACCTCACGCCCGTACCGGATACCTCACCTCTTCCTAATAGAGGCTCAGATGAGACGGTTGAAGTGGTATTTTCGCCGGAATTAGGGCTTTCTGACAAACTTGGTGAGTGGCTATTATTTTCTTCCTCCAATGGCAGACTTCTGACGTGGTGTCCACGCTCTGTCCTTGTCTTCTCTCTGCAGTCGGTGCTTTTCTGCGGGCTGCCCAGAAGCATATGACAGTCAGCGCCGGCATTGACGAATTCAATGTGGACTTGATGAACCGTGCCCTGATGCTCCTTTGTCGGCATAAGGACTCAGTTCCAGCAGGCCTTGCCGAATTCACGAAGAGTAGCCCGCAAGATCTGCGAATTACCACATGGACAGCCAGGGAGATCAAAGCTTTGGAGGCGGCCGTGCGAGAGGCACCGCTAGATCTCAAGTACTGCAAGAAACTAATCCCCTCGAAGAAGTATGGAGACCTTGTCCGAGCCTTCTATGCACACAAAGGGTGAGTATACTTTTTTCTGTCGGATGCTGTTGTAGCACGATGGCTTACACTCCACCCTGCGTTGAACAGACGCAAGTATGGAGCTATCTGGGAGGCGAAACGGAAAGGAAACACTACAGCTGCAGATGAGCTTGAGCGGCCCCATGCGATCAGTCGTGCCGTTTCACCTTCCTTGTCCATCATTGGCGGTGGTGGCTCACATGGCGTGCTTTCGTGCACACTCTGTCAGACGACCAAGAGCTCCGTGTGGTACAAGGGCCCGTACGTATGGCCAAATCGCGCGATGTGTGTGGACTGTGGTCTCCATTGGCGAAAGTATGCCGTAGAGCTCAACACTCTCGATGCGATCACATCTAACAAGCGGCCAGCGCCCGATGATTCTGGACTCGGTGTTCCCCCACCCAAAGCTGCGAAAACCAAGGTCGATCAGCAAGCGAGTAACAAGACGGAAGAGCCCTCCATGCCAGAAATTCTACCTCCGCCACCTCGCCCAGAGCCTACGAAATGCACATTTTGCAAAAAGCTAGAGCCAAAGAAAAAGCTTGTGCAATGTGCAAATTGCTCCATGAGCGTACATCAAGGGTGTTATGGCTGCTCGGATGACGCTCTCAAGGCGGATCAGTGGTTCTGCGATGCCTGTGGCAATGAAAGATATCGAGAGCATCTTTTGGTACGCTTGCGCTTTTTAAAGAATTCCGGGCGGGTATGCTAATGAGAATCGTCCTGCATTTCAGTCACCCTATTGCATTCTTTGCCCTTTACCTCGCAATTTCGCCAATGTGGGCAATCTCAGCAACCTAGACAAGCCACTCACGGGTCCTGGCTCGGGTCGGGGTCGTAAACCGGCAACGTCGAAAGAATCGAGCATAAATGCGCCTCCTCCACTCACGCCTCTCGAGGTGATGAAGCCGACAGAGTACCACAACTGGGTTCACATCCTTTGCTCCATCTATATTGCCGAGTGCCTGTTCTCCAACACCGAAACTCTGTCCCTCGTGGAAGGCGCTAGCAACTTGCCTCCTTGGCGTTATTCAGCTAGGTGCGAGATTTGCGGCGAGGTTACAGGCGCATGCGTGTCTTGTGCAGAGCAAGGCTGCCGCAAGACTTTTCATGTATCGTGCGCCTACGCTGCTCAGCCCTTTTATCTCTTTGGCTTCGAGATCAAGCCTGTGAAAAGCGTTCGCAGGGACCAGACGGCAACTGTATCCTTCAAGAGTGAGACGGGCAACATGAAAGCACTGATCTGGTGTCAAGACCACAAGGACGCCGCCAAGGCAAAGACGCTGTACGACATGTCCGAGACGGATCCAGCCACCGGTCTTGTGAGTTTCAAGCACTGTGCAAAGCCATATCTTTCAAGAAGTGCTGATGACTCTTTTACTCCTTTCCCTCGCTGCACAGACTGCACTTCAAGCTTTCGCACGAACACACAAACACCTGACGGCGTTGAATCACACGCACACCGCTGCCAAGGAAGTGGACAGCAGTTTCGCTTTACTGCGGCGTGCACGACGTGCAGACGCGACAGTCGGTTCGAGCAGCGTATTCGTGGATGAATCGATGCGCGCGACTCCGCGCGGCGCTGTCGGCCGGAGCAGTCGGAGCAACAGCCATACCGGTGACGCGAGCACCGTCTCCGCTGAATACCACCATGACCATGATCATGCCCACGCTCACCTGCCGCCCCTACGAAGATGCTGTAAATGCGGCACGCCATACTCGCCCTACTGGTGGACTGTACCAGACAGCGGCCATGGCGTTGGTGAAAGTGATGCGGAGGAGCAGGGCGGGAAGGGTAGGAACTGTGGTGGCAGCGCCAATGTTTGCTGCAATCGTTGCAAGCCTGAAGTGTTTGCGACTGTGCAAGACACGTCGATACAAGTGACGGACCCGTTAAAGCAGGCGTGATCGATGTGCCTTTCGGTATCTGGCACATCGATGAATACTCTTGCAACCTGTCCGATCTTTCAACCCTTGCCGTTCTGTCAGCTTGGATGCGAAGAGGCAATGGAGCATGACAGGCACTGCGCTGTGCGCGCAGGTACATAGCATTGGCGAATGCGTATAATGCATGCGAGAGAGACCGCTCCGAAAAAATTGTAGCATGATACTATGGGAAATAATTACAACGCAGTCGCCGTCGTTGTTGACCCTCGCGTCTGGCGCCTGCCTGCACCAGCGGTCGTGGACGTGTCTGCTCGCGGCGCCGAAGCAGCAGCCGTGACGAGGTGGTCGAGCGGTCCGGCACGTGTGCCAAGACCAGGGACAAGGCTGGTGCCGCCGGCGGGTTGCGAGCCGGAAGCTGCTGGTGCTGGCGCTGACTTCTCATCGGGTGCTGATGTCAATGACTGCCCAGGCGGCTGCAATGAGGTATCAGTAGTGTTCGTCGCCGATGCAGTCGCGCCGGTTGGGTCAGTCGTCATGCCAGGTGCATCCGCAGCAGGAGCGGAAGGAGTGAAACCTGGGTATGGAATGTGATACTGCTGCAGGATCTGCTCGATCCCCTCCGGGTTTCCGCTGCTACTACCAGTGGCACTAGCGCCTTCAGGCGCATTGGTACTGTTGCCGGCGATGACAGCGTTCGTTGCGCCTGGCAGACCCGAGTGCTGAATCTGCGCCTGCACTTGGCCATTGCCGCCTGCAAAGGCCCGTAGTGCGCCTTTGAGGTTCATGTTCTCCTCGCGCAGCTGCGTGTACACAGCTTCGACCTCGCCATCGAGCGCTGCGCGCAGCTGCGTGCTCTCGGCCCGCAGATCGCTCGCTATCATCTCGGCTGCCAAGATTCGCGCACGTAACTCTTCCCGCTCCGCCGCGAAGGATGTCAGCTGCGTAGCCAGCTCGTCGCGCGCCGCCTTGAGTGCATCGAACGTCTGCTGTGCTTCCTCGAGTCTGCGGTACTTCCTGTGATCAGAGAGAAAACAGTGCGAGAGCATCAGCAAAGGGGCCGTGTGAATATTTCAAACCTGCGTGTTTGAAACGTGGAGGGACTTCAACTCACTCGTCCCTCTTCTCCCTGAACCGCTTCTGCGCAGCGCGATTCTGTGCCGCGCGTTTACTCGGGTCAACATCTCTGATCCCGCGTTTGCGCTTGCCGGAAACGGCCTGCCCGTCGGCAGTATTAATCAGGTCGGCTGCATCACAGGTTGGGACAGAAGCATCGCGGTCGGCCGCTGTACCGTTTCCGGCAGCTGGCCCTGCTGCTCCCGCGCCAGCGACGGTGGAGCCTTCGGCGCATGGTACTTGTGCTGAATCGGGCACACCTGGCTCCTGCGAATAATACTCTAGCGGCGGCGGCGGAGGTGGTCCGGTGCCCCGGCGATCTTGGCCCTGGCCCTGGTTGTCAGGGTCTGCTGGCCCTTGTGCTTGCCCATGTCCATGCGTATGCGCGTGGCGCGAAGCCTCCGCAGCCGCAGCTGCCAACGCGACAGCTGCAGCTGAGTTTTCCGCATCCCTTACGTCTGAGCTCGAGCGCCAGTTCTCCGGTGGCATTGACTGCGTATACCAGGATGAATCGGCTGCATCGCCTTGGTGTTGCTGATCGCCGTGGCCTAGCGCGTGACGCTGCTGCTGGTGATGATGATGGGGGGGGAAATGATGTCCTTGCCCGGGGGCGTGGGGCTGAAACGGTTGCGCATGTCCTTTGAGCTGCGCTTCGACGTGTTGCTGTTCTGCTTGCTCGACCGATGGCGCCGTGCGTGAATCCCGAGCGCCCGAAAGAGGCCCGCTACCACTACCACCACCACCAGCTGCCGCCGCAGCTGCACCTTGTTGTTGAAAGCGCGAATCTTGCAACGCATTCATTTTATCGAGCTCACCCTTTGTACTTGCTCTTCGTTGAGCGTCAATCCACGCGTGTCAGGTGATAAGTGCCTAGAAGGGCAGGCAATATTGACGCGTTGACGACGCGATTCAGAACATATGTCATATGGAAGGGTGCCGGCAGTGTGATTGTGATGTCAAACCCCTCCACTGGCGCGAGCGATCGCGTCCCAAAGCGTCGAATGGATGCCGTCGCGGCGTGGAGACGCCTACTACTGAAGACGCGTGATGGACGTGTTGCTGTCGGTATGGGTGAGGATGGAGGTGTGCGATGGATGCATGGCCGGGGATTGTTTGCCAGCGTGCTGACCTAAGATGTGAAGTAATGGGGCCAGCCCGCACAAAACGCAGACCGGATTTACAAGATTTACTCCATTCTGCTCGCCTGGACTCTCTGGGGTTAGAACGATAGTCACATTCTGGTTACTATTCTAAAGAGGAGCGAAAGAAAATACAGCATGTGCAGCGATCGCTAGGCAGAAACAAGGCCTGTGAAGGAGGGCCTGGATCTGTGAACTTGTCAACCGCCACTTCCCAAAGGAAAGGAACCAATTTGCGGGGCATTTGCAGAACCATTGCAAGCGGTTGAAAGCGAGCCGCGAGAAGGTGAATCGACCCGCTTGATGCTCGCAAAGGACAACGTGTCATGCCTCAGCGAGTTGCATAGATACCATGGATTTTTGCTTTGCTCTGCTTGCGCAGACACGACCTGCGACGTGCCCACAAATATTACAGAAGGCGAAGGCGTCCCAGGCGGCGCGCCCGTGCGGGCTGTGGTCGCCGCCACAGCCATGCATTGATTTCCTAGGGTTGAGGGTACCACCGGCTCTCCACCGCAATGTGATAGTGAAGGAGTCATGTGTCGTCTGCAGTAATGCCAGTGTATGTGAGTCGGGCAACTGACTCTGAATGAGGATGTCGACGCGAGGCGAGGCACATCGTATGGTGCAATTGCAAGTGAGATGGGCGCTGTGAATATATATACACAGTCGAGCCGCAAGCTTTGTACTGGGAAGTTGGGAGACCCTTTGTGCGCAAGAGATAACTTTATGCAAGGGGTAGAGGCTGTAAATTCCCGCACTTCTTCTCGGGTAATGACTTCAAGACTTGGCGAACTGTCTTCGACTTTGCTCATCCTCCTTTCTTATCTGGAAGCGACATGCTCAGTCGCGCGCTCGGGCCGATGCGATAATGAAATCACAGCGCTACCATAGTCAACGGCCTCTCCAACCTCACGCGCTCATGTTCGATCCTGATCTTGGCCATGCCATCGTTCTGCGATGATTCGATTGAGCATGGCGTTGGTGAATGGGGCTACATGACGGAACAGAGAGCGGGGTCACACGCGCCTTTCTGGGCGAGGAGCTTGGATTCTTCAAGAGAATGGCCACAAAGGCTCCTCTGATATTGCCACTGATCGAAAGAGGCGCATTACAGTGGAGGTGAAGAAATGATTGCGCCTGTACAGCTTACTCTCCTGTTTCGCATTTTAAATATCCTCAAGCACAGCGGTTTTGAACATTGTCTCGTCCATTTCAAGCTCATCGCCCAGTAAAACGCTACTCTCTGTTCTTGGTTTGCGTCATGCGGTCTACGGGCGCGTATGTTATCCCTATCACTTTTACGAACTCTGTGCACAATTGGCGCATTGAAGAGACGAGCTGTAGAGGTAGAGGCGCAGAGAACTCTCTGAGTCTCAGTGTATGCAATATATCACAGTGGCCTCTCCGTTGCGGCGCGGTGTCCCTTTTCGTCGCAGCGAATTGCGCGTCCGTCAATTTCAACTGTACACCATGTGCATCTCAATTCCTTATTCCACAATACTCGATGTAAATGAACCACCTACTTGCTTCGTGCTTTAGATTCTTGATGCAAAGCTGCATGCTGGACAGCGAAAGAGTGTAATTCGAGCGATCGAACAGCAAGGTGTCAACGTTCTATCAAGATGGACGCGGATATCGTATCGCAAGGTGCGGCGGCGCAATGCACCAGCGAGCAGTCCGATGCCACCAAGGGGGGCGGTGTGTATGCCACTGCGACGGGCGCGTCAAGCTCGAGCAGCGCAGACGCCGGTACATCAGAGGCCACGACGGACCTCGTAGCAGGCCTATCCTCCTGGTGGGGCGGCATCTCCAAGATATCAGCCGAGAAGTTCGAGACGGCACGCGCCAACATACAGACGCAGTCGAAGGAGCTCGTGCGCGTCGCCAAAGATGAGCTGCAGCGCTTCGAGCAGAGCTTGGAGGAGGCGCAGAAGCGCGCAAGGAAGGAGAGCAAGAGCGGCGCCATTTCTGTCACATCGGCAACGCAAGGGGATACCGGCGACAAGTCAAAAGGGAAAGGCAAGGCGCGGCAAGTGGATGGAGATGCTGTCGATGGCGACAAAGAGAAGGGCTCGCAGCGCGAGCGGTCCGGGATAGCGCGCGGGGAAGAAGGCATAGAGCAAGGCGGAGGGGACAACGTCGCAATGGTCGATGCCAATGGGGATATTGTCGGTGGCTCTGATCCATCCAGAGGCCCTGGCTCACCAGCAACGACAACGTTCGACTTCGACATCGAGCAGCGACTGGTACACGCCTCTGCGCTCTTTTCCAACTTGGCCAAGTCGCTGCAGAACGATCCGCGCGTACAGTCGATACAGCGCTCTCTGGTTGGCATCAGCAGTGACGCATCTCAACAGCAAGGACAGCAGGTGTCAATTGATGGTGCAGAGAAAGAAGGCTCAACTTTGGCAGAGAGCACTCCTATTAGCAACCTTTCTTCGACCATCCAATCTTCCCTTCCGCACCTCTCCTGGGCACAGTCGCAAGCGCTGGCGGAAAAGTACTGGAGCAAGAGCGAAGAGTTCGCCAAGGAGGTTATCAAGGAGGTCAAGGACATTGCCGGAGAGTTTGTACAAGTCCTTCCGCCTGAGAAACAGGTCTCGGATGAGAAGGCAGCGGGAAAACAGCAGGAAGGCAAGCGACAGAAGTCGCAGAAGAGCAAAGCAGACGACATCGTCTTTGACGCCGACAAGGATGGCGGGCTAGAGGACATTAGCGGCGCATTGGAGCGCGCTGCGGCGCCAACGCCTCTGAAGCCAGAGACAAGCAAGTCAAAAGCTGACTTCGACTGGGACGCGCCGGAGAACGGAAAGAGTGATAGTGCGTTCGGCCTGCAGACTTCGACCGGTCCTCCAACAGGCAGCTGGGGCGATAGCGACGACGAAGTGCCAGCGCGAGCCGTATCAGCAGCACCCGGCCGGACCGCGAGCGAAGTTGTGACCGCAAAGGCAGGAGTGGGCAAAGACGCTTCCAGTGGTGGCGAGGCAGCCGAAAGCCAATCAAAAGCGAAGGAGGCGACCAAACATGACGATGAGGATTCCGATTGGGAGTGATGTAGATCTTATCGCCAACCATGCAATGCACATAGGATTCGTTGCAGATATCATAGTGTGCAGATGAGGGTGGGGATGTAGCGCTAATGTCTACGCGTCATGAATGGTAAAAGAGTCGTCTAACTTGGAAACCCCAGAGGTGTTCATCCGTGAAGGCATGTGTGCAAGCGCCGACTTGCTGGCATCAATGATTAGCTGTCTGTCAGTCGGGCCGAGCGCAAATGATCTTTCAGTCACACAAGTCGCGAAAGAACCATGTGGTGCCTGACCGCTAGATGGACTCACATTTTCCGCCTCCATAAGACGCATCGTCCATTCAAACGCCGTGAGCGCTGCGGCGTTGGTCGGGAACGCCCTGAGGATGCACGGCAAAAAGCCCGTATAGAGCGTGCGCACCCTCCGCATCACGCTTGCGTTCGGACCGTCGTGGTTCCACACGCTGCGGAAAGCCGAGCGGATAGTCGCGTGCTGCGGATCTCGCAGGCTGTCTGCCATGATGCGGTTCTTGACCACGTCGGAAGGGAAGGCAACGAGCCAGTACAGCTCGGCTGCCAGGCCGCCTGCTAAGAAGGTGCGCATCGCGTCGGACATCTCGAAGCGCGTGCCCCGCAAAGACGAGAGTTGCACGTGGATCCAGTCGTAGCAGCCAAACATTATGGCAAAGTTGCTGCGGAAGAGCAAATTGGCGGGCAGGCCGTGCCACATGCCTCGGACACCAGAGTGCTGGACGATTTGGCTGACGCAGTTGATTGGACCTGAGAATTCACGTGCCGCCGCGCCGCCCGCTGTTCGACCTGGTATGTGGAATCGGACCTTTTGGTGCTGCATTTGTAGCTTAGCTGCAAGAAGGTGCAGAGAAGGAGCGGTCAGCCCTCAGAACGGGACGTCTGTACTCGTTGGCGTGTAATACATTTGATCAACTCCATGGGTGTGGTGAAGAGCGAATTGGTCCAGCCTGCAAAGAGGCCGGAGATGGCATGAAAATAGGTCGGCAATGGCTTTCCTGTGCCTTCTCCGGTGCCGGTAAGCCGCGAGAACATCAAGCGGTAGTTGTGCAGCGAGCCAAGCAGTACGCTGTCTGTGAAAGCCCAGCCCACTGCAGGAGGTGTCTACCTCGGTGCATGAGCGACATTCAAATATCAGGCTCGGCCAAATTACAAGTATGTCTGCTTCTTCACTCACTGCGCCCTTATATAGCCCAAATATTCTCTCTTTTCGGATCAACTGCATGAGTGCATCTCCTGGTCCTTTGAAAGTCCCGTACGGACTGACCTGCATCCGGATTTTGATCGTGTCGAAAGGATGCCCGACAGCCAGCTTCGTCAACCCGGAGACCGTTCCAGCCGCGAATCCCTTGAAGGATGCATTGCTTTTCCAGTTGCTGTCATCCTGATCGGCGGCCTTGCTTTTTCCTGTGGGATCTGAGAGCTTCACGCGAGACGATGAAGCAGCCTTGATGTCCAAGCTTGAGACCGTCCCGTCGTCTGATGTTTCGATCGCCATGTTGCTGCAACCAGTTCAGCAACACAGGATGATGCAAGGCCGATGATTCTGTTCAGCCTTACCCGATCGCCCGCCATCTATGGTTCACAACAGCGTTCATGAGAGTGTACATCACGTTAGTTGTGTCCTATCCTCGTGCGAAGGTGAGTTATTGTCAGCGATGTAACAATCAGTTGTTCAATTCGCGAACGCTCGCTTTCCAATTCGGCTCCGAAAGACACCGTTCTGGTGCCAGCGCGGTGACCACCGTCGACCAGCCGCTGGCCTTCTTTTGCTCATCTTCGCATCCGAAGACCTTGGCTCGTACACCACCAGGGCGTCTGTTCAGATGCAGTGTATACACGGGGAGGCTACCCAACTGCTCACATATCGCACCTCTCTGACATGGCTCTGATCATCGTGTCTGGACTGCCAAGCTCCGGCAGGAGCTCCAGAACTGTCGAACTGGTAGCCGACTTCGAACGGAGGATAGCGTCAACCTCTTCTGCACCATCCTTGCCTGTATCCCGCATTGAGGTCGTCTCGGATGCGACGGTGCACAACCAAAAGTCGTGCTATTCGAATCAGCGTCTAGAGAAACCTGCGCGAGCGTCCTACCTGTCAGCTGTCACACGAGCACTGGGCAAGGACTGCATCACGATCGCTGATGGGGGTGCTGGTCTCAACATTAAAGGCTTCCGGTACCAACTATGGTGCGCGGCGAGGGAAGAAGGCGTTCGTTGCGTGTCCGTACAAGTACACGCGCCTCCAGAAACGTGCAAGGAATGGAACAAGCGCCGAAGAAACAGGGAAGAGGAAGCATACGATGATGACACGTGAGCTGCACCTTACGCGGTCCTTCACCTTTCTGTCCATCGCGCTCACTCCAGTGCTTTCTAGAATCGACGAGATGCTGCTGCGGTACGAAGAACCCAATGAAATGGTGCGGTGGGACCAGCCGCTCTTCATTGTACCGTCTGTCGCCTTTACATCTGATGGCATACCCGCAAAGAGCGAGGCGCAGAAAGAGCCACTACCGCTGGATGAGATATGGGATGCTGCAACCTCCGGCGCGGCCAAGAAGAAACCTGGAGTAGTTCTAGCTGTGAGCTACCGCGTTTGATAAGATTCGGTATAAATTTACTCCAGACTGATGTAGTTATACTTCCCTTGGCTTGCAGCAACGATCCACCGCCGGCAGCTATCTGACCATACTGGAACATGCGTCACAAGCTGTCGTCTCAGCGATGCTGTCACATCAACAATCGTTTGGGCTACCCGAAAGCGGCGGGCAAGTGCGTCTATCGGTGCACTTGGTATCAGCAGGAAAAGAGGTGCCCCTTACTGTGAACCTGCCCGCTACCTCCAAGCCAGTCAACTTGCCGACTTTACAGCGGCTGCGACGAACGTTTGTGCGTGCCCACGGTACCGGCAACGCGAGCGTCAATGTGCTCGGCGATGCTGCGAGGGCAGAAGTGAACAGCGAGGAAGCAGGGGAACTGGAGATAGCGAAGAGATTCGCCAGCTGGTTGTGCGAGTCACTGTAAAGCTCCTATGATTGCAGTGCAGAGCACATCAGACAAGTGTGCGGACGCGGTCGCAAGTGCAGATGACAGATATATCTCAGATGACGATGCGTGGAAATACAGCGGCAGACTGCAAGAAATGACGAGATGAAATGAAAAGAGATTCGAGCAGATGCAGATTGTAAGCGTCGCAGCACAGAAGGGCAGTGTGCTCAAACCTTCGATTCTGCCGTCTCAATAGTGTCCAAAGCCTGACGTGGCGGACGACAGGGGGTTCCAGAGTTAGTCATCGGGGCACACGAAGACCCTTCACATCTCTCGCGACACACTACGCACCGGAGAGGTAGACGGCCTCCTGGCAGATGCAGTCTGTCTCCGTCTCCGCATCCTGCCGAGGTCCGAGAACTGCCAGCGCTTGTTCATCGGCGACTCGGCGCCGGTGTAGATGAGCGAGTCGTAGATGAAGCAGCCAACTTGGGCACCGACGAGCCTTTGTGAATACAAAAAGGATGATTGCATTCAGTCGTAGAAAATCGCAGTGTCGCCATAGAGCAACTTACGTTCCAAGAAGCGGTACGATCAGCCAGTACCATGCATCGAACGTCCACAGTAAGTCCGGACTATACCCAACAGTGTACAGCATCAAGCGAGGCTGCAAAACATGTTGATGAAAGAGTGTGAGCGTCCGCAAATGCATCAACTGGCAACAGGGGTTTCAGAACTTACACCGAGATCTCTTGCTGGGTTGAGCTGTTTCGAGCAGGATAGCAAGTGTAGTCAGTATCTGTCAGCTGGTCTGCAAGTGGAGCTGCTCGGCCAAACGTACCGCGTACGCAGTTTGCTAAGCAAGACAAAAACGCAAAAGGCCCAGAGCGGTGTCAGCGGCAACCGTTCACAACCATATTTGATCTGACGCGTCTTTGAACGCACCCAGCCCATCGTCGCGCCAATACCGGTGATAGCCCACATGAGCACGAGCGGCGCCATGCCGTCAACGGGCGGGGTATTGTTCGCGTCGCCAATGCCCAGCACAATGATCAGCAGGACAGCAGTGGCGAGAATTTCGTTGTAGAAGCCCGTGATTCGCGTCGAGGGCGTCGTGATGAAGTCGGCAGGGAAAGTCGTGTAGAGCTGCGCGGTTGCTTTCGTTTGGTTGGGGTCTACCATGCGCGTCGCGTTGACGTAGAGGCCATCTTGGCACAGCAAGCGATGTTTGGATTCCTAGTGAGTATGCGTTTCGCGGCAACTGCACTGAACGGGAGGAGCTCACAGATGCACATGGAACCGGCATAAGCACCCGCGATCTGTGCGGCGATGTAGATCGGGACCTTTTTCTGTGGACAGATTAGCACAAGGTACATGACATCAGCACAAGTGCTTGAGTGACGAACGCTGCCTCGAGCATGGCCGATGGTTGTGCGAACGTACCCAAGGGAAACCTCTCCATACCGCCAAGGCCAGAGTGACAGCTGGATTAATCAGTCCACCGCTAATACCGCCAGCAGTGGCAACACCGAACATTGTACTACGCGTTCAGAGAGGCTTCAATCCATCAGCCTGAGTGTGGAAAAGCAGTGCTGCAACAAGCAGAAACGCCGCATTCTGGAACTCACGCGATACCCCAGCCCAACGAGATGGACAAGTAGTTTCCCTTTTGGCTTGCAGGGTCTACCATTTGTGAGAGGAATACCTGATTATTGATACCGTCGCCGAAGATCATCAGGATGAAGCAGCCGAGGAACTCGGCGAACGGCTCGCGCATGTGGTACCGGAGCTTCGCCCACGGGTTGGGGAAGTCCGCGTCGTCGTTGACGTCTGCGTCATTCTCCCTCATCTCGGCCTCCACACCGTCCGCGACGGCCCGCAGCGCCATGACGGCTCCGTCATGGCGCTGCTGCGGCAAGATCTCCGCCTTGGTGTAGTCGCTCGCAGCGTCGCGGGTGGAGATATGCGCGTTGTTGCCGCCTTTGGCACCCTGGCTGTGCTCGTCAGTGTTGTCGCCTGAGCGGGCTGGCTTGTTGGTAATCTCCTCGACAGCGGCCTTGAGCTGGTCCTCGGTTTCCGCCTTCAGGTCCTGCGCATGCCCGCGATTGGCCATTTGCACCTCCTCGTGGATGATTGCTCGGAGCTGCTCGACCAACAGTTGACGCTCGTTCGGGCCATTGAGATTCAAATCCTGGCTCCCTCTGCGGCTGCCCGGGTTCGACGCGGTCGGCTCGCCTGCGGTGTCGGCGCGACTGTTGCCGCCGTTGCGATTGGGGAATGCGTGGGCCACGCCGATCAGGTTACCATGGTCGACGTACCCGAGCGACGGGGCGTTCTTGGTGTGTCCGAGGGAGTAGGCCGGCTGCTTGTCCTTGACGTACATCTTCGTCGTCTTGACGTCCTGCATCACCTCGCCCTTGGCTTTCTGGCCTGGCTCGACGTGCTGCGTGGTACCGTCAGCGGCACGCTCCTGGACCAGCTTGACTTGCGAGTGGTTTGTGCTCGGAAGATTCGACGGTAGCTGCAAGAGGGACTCCTTGTCCTCGTCCGGCCCAGAGGACATCGTCAGCGGCGTTGCACCCGCAGGCTCGTGCATCGGCACGCCCGGGTGCAAGTCGACCGACTGTCCCTTACTCCTTGACTCATCCGACATGGCGATCTTCTGCCGCTGCTTGAGCTTGCTGCGATAACTTCGCACGATGGAAGCGACTTCAGCCGGGAGTTGGATAGAGCGACTCTTTGACAAATGCACGGTGTCGGGCAAAAGCAATGAGCTCGTTTTATGTCTTGCGAGAAAAGGGGGTCACACGATCCCAAGAGCTCGTGGATGGCTTTTGTGCGGGATCAGATGCTCAAGAGAAAATTTGATACTAGTAAAGCAGAAACAGAAGGGGTTGCGAGGTGGGGCAGCAGCAACTGGACGTGGGCACAGGCTGTACCTGCAAACGGTACCTTCACAGTCTACAACTGACACCGAAAAGCTCCAACCTTAGGCGCCTTGTTTTCCGCGCAGAGCAGGCACGCGGTATGATACTCCGGTCGGCAGCGGACAAGTTACCGGAAGGCAGACAGCCAGCAAGCACCAAGAAGAGCAGTAGCAGAAGCATGACTATCGGTTTCTAGATGAGAGCAAGATTGCCGGGGAGGAACTGACGAGTGAGAGCAAAGAACAAGGTTGGGCAGATGCTTGAATTTCGAAAGGTACGGACAACAGAGCAGATCCAGGCCTGCATAAAACTACACCAGGGCCAAGCAAGCACAGGGCGCAGGAGCTAACAAGTACCTCTTGGCTCTGTCTTCCCGGCGTTTCCACCAGCAGTCCAGCAGCAGTGTTCTAGCTCTTCTTGAGTCTGAAGCCATCCTTCTCCACACTCAAAGAAGGCACAAATGCGGCGCAATCTCGTGCCTAAGTTCCTCCAGATGCCCACAGCAACGAGTGCAGGATCAAACGACAAAGCACAAGCACAAGAAGGAAGGAAAATTCCGGTGGAGAAAACCCGTGATTCCCTCGAAAGTTGAGCCGGAAAATTTTAACCCTTTCCACAATGCGAAGCCAGCAAAAACCCTAGCCCAGCCACCAGAACTGCCACGGCGCGACTCTCAATACATATGTAGCCCAGGGGCGGCACGCACTGACTCTGCGGAGTCTCCGATCCAAGAAGCGACAAAAATCGACGCCAAAATGTCAATTGTTTGATTGGAAAATGGCAGTTATCAACAGCACTTGACACTAGGCCTGTTTCCAGGCACCAGGCAAGTCTATCTGGCAACGCTGGACGCTCTAGGGCGGCGAGGACAACCGAACGAGTAGCAGTGACCACACGTCTGGCTGTGCCTTTCGTGCTTGTCGACGTGGACAGACGCCAGCGCGGACATCTGCCTCGCTGCGCTCTGCTGCTGGTGCTTTTGACGACTGACCGGCGCAATACACCACATAGCCTGCAGGAAGGAGGTCGGTCCTTCCAGAGTTGGCTGGGGGACACACACCAAGTGAGCTCTGATAAGCAAAAAAATGAGAATAGGCAATATAATGCAACAATGGTGGGTAAATACACGTGAGACACAATTGCCGTGGCCTGTCTGCATTCTTTGTTTGATATGAGGGTTGTGGGGCGTGTAGTCGATGCAGGGTATTGAGGTGCTGCTCCTCATGCTGATACCTTCCTGGTTTCCAGATTTCTCGCCCTGCACTTTTTTTCCGACAGCTCTCCCCTCATGCGCTCACACGCTAGCTAGCTAGACGGCACACGGCGCTGTAGCAAGGATATCAGATGATTTTGTGGCTGTACTTGCATCTCCGCGTCCCGTCTGCCGCATTCGGGCGTGTATGACGCTTGATGACGACCAGCACCACGCGGCGCGTTCTGCTTCCTCCACGTGGTGGCGGCGGCGGTACTGTACCTGAAGCCCGTCGTGTGGTGTACGCCGCGGGCCACGTCGCAATCGCTCTCTACGTCTGCGTCTGCGTCTGCTTCTGCTTCTGGGCTGTGGACTTTGCCTTCATTTCGATAGTCGATGTCGATGTCGTCGGCGGAAGAGGGCGAGCCGCGAAGATGTGCTTGTCGGCATCGTTCCAAATGGGACCCATGAATGAGTGGCTTGCGATTGAGCCGCCGTCCGCGCTGCTGCTGCTCCTCACCCTGCTCGTTCTGAAGCACGAGCATGAGCGTGGCGACGCTGATGCCAGCTGCGCACCGCCTCTTTCCCTGATCGCACGCATCGACCTCCGGTCCTTGCGAGTAAGGGGTGGGAGAAGACGAAGGGGCGAAGTGTATCGATGTGGTAACGCTCGATTGAGAAGACACTGAGGAGCATAGCGACGGCGCAGAAGAGAAGGAAGCACAAGACGTCATGGACAAGCCGCCGCCGCAGTTGTCCTCACTTTCGCCTGCATCTTCATTTTCTGAATGTCCATAACTAGTCAGTGGAGACGACCACGATTGCGACGGCAGATTGTGGTACGGTGGACTGCTGCTACTGCTGCTGCTGCTACTGCTGCTACTACAGCTACTGCTGCTCCCAGCGCTATCGCTGCTGGACTGCCATTCCATATTTCCGTTCGCAATGTACTGCGGTGAGCTGGTTGGGCAACCATGCTCCCGGTCGCTGTCGCTGCAGCTTCCTTCGTACTCGCTCTCGGGTTCGTTTTCATTGTCGTTTTCGTCCTCGACGAGCAGAACCAGACCTTGCGGAAGATCGACTTTGCTAGGCTCGGGCTCGACGATCTTGAGGCTAGGCGAGCGTGCCATGGGCTCCGCATGGGGAGGCTGCTGCTGCTGTTTCTTTTCTTGCTGCTCCAGCTCCGCTAGTTGAGCAGACTGGGCGTGCAAAGCGTGTACGTCCTCCCAAAGCTCCATGAACGCGTAGCCCTTGGGCCCGCCGCGGTAGCGCCCGATGAGGCGGTCGTCCGCGCCGCCGTAGACGCCGACCACGGGGTAGCAGTAGCGCTTCTGCCAGTAGATCCCGCCTTCCTCCCAGCCGATCTCCTCGGTGCGCAGCGGAACGTACAGCCAGCGGCTGCTCAGGTCCTGTTCCGGCACGCGCGGCGACTTGCACGACGGCGCGCTCGGCTTGGTCAGCTTCAGCATCGGCGGCCGCGACGGCGGTACGCGCATGCTCCGAGGCACTGCAAAAGTCGTATTGGCCTCTGCGCTGCTGCTGTTGGTATATTCTGACGCGGCGACGATCGTGATGGGGTGGGTGCGCACGGGCACCGCGGTACGACGCTGCTGCTGCCGTTCCGCATCGATCATGGATGGCATCTCCGCTGCCGGGCTCGTACACGGTGCAGCAGCAAGGACCGACATGTCGAGCGGGAGTTTTGAGGTTGCTTTGCTCGAAGCCGATGAGAGAGGCTGATGGGTCCGGTTGAAGAGACAAGGTTCCAGCCTTGCCCACTCCGCGTTCTTCTACTACTTGCCTCCTTGTTCTGCGTGTGCGACGATGGTTGATGGGCGAACTGCTTGTAATGTGGTGGAGGTCTAGTAGGTGTCGCCAATGGTATAAGGGGGAAGGGGTGGCGGAACAGGTCGTTGCCTTCTATATCTTCTCTTCGCTCGCTGACAACACGGTGTGGACGCACGGTCTCTGTCATCAGGCGCAGTCGTCGTCGACGTCAGCACGGCCCGACACACGACGCAGATGGGACCCACCAGTGTGAGAGTTACTAGCAGTGTAGATGCCTTTGCCAGTCCGCAAGATGAGCGAGCAGCCATCGACCGCTGATCCGTATGTGCGCGACAGATGACGACGGAGAAGTCAGCCTGTGAGTACCCGGTGCGTGACAGTGGGAGGGAGATGGTTCATGGGGATATGTCAAGATCTGCGCAGGGGGGGTTGTTGGGCCAACAGCAGTAGCAGCATCTCCTCCTCTTCCAGCACCACCATCATCCGTCCTCAGTTGACTGCAGCGCCATGCAGGTGTTGGCTGGTGAAAGCGTTCAACGCGTCGCGCTCGATGCGATCGGGGGTGACAGAGCGACGCTGGGGGCGGATGGTAACAGGCGGATCAATGTTGCGCATGAGGCTATGAGCATCTGAAGATGGAAAATGAGGAGAGTTTCAAGCCGACCGAGACAGTCTGCATCCGACCTAGCCAAGCCAGCAGTCGGCCGGGTGTAGGAGGAGAATCGCTGGGCGACTGACTGGGCGACGGCCAAAAGGGGGAATAGATCCGTCTCTGCTTGGCCTCTCCCCAGCGCAGCGCTGTGAACCGGACTGGGGTTCCAACGCCAGCAGGCACTCGGGAGTGATGCTACTGGCATTGTAGGAGCGAGCTCTCGATCATTTTTTTAGTTTCCCTTTCACGTTTTGTTTTGACTGGGCTGGGGGGAAGAGGACGAAGAACCAGGGTTTAGCCTGCCTGCATGTGCGCTCTGCAGACCATTCTTTTCACAGGACATGAAGAGCGTCCATTTTGGATTTGTCATGTTCTGATTCTATTCTGCTGTGTGATTCAGCTGGGTGTCCTGTCCCGTAGGAGCAGATGGGCTGGTTGGTACGCATGCAATCTTCTGGGTTGGCCTGTCGCTTCGCGGGCTGGGCTGGGCTGGCTGTTGAATGATCGCACTGCCTCAATCCCTCTCTATTTCTCACTCGTGAAGGTGGGGTTGCGCGTCGGGCAGTCGGCGTGCGCGTTGGCGTCATCGCCTCCCGCCCAGTGCCCGTGCCCACGCTACCACACCAGTGTTGAGTGACCAGCCAGGGTGCAGCAGCAGGCAGGTGCGGGGCACTGCATTGCACCGCACCACACCGTATTGGAGCTGGTTGAGTTGGTCCCCAGGTTGAATCGAATCGAGAGGCCCGCAACAACTCACCCTGTGCGTCTCTTGTGCGAGGCACTGCACTGCAGCGCAGCGTAGCTCAGTACCTCAGCTCCACTCCCTGGCTAATGGCCACCCTCCAGCATGCATCCGTCATCCAACGGCCCGCTTGGCGCTGGTTCCCTTCCATCGGCTTACCTCGTCGCTGATGATCGCTCTGCCGTCTCAGCGAGGGCACAGCGCAGCAGCTGCGGCGAAGGCAACGGGAAATGCTGGATGATGAAAGATTTGTCCCCAATCTCAGCGAAATATGGGCTGCACCACTTGGATCAGAACGACGGGTGCATCGTGTGCGTATGCATGCATGGTCATCGCCTGTGGCCCGCTTGAGAACCTGCCCTCGGATGATCCAAACACCACTCGCGCTTGAGCGCGAGAGCATCAAACCTGCATTTTCACCAGCTTCGAACAGCGTGCGTATCCAGCATCCGAGTAAGACTTCATCCTTCATTTATTCGCCCACCATACTTGGGGTGATGATACAGTGAACAAGAATTGTCGAACAGATTGGCAGCATGTATATTGAATTGAATTGGATTGGATGAGATGGAATCGGACTGAAATGGCACCGCGCGGTATGTACGGGCGCTTTGTTTCGTTCGGCGTGCACATCGCAGAAGGAGCATGGATGTTGATGAAGTTTGGATAGGAGGGATGAACGCGGGCGGGTATCAAATGTCTTGAAATTGGCGATGATGTTGTCGTGTCGTTTCATGACCGTGATGCAACTCTCCTTTTCTTCGGGCTCAAGCGCAGGCCCTCACTCCGCCTCGCTGCAAACGGACATATCGTCCGCATGGCGGACCCTGAGCCCGAGCGGGCTCGGCGCAGCCGGCGCATGCACGAGCGACTTGCGACGAGCCTTATCCACCTCTGCCGCTGTCCTGCTCGGACTGGCAAGCGCCATCATCGGCGCCTGCTTTGGCGCCATGTTGACTCGTTTCTGCGCGCAGCCGAGCGTTCAGCGTGCAGTCCGTGTATCAGGAGACGCATGCAATAACAGGATGCGTTCACCACTCACCTTGGAATGGAAGACTGCCTCCTTGCCGACCTCGATGAGGTACGGCTCCTCGTCCACCTTCTTGCCCTCCTCGATGCACTTGACGACCCACTGCACACCGACGACGAAAGGCTTGGGCTCCGGCTGCGCACGGAACGCATGCAACGTCGACGGCTTGCCGCTCTTGTAGACAATGTGCGTCAGGTGCCGATCGCTCGACCCGAGGCGCAAGACCACCTTTGCGCCGGCGCTCTTCAGCATTTCTACCCATGTGCTGCTCGCGTCCGTCCCGTCAAGGTCGCGCACGTCGACGAGGATCGCGAGCCCGCGCAGCGAGCGCGTCCGCCGCTCGCGCTGGTACGCCAACACCGCGCTCACCTGAACGCTGCTGCTGTTCCCGGCTCCCGCGACGGTGACGCCGGACGAATTGTGCTCGTCGCGCGAGGCCTCCATCGACGTCTCGCCGCGCTTCGCTGGCATGTACCCGCGCAGCGAGCGGCGGCGTGCAGCCTTTTCGGCGCGCATGGCCGCCCGCTGCGCGGCATGCTCCTCTGAGCCACGTCCATCGGCGTCCTTCTGCAGCGCCTCTAACGCTAGTCGCTCAATGTCGTCATCCGCGCTGGCACACCTCGACGCCCCCTCGCCCTCGTCCCCTTCGACATGGCGCCCAAGGAAGGTCATCGTCTTGCGCCGCGCGCTTCGGACCTCGTCCGACTTGGATGGTGTCATGCACGGAGTCGACGTCGCGCGCTCGCCATCCGCATCGTCTTCAAGCGCCAGGCCGCTCGTCATACTGCTCACTTGCACCGATGCAGAGCGTCGCATGGGCCCTTGCATGCGCGAAGGGGCTGCGCTCGGGCATCGCCGGCCCATGCCGAGACCTAGGGCACCGCCAGCAGCGCCTGCGGCGCTGGCCGAGGCAATTGGGGGCGTCGAATCGCGCTCGCGTCGAAGCTCAGTTTGGCTCCCGAGGCGGTCCAAAACACTGGATGCCGCCTCTGACAGGTTCCAGGATGTCAACCCTGACAGGTCCGCTCTGCGTGACCCGAGCGATGGGATGCGCCGGTGGCTAACAGACGACTGTAATATGGACGGCACATATGCGGAGCTGCTTCTGTCCGCAGCTGAGCCTTCATCACCGCTTCTCCCTGTTCCTACATTCCCCATGCTGGCTTTGCCGCTGTCCTTCGCCCCACCTTTGACGTTGGAGAGAGTGGCAGGTGTCGGAAGCATGCGCTGCGAAGCGAGACCGCCAGAAGTGAGCGTTGAGGCGCTGCTGGTCGTCATCTCCTTGCTTGTACCCTCATGCTCCTGGGCTGTCAAGACCAAGCGATGACGGGTACGTCGTCGCTCAGCACTCTCGCCGAGCTCCCTCAGTGCTGCTGATTCCGCTACGGCTCCTCCTATTCTTGGTGCCTGCCGCGCATCGCCCGCTACCCGAAGCCTTGAAGCTTCCAGAGCCCGCTTGGCTCGCTCTGTAGCCATGGATGGGGCCGAGCTGCTACTGCTGCTGTTGTTGCTTCGCGTCTCCGTGCTCAGTCCATTGATCCTGCTCTCCGTGCGCGGAATCGACGTGGGCGCGGCTGCAGTCGCGGACGCCGCTTGGCGATTAGCGAGCGCCCCGCAGCGGCTGGTGCGGCTCGCAGATGCATCCCCACCGGAGACCTTGCGTCTTTCTTCTTGTCGCGACGCCAGTCTGCGGGCTGAATCCGCGTCTATGGCCTCGAGTGCTCGTGCAGACCCAGGCCTAGCTACAGCCGCTTCGTACGCATGTCTGCTCGGCTTGCTGGCTTCTTCCGTCGTACCTCGGGCTCGAGGCAGGACCGGTAACTGCTCTGACTTGCCCAACGGCCCCTTCGTGAAGATTTCGCCATTCGCATGCCTGTCTTTTGTCGGGGATAACGGCCGCGACTGCGGGTGCTGCGACGGTCGGCTATTGGAACCATGCGCCGAAGTAGACAGGGCTGCAGCTCTTTGTGGGCTAGCTCGAAGCAGTGCAATCTCGTCAGCGCCGCAATCATCTTCATCTTCAGTATCTTCCGCGAATTCGTCAAAATCCGCCTCTGCATGTCTGTGCTCTATTGCGTCTAAATGCAGATGGTGAAATGGTGTGTGATGGGCCTTGCGTGCGTCTGCATCCGGTGCCTTCATGGTTGCGGGTGCGGTTACCATAGCAGCGGATAAGCCCACTGGCACATCTGACCGTGGGCGCCCAGTGGACATGATGGATCGTGACGACGGCGGTGGACGAACGGGCGATGTGCTGGCCATGGGTACGTGCCCTGGTGGGATATCCGCGCCTGGCTTGCCGGGGCTTGATGATCTGATGGGCGAGCTGGAAGACGTCCTGTACGTTACAGCAGCCGATGAATCAGGCGCATTCGGGGGACTGCCTACGTGGTACCTTGACGGGATCTGGTAGCGCGGCTTCTCTTCTGGTGCTGCTGCCACGGCGGAAGCATTGTCTTTGGTGGGCGAGGAATTTGCCTTTTTTGATGGATGACGAGACACATGGGACGAGAAGCTGGTGAGTGTTCTCCTCGACTCTGCTGAAGGGGTTCGTGAAGCAATTGGTCTGCTAGTCGACTTAGTGACAGGAGGCTTGGATGCGCTCAACGGCGCATAGGATCGTGGTGTGGCAGATGAGTGGATCACTCGGATGGACGAAGCAGCCTGGGTACTGGAATGGCCATCTGCCCGAGTTTCTTTCAAGCGGTTGCTAAGCGAGAATGGCTTTGGAATCGTCAACTGCTTTACAGGGCTGACAGGCCGTGATGCTGGCTGCTGATGACGTTGGTGCACAGGCCCCTTGGTAGGGCTGAGCGAGCGGAAAATGCCTCTCTCGGAAGCTTTTGTCGGCGAGATGCTGAACTCTCTCTTGCGATGCGGCTTCTCCGGTGAAACCACATACCTGGTTCGCGCAAAGGGCGTGTTGTCGGCAGTGGTATGGTACATGTCGGGTGCAACGACGTCCCTGCGCCGATACACTTGGTCTTGAGATTCCTTCAGAGGCGACCGAACGCTTCGAGAAGATCCTCTTTCTGGTAGGCGTGGAGTCTGTGGAGCGCCTCCATCGTTGTGCTTGATCTGGCCGCCTCCTTGGATTCTGCCACTAATCGAGTTACGAAGAGCCTCGGCTCGAGGATCGAGGTCCAGGTCGCCCGTCAAGCCATCGCTAGCTTCCATAATCCTGGTTGTAGTATGCTTTAGGTAAGGATCTTCGTCATCTGCTTCTTCTGTACACCCATCCCCGTCTGTGTTTCCATCGCCGACGCCGGCTCTCCTCTGCCCTATCGCCAGGGAGCCAAGCCCTTTCCTCGGGCTGCCAGAGATGCCATGCCGCGCCATCGAGCGCGTCTTGCGCCTCGGTGCATCAGCCACGGCGAGCGCGACATTGCTGCGTGAGCGAGGTGGCCGCCCACTGATGGTGGAATTCATGCTCGCCTATGCGCTACCGGCAAGCGTGCAAGTTGGGTCAGAAGCCCCACACTGCTCACTTCCTCGCCTGTTTCGATCCTCGATTTGGGCTTTTTGCAACCATTAGAAGGCCGCGGGCGATGGGTAGACCGGCAATTATTGTGCTTTCCCTGCAACTGTAGCCTCGGAAGCTTTTGCCATGTCTGGCTCGTGGCACAAGGGACAGAAGATGGTGTATGCTTTGTGTCAGTATATGATCATTAAAGCGGTGTTGCTTATTAGACTTGGGAAGCGCGTGTGTCTGTGTGTTGCACTCCCTCATCGTCGCCTCGGCGACGGCGGCTGGAGAGAGAACAACACGAGAAATCCAAGCACAGGCGGTCTGCCGCTTTCCGCCTTAACACTGCCTAGCTGCCTGTCTGTAAAAAAGGATACGCGACGCGCATTGATCGCACGTGACTCGCAAGCAACACGCGTTCCGAATCCCGCGCGCCGCAGCGCTTTTCAACAACAGGGTTCCGCCCCGCCCTGTTTTTTTCCGGCCGACAAATTGCGGACAAGCAACACTGTTCACGAGTGCTGCCTGGGCAGTTGCATTGACCAGGACCGGACAAGGGGTGGTTGGGCGGATAACAAGAAATGCATCCACCACCAACATACATATACATAGTATTGATGACTACTACTTAAACGCCTTGCTCTCTATACAAGCATGCAAAAGTCCCAATACATATCGCTTAGGAAGGGATGCGTTCTGTGTCAACTGCTGTACGGATGATTGCTCGAAAATGAATCGCTTGAAATGTGGATGCTGTGGTGGACCCAAGCTTTGAAAGTAGTGTTGCTTTGTGTGGTCGGAATGCTTGATCTGGGTTTAGTTCTGGTCAGCCCGACTGGCGAAACCGCTTGCGAATTGTGCATCGACAGCCCGAGCTTGGGGATGTGTCAACGCTTTCTCCTTCCCACCTGGATGCATCCACCTCTGCCCAGCCCATCCCCAGCATCCTTGGCCTCATCACCAGGCTGCTTCGTCCTTCCTTCATATTTGTATCCTCGTCCGTCCTAGCCCGGATGCCCAACCTCTAGGCAAGCCGCATTGTTGCACCGTTCCCCCCAGAGCTGCCACCGCGACCTATACTTTGCCCCCAACACAACCCCGTCCAGCGGGTATCAACCCACTGCATCCATTCAAGAGGCCAACTATCACCCAGAGTAACAGGCTGGGGGGCTGCGGTCACCTCGCTGCAATCTGGATTGCAACGAAATCATGCCCGCTCAAATACTCTCGGCGGCAGCTGCACCCAAGCTACAGCGGGTCGACACTCTCGACCTCAAGGATAAGCTGACTAAGGCTCTCGGTCCACGATCCCCGGTGTACTGGCAAGGCCTTCGAGACTTCTGCAGCGCCCGACTCACCCGATCCGAATTCGAAGAGCAAGCCCAAAAGCTGCTGAAGAGCGAACATGGTGTGTACCTAGTCGGACCTTGCATCCACTTGTAATTGGCACAAAGGAGTTGCGAGCGCATAATCCTGACCCCGGCCCCTTTGCACCACCCATCACACAGTACATCTACACAATTCGCTTCTATTGGGACTGCTATACAATGCGAGTCCCGGCGTCCCAGGCCCGTCATCCACAACCGCAGCCAAGAGCACTCGCAAGGCCGGCGGCAGCGAGATTGATCATGGAGAAGACAAGGCGAGTCCACGGAAGCGGATGCGCCTCCTTGTCGCCGGCCTCAACAAGAAGGAACGCAGCCGTCTCAAGAGCCTCGCAAAAGGCGGAAAAGGCGGCATCGGCTCTACATCCAGCGAAAAGGCCAACCTCGACTGGGCCGGTGCAGGCGCTGACTTATTGGAGAAGAAGCGAAAAGAAGACGAGCGCAAGAAGGCTCTCGAAGACAAGAAGCGATATCGCGAAGCGCAGACTGCAGTCGGTGCTATGGACTGGCGGACAGAGACGCTGCATCGATATGAATCTGCAGAATCCGCCAGACGCAGACTTCCGCTAAGTGAGTGCATGCTACAGAAGGCCAATCGTATCAAGAGCTGGCGTGCTCACAACCACTTTCTTTGCCCCTTACACAGGCGTTCAGCAAGCGCTTTCTCGGGGAATGACAACACCGTTGTGCATCCACACCAAGGAGCTTCCTACAATTGAGTCATTGCGAGACAGGATGACCATGCATGCTGTGGAAAATGGGCTTCCCGGAGGAGTGCATCCACAGGCAGCTGCCATGGTCCTCACAGCTTTGCAGGTGGGCACCCATACCGTTGTGCCACGCTGCCTTTCCGCCTCCCTGACCTTCTTTGCTTCTCTCAACGCCCTCCAGAGCCATCTGCAAACCATCGCCGGCAGCGCCTTGGGCAAGGTTCGGTTCCATCCCGATGCATCCACCGCAACGCACGATGTGGAACCGACTTTCCAGCTGGACGAGCCGCATCGCAGCACTCCAACTCCCATTGACCTCGACCGCGACTCACCAGCGCCACGCCTGGCGCTGGCTCGTGCGGATGGCAGCCCCACGCGCGCGCTCGTGCCGGACATGTCGTTCCGCACCAGCACGTACGGCGGCAGCTCGATGGGCGACACGTCGATGGTCTCACTTGTCAGCACGGCTCCGACAAGCGCAAGCTTTGCTGCTGGCTCTGCAGCTTCGTCCGTCGGGGGCGCAGATGCGGATGGCGCGACCATGTCGGATGCCGGTCAAGGTGGTAGTGCCGACGGCGGCCCCCGTAACGACAAGGCATTCGGTGTCACGCTCTCAGACCTCTCCTTTCTTTTCGAGTCAGTCCCTCACACACTCGTGGAGCCTCTCGGCCTTGGCACGAGCGAGCGACTCTTGGCTCCCGATTGGGAGGAGGAAGAAGTCGATCGGCAGACGCGCACAGCAGCCGAGGCAGCAATGGCCAAGGCAGCAAGGGAGACGGCGACAGCGAAGATGTCCGCAGCGCCAGCTAATGCGCCTCCGGAGGTGCTGTCGTCGGAACTCGTCACTTCCCTAGCAAGATCTCGGTTCGCCATCGACCAATCTGCGCCGCTCCGTCTCCTTGACCCCCGCACGTTCACCGAGACGCAGGCGCTGAAACTCGCGAAGCTTCATCCCAAGGATGGCAGCGCGAACAATCGACCAAGTGTCGGTGGCCTCAGCCTTGCCGCCTCGGCAACAGTCAGTGGTGCGGGCATCATTGCGTCTACATCGGCCGGCGTGGGTGACGCGGCGCCATCCTCGGATGCAAAGTCTGGCGGCAAGGCGGATGCCTTAACGGTGACCACGACGAAGCGCAAGGATGGTTCCAAAAACTCTCAGCTCTGGGAGGTTGTCGATCCTGTCGCGCTCCTCTCGCATATCTAATACTTTCTTGAAGAAACCGGTATAGACCGAACGCTCACTCTCCTTTACGCAAGCATGTTTTCCAAGCCTCCGATCACACTGTCCTTTTCGCTCTCTCTCCCTCTCCCGCTTTAACTGTGGTCATTGCTTGATCGCTGGTGCAATTTGCAACTTGTCTGCTTGTACCCTAATGTGAACCTATAATACAACACGTGCATCATCATCATTGTCATCATCATCATCACTAAGTCATGGTGTCATTGTCACCAGCAGCAGGCGCGGCCCGGTGACGGATCCTTGCCGGCAGCAAATTTGATGCCCCTCTTTAATGCTTCCCGATCCCGCTGGAGGAGAGACATGGACGTGTGTTGGAACGCTGGGTCACCTCTTTCTTTGCGCCGATGCCAAATCGCAGCGGCTTCCTCTGCGGATGTATCTGGATGCTTGCTCATCCACTCTCTCCGAGCGCGGTCCTCTTCCCACTCTTCATAGCGCCATCGAGCAGCCACACGTTGAACGACGTGCTGGAAGACAAGGTCGACGTTTATTCCCGTCTTGCTCGACGTCAAGATGAAGTCAAATCCTTCTTGGATGTCCGGCCGATTTTCAGCAACGTCTTTCACGATTAGCTCCTCCAAGTTCTCCGTGGAGGCCTCATTCTCGTTGCTCGGCTCCTCTTCACCCTGGATCTCTTCTGGCTCAACCTCATCGAGGGTCCAAGCGCGGGAGACACGGTTTGCTGCACCACTTGTCGTTCTTGAGCTTTCTCTCTGCCTATCCGCTAAGCCTGCCCTGTTTCTCTCGAACTCGTCCAAGGTGGGAAATGGAATTGGATCGCCACTCAGCATCGGAGGCATGCTAGACTCTTCCGGATTGGCCACGGGAAGGATTTCGTCCCCAATCACGATTGTGGTAGGCTCTTCTTCTGGTTCTGATTCTTCTGGCTTGATATCTGAGGCGTGATAATGCGCGCGATTGGATGGCGTGATGGTCGCAGTAGAAGAGCGGTGACTCTGGGTGCCAGAAGGCTCGTCCATGCTGTTCGCACCATGGGCGGTATGCTCGGATGTGTTGCGCTGCGGTGTTTGTGTGGTGTAACTGCTGCCGAGAACCGTGCTGCCTTGCGGGGTATGATATATGCTGCTCGCCGTCGTTGCAGTGCTCTCAAACCGTCCCCTTCTTGTAGACCCAGGCGCTCGGCCGGCGTTCGTTGGACGGGACAGCGGCGTCGACAGCACGCTCTCATTTGCAGCCCCATACACATCAAGGCTGTGAAAAGACTTGCGCTTGTTAAGCTGAGATGCTCGCGAACAGTTTTGCGTGGCTGTCTCCTTGGAGCCTTTCCGAGATCGAAGCGATCCCCAGAACGACTTGCGTGCTGGTGGAGAGCTGGGCGACCCAGCAGCTGGTGTGACCGTGTCGGGCAGCTTTCGAGACAGCACGTCTTGGGGATTTGCCGGAAATTCATCACCCTGGATCGGGCCAGAGCTAGTGCTAATTGGCTCAGGCTTGACCTCGCTCGCTGGGGAGCCCAAGAGATCGGTGAGTTGGGTGATCGCACTGGAGATCGACAATGCCGCGGAGTTGGCTCCTTCACGCAAATCTGCCTTCGTCCCAACACAGATCCAACAGAATCTCCGGACATCTTCACATCTTGATACCGGCGTCCTTTCTTTGAACGTCTCGATCCATTTCTTAGCATTATCCATTGCGTTCGCCTTTGAGCTGTCGACCACGAGAATGACGGCGTCTGCGCCACGATAGAAAGCGCCTATGAAAATGTTCCACGTGTCAGATGCCTGACGACCCTCAGCATGAGCCCCCACAGCTGATACCCACTTCCAAGTGCATTGAACCGCTCTTGTCCTGCAGTATCCCAAATTATGAGAGTGGCTTTCGGGCCGTCAGCATCGTGGGGAGTCAGGGGCAGCGTTTTGGCCATAAAATCGGCGCCAATCGTTGCCTTGTATGACGTGGTGAACCTCGCGGACAGGAACTGCAAAAAGAATCAAGATACCTGCTCAGCTTTCGACTGGCTCACTATTAGCAATGACAGTGCGAGGAAAGGACCGACCCTTTGTCGAAGACATGATTTACCGACGTTCGAGTCCCCTATCAACACCACTTTGATGCTGCGATTGGCGCCTCCAACAGGCGGCATACCGTTGGTAAGATCAGCCATTTTCCATTGCTAAACTCAAGACTGCCCCTGCCAACCTGCATATGTTTTCCCCGACGCCTTCGAATTTGCAAGAGGCGTCCAACGCTGTTGATACAGGATGTTATGATTTGCAGGGAGAGTATCGAGATCCAAGTTCAAATGTTCGCAAGCGCAGCAGTTCATGTTTTTGTACATCAATCTCTCCGCAGACGCAACGCGTCGGCGCACATGTTCCATCAACTTCAGCGGGTTGCAACAAACAATCAGAATGGTCTCTTACTCTCACTAACCGGAGAGCGAAGGATGTAGAACTGCTGAATACAGATTACCAATGCGTGAGATGCTGAAGATGAGGTACATAAGACTTGTAGAAAAAAATGAAGATGCTAGAGCGACGACAGATGCTAGATTAAGAGGGCGTAGATAATGCTGTCCCGTGCCATGGTCTTGGGTGACGGAATATTAGTCGGGAATGGACCTTCCTATATGAACAATTTTGAAAGTGAACGGAGCTATGCGATTTGAATTGTCTACCGTGTCTGGGAGGATTGTTGAGTGGCGCAGGCTGACGAGGGAAGAGGTCTACCGACCGGCGACGGGCATGGCAAGGAGGACATCGGCGTCGAATGGCTCTGCGCGCTCACCGCCGGCAACCAGGTCGGACCAATAGACGGGTTCAGCTCGCATGATGATCCGACCCTGATTGCCGCGAGCTTGCAGCTGGGCACGCAGTGCCTCCTTTCCCGCGCAAAGCAACCTCCTCTGCTCACTGAGCAAGTCTGTGGATGGCAGAGGGGTGTATTTTTTGATACTCGTGCCTTCCGCAGGATCGCCGACGGTGGAATCAGAACTCGAGCTCGATGAGCGGTTCATTCCGGCGGGAGCGGCGGCGACACCACTGCTGAGGGCATTTTCCATCTCGAGTAAGGGCCAGAGCTCTTGGGGAATCGGAGCCGCACGAACTCCGGGCTCCCCGGGAACGTAAAGCCGTTCCCGGACGCGAATTTCTGAGCAATGCAGCACGGTTCGATGCCTATGCAGTGAAAGATCAAAGGAGTGTCATCAGCAAGACAAAGCTAATCTAGATTTATATATGCTGACGCACCCATTAGAGCCACGCTGGTGCTTGGCAACATTGCTAGTACACCTTGCACAGGGGGCGACGATGTTGTATCCCACGGTGGCACCGCAGCCGTGGCAACCGAGGCTCTGGGTCAAACAGTCGCAGGTCCTTTCGACTGGCGGCTCGAGGCTCGCAAATCCACCTAGGAATGTTCTCGGAGCGTAGATGGGGCTGCAGTTGGTCGGCATGGCATCAGTGGAATAGAGTGTGATGTGCGGCTTGAGGAGTAGAACCGCCTTCATACCCCGATCAGTGAGGAACAAGTCGCAATGTTTGCAGTTGATGATGTAGACCTTGTGCTGAGGTGACTTTCTCAATGAACGAGACGGCGAGGACGCCCTCCCAGCGGGCGCGGAAGTGCTGTCTGTGCGCACATCCTCCATCTGCGAATGCTCGCTCCGCAGTGCTCGCTCTCGCATCCGGGCACGCTCCAGCTCGTACACCATCTGCTGCTGTCGTCGTATCGCTTCGGCCTCGATACTCTGTCTGTAGAAATGGTCTAAGGATTGCTCTGTGAGACTAATCTCTGGCGCAGCACTATTATCTGCGCTGGTGGGGTAGTAGGAACGTTGAAAGCTAGGTGGATTCGCCGATCGATTTGACAAAGAGCTTGCCGCACCGCTGCGCAGATCTTCCCATCTGGGAATGGCGGGTACGGCGTATCGGTCCAAAAGCCGAGAAGAGAATGGTGAGCTACTGTCTGAGGGGCTGAAGAGACCTTGAGAGGAGTGATGTGATCTAAGCGGGCCCATATTGGTACGCTTGTCATCCACAAGTCGATTGTAAACAGAGTTGATCTGGGTTGGGAGTGTGAGTAGGACGCACGGTGAGCATAAGTCTTTTGTACGACTCGAATACGAGCAAAGGGGCGACCCACGCACAGATATATCACGCAAGTGTCAACTCGCGGAAGGGTCACCGAGCCGCGGCTGTCTGCTTTGGCCGTTTGCGAGGAAAATGAAGTGGACGCAGAGGCAAGCAGGTGCAAGCGTTGAGAAGTCTTTGCTTGACACGTTCCCCTCTTCCGCGTTCGTAAATACCGAATTCGTTGGCGATCAAAATGAAGCAAGCACCTGTCACTTTGGTTTCATCAAAAGGAGAACGCTTGGAGGCGTAACCTAGGGAGCGAGGATATATGAGATTCAAATGATTGGCAAGATTTCGCCTTTCCGTCGATGGAGTGATGGGCGGCCCCCTTTTCTTTAGGGAGGAAGCGTTGTCGCCTGGAGTAAGCCGGATCCCTGGGACACGTCGACCAAATTGCATCCTTGATGGGCTTAATCTCTCCACTATGTATTAAGCTTGACCCAGTGCTTCGACATCTCCGCAATCCGCATGCAAGACCTTGTGAAAAGGCGGGCCGCCATGCGACGGTCATCTGCGCTATCTTATTTTGGAACCGTACCCGGATGCACCTGCTGCAGCGGCAAGCCGCGAAAAGCTAGTGTGGCGGGGCTCTCGATCATATCGTGCTTACATGGAAGGAAGCAGGAGAGATGCACCTTTGCATTTTTGCAGGACGGGTCCGTGCTCCAGAGGAGCAGGATCAGCCCCTCTAGGTGCCATGGCAGGCCTTGGCAGTGCCCTGATGGCCTGCATGTGCCTGTGCCCTGGTTGCTGCTCCACACATGTGTTTGACTCCAGTCCGCACCAGGAGCAATGGCGCAAGCCAATGGGGTGGCTAGGTCTCACAAGAGCACATCCGGAGAAGGCAAACTCTCTCTCGGAGCCTTGAGATTTTTTGTGAGACACCCAAGAAATGAAAAAAAACTGTGAAACCGCTCAGCTTTTCACTCGCACTTGGGCCGTACGCGAGAACCTGTGCCATAGTCCACATATTTTATTTTTTCGTGGCCTGGATTCTTCAAGCTGTGCTGTTTGCCGCCTGCAGAGTACTGCGGCCCAATGTCCCATCCATTCAAATGCGTTCTTTCACATATTTCCAGTCATCACAGCCTCGCAAGGGTCTGGTGAGCGCCGGACGTCGTTTGGTCCAGATATCAAGCTGTCAAGCATGTCAAATGCATCAAGACTCAAGCTCTCAGGCCAAGCGTCAAGCTGGGAGTTCGCCGTCTCCGGGCTGACTGGCTTGGCATTGGCAGCTAGCACACTGACCGCTGACTGGCTGGCTGGCTGCTGACACACTGACAGCTTTCCTCTATGAAAATGTTTTCGGCTCCGTATTGCGTCCCCCCTCTGTGTGCCACATGCGGTAAGAGGGCAACTGTACTCGTAGCTGCGATCATATTCGGTATAAAGTTGTATGATGTAGCAACTCCGCAAACGGCACTGGCTGGCACCTGACTGGGGTCTGTAAATTGCAGGCGGTCCGTGAGGGATATATATATAGATGGCAGCTGCCCAACTTGCCGATTGAGCGACCTGTTGTCTTATTTGCCCAGAAGACCGCCTTAGCGCCGACGGCCTACGTACATACACATCTTCAATTAATGTTGGGGACCAGCTGCATCTGCCCGCATATACACCAAGTCGCGGTGCATGTAGATGAGAGGAATCGAGACATGCAACGCGGAACGGATTACGAATTTTTAACGACATTGCATGAGGTTGCTGACTGTGTATTTTTAAAAGTTCCTGGTGTTTTAGCAGCATTCGCGCCCTGCTCGCTGAGATAGCCCGAAAAAGTGAAACTTTGGCTGAAGTCACGGCCGAGTGCGGAGTATAGACTTTGTCCGGACACCGGAACCTGCAACGCGGTCGACAAAAATAAAGAGCGCACTACAACACAGTTTCACCACAAAATGTACCGTAAGACTATGACCATAAGCGTCCCTATTGACTGACTCAGCTCAGGCAGACCAAGGCGCTCACAATGTGAGGATGGTGAGCAGGGAGTCTAGGGACCGGTCGTCAAGCGCTCCTTACTCAATGTAGCCCATAAGCCCATGCGCTCATTGCTGGCTTCAGTAAGCTCGTGCTCTGAATGTGTCAACTTGGGCTGAAGTCGGGACGGCCAAACTGTGTCCCGCCCTTCAATGCTTCACACTTTTTTACGCGCGTTCCACCCGCCTCATCTCGACCTCACCGATCACTAGCATCGCACCTGCACATCCAATTCAACAAGCGACTCGTGCACTGATATCTGATATTATACCAATGACCCTCCTACCTAGTTTTACTTACAAGCCTACTTCCATCCCTGGAAACCTGTTGTCGCGGGGAACGTCATGCAAGGTGGGTGGGCGGCACGGCACCCACCTATAGCCGGCTTATTATTTATTAGTCGCTGACTGCAGACCCACAGGTGGAGCCAGTGTCGACGAGCCATACCCAATTCTCCGAGACACAATTCATGAGACCTTTTTGACTTCGTCAAATTCCAAGCCTTCGGATGCTGCTGTACATGACCATGGGCACGACCGGACATGCGCATCGTCCTTTGGCGCGAGTATCCCTTCGCTTTGAGCTTTCCAATTGTTGGGTCTGAAGTCCTGGAAGATGACATACCATGCGTCCATCCATTCGTGTCTCTCTTCGAGGTATTTGGAAACATTGACGAGTCCTGGAGCTTTGACCCTGGTTAACCCGGTATGGGCCTGGTGCGCTTCATGGCTGCGCTGCAAGTAGTTGCGGAGTGCCCGAATGCAGATTGAACAGTCAAGCTGACGTTGAACGCAGATCCTCTGCATCCTCACGTTTCCACGTCCCCTACCTACTGATAGGACGGTCAAAGAGAGGAGTCACCGCAGCTGCGCAACAGTATGTTCATAAAACCTATGTACAGATAAATAACCTTGGATCGACCAAGCGAAGAGGCAAAGGCCCAAATTTTGCAAGGATCCTGGAACATCATCGGAAAGCCTTTCACCTCCCTGCAAGCTTCTTCGGAGCCGCTCGCGCAATCTCAGTCGGCAATCTTGGCTCTGTCCCGAATGGGAGCAAGGAGGGCTGCGACCATGTCCGGCACGTACAGCTCGCCGCCGAATTTAGGAAGACATCGGGAATCTGCAATGATCATCAGAGGCTGCTTGTTGTCACAGTGGCCAAAAATCGCACATCGCAAACTTGCAGACGTGCAACACATACGCGGTGACGATGGAAGCGAATTCTGACGCGGCAATGGTGAATGGTGAATAAATCGCCAATGTCTTCGAAGTTTGCACCACGATCAATATCCAAGGTCTAATGTCTATGGCCGCCGTGAAGAGGCCGTGTATATATGGGCCGTGAAACGAATATCATCTGTGTAAAGCGTGAAAAATATGAAGCACGGAAACGTGGAAGCGCAGGAGAAGTGCTCTCATCAACATCAAGCTCTCTGCGCCATATATGTACTGACAACGTGTCATCTTGTCACGAGGGGCTGACGCCAGGGAACCCTTTAGCAAGGGAGTGCATTGCTTAAATTAAGGCATGGTTCACCCTTCCAGAACTCCGAAAAGGTAGCCGCTATTGGCCGTCAGGTGACTCATTACTACCTGCTAACCATTGAGCACCGGCTATCTATGCATGTAAGCCGATTGCGGGGCCCACTCTCATCACATGTTCAGATGAAGCGGATTCGGGCCTATCGAAACGGATCCCGTTGTACGGAGGCAACGACGCACAACCTTCGACAACGCAGCAGGCCATTGAACTGTATTTCGCCGCAAGATGCATGCCGCTTTGCTAGGGTTTATCCATGACGCAGGTTAGAGCCTACACCACGAGTAATATCATGTCATGAACTAAAAAATGAAAGGCGCGTGGATTGCGCTTTGTGATTGTATTACACTGCATCCATCGATCCAAACCAAAAGAACGAAAAAAGCAGGGGAGAGTACTGGATGTTGTATTTCCCTTCTTGCTGGCCGTCGCTTTTTCCTGATTTACTAGGCCGCGACAAGCAGGGCGGCGGCAGCGGCTGCGAGGGAGAGCAGGGCGGTGGAGCTGACGCTGCGCGACGGCGCTGCTGAGCTGCTGGCGGCGGCCGCCCTAGCAGCCGGCAAGTTGCTTGTTGCGGCAATGGCGCCGACAGGCGCCGCGGGGCTGCCGTCCGGGTTGACGGTGCTAAAAGTGTACGCGGTGTTCCACGTGTACGGGCGGTCCGGGCCGTAGATCTGGTTCTCGTTCCAGGAAGGATTGTTGATCGCGTCGATGATCCCCTCGGCCTCGAACACAAAGCACGATCTGTGTGGGCGGGGATCCATGCATGGGGGCAAGACGAGCGAGTGCGCGTGGTCAGCGCCAGGTGCATGGGCAGCGGCGAGCGTGAAAAAAGAGGGAAAATGTGCGTGAGGAGAGGGTACGGCGGAAACACTTACGTGGCATCGTAGATCGCGGCGGCGGGGTTATTCGAGTTGCCTCCGTGGGCGCGCTTGCGCGGGAGGCTGCCCTTGGCTGGGTTGTTGATGCCGGGGCAAGTATAGACCTGCATCGCGACCTGGTCGGTGACTACGCTCATGCGGATGCCCGACGCGGGCGACCAGATCTCAAAGACCGGGTCGGTGTTGTTGGCGGTGTGGTTGCCATTGATAAAGCAGCTATCCCAGCCGGTGCAGTTGAAGCCGCAAACGCCGGTAGTCTGGTTGAACAGGTCGCCCAGCACGGTCGGCTGTCGGAAGTCGTATGGCGTTCCTTTGACCGACGGCAGCGGACCGGTCGGGATGAGAATCGTGTCCGTCTCTACATACGAGGTGAGCTGCGGCATGTGCATCGTATAGTTTAAGATGCTCTGCGACTCGTTGCTGTTTGAATGAGAAATTTCTGATCAGTACGATGAATTGCATGTGCGCATCATCCACGTACGACGCTTTGTCGGGATTCCTTCCGTTGGAACCTTTGGCGAGGTTTTTTGGTGCTTGCAAGACACATCACTCACTAGGCATCCAAGTTCCAGTAGCCGTGCGAGGAGAGCATGATGGGCGTCTGCGTGGATGCGATGGCGTTCATGGCGATGCGCCATGTCGCGTTGCCCTCGAGCCAGTAGTCGATCGTCGAGTTGACCTCTCCCGGGAAGCCCTGGTTGCCGGCGGGGTCGTTGTGCGAGAAGCGGACCCAGGATGAGTTGAAATCGACGACCTTGAAGCTGCTGCGGTCGTAGCCGGCCGTACCGCCGTGCAGCGTGTCGATGTTGTTCTCGTTCAGAGGCGTGTTATACGTCTTATTGTTCAGCTCGAACGTACCGTTCTCTGCAGGATGACGACGGCGACACGATCAACAAGGGCGTCAGAACTGGGGCCCACTCAGCAGGTGAGGCCAACCCGAACTTACTGATGCGGTTGGCATAACGACCGACGACAGGCCCACTTTTGCAGAGAAAAAGAAAAAATTACTGGCTTAGCTCCTCCAAGCGCTCATTATCGGGTCAAGTTCCCCGTACCCTGCACCCTGGCGGACTCACAAGTTGGGGTGGACCGGGTCGCTGATGAGGTTGGTTGAGTTGTCGTAGCTGAGGGCGATGTCCCTGAACTGGCCCCAGCGGTCCTTGACCCAGAGCTCGTTGACCGCGGCGCCGTACGGCAGGAACGTCGCGCGGATCGAGTCGTCGGGCGCGCGCAGGCGGATCTGGTTGGCCGGGTACACGGGCGGTTGGGCATTCGCACAGCCGGGCACATCGAACGGCGAGTAAGCCAGAGGGTTGAACTCGACGGCGCAGGGGTACGAGCCGATCGCGCCGTTGAGGACAAAGCCGGGTGTCTCTCCGGGGGCGGGGGCCGTACTGGTGTTGCTGCTCGCCGTTGACGTGCTTTTGAACGCCGAGGCGGTGGAAGTGGACGACGACGTCGAGCTCGCTGCTTGCCGCGGCTCGACGACCGCTGCGGACGCGGTGAGCGCAAGGGCGACGAGGGGTGCGGCGAGCTTGAAAATGGTCATTGTGAGTGGGAGTGTGAGTTGTTTTGCTTTTGGCTCGTGTGCATGCGCTTCGTCGATGACTATGGTCACGCAACGGGAAAGAATGAGCCAGCACAAGCGGCTGAGCGAAGTGAACGAACTTCGGCGTGAGGATGGATGACCCTTGGGGGAGGGCGGCTTGCTGGGCGAGAAAGACTCGTGGCCAGCAAGGGCGCTTGAGATGGTGGGTGGACACAAGCTTGGAGATGATGGTGCGAGCGTGGACCTGCAGTCGCCGCCGGGCCATCTCCTCTTCTCCACAATAATGCTGGTGGAAATGTTTGAAGATTAGCGTATCTGATCGTCGCCTGTCGCTGTCTGCCAACCGCTGAAGTGGCTCTGCGCCAGTCTCTACCTCTCTCTCTCTCCACAACACAATCTATCTGGACATCCTGTCGTCGGCGTCCCGCACCGCCTGTGAAGAGAGAGATTCCCGTGCAAAAACAAGATATTTTTGGATCAAGGCATGACGGGTAGCACCTGGTATTGGGAACGAGAATGGGGGCGGGTGTGCTATAATGCGGACAGTCGCAGGGTGCCGTGTAGTGTCGGAGAGGCCGGTGTGGCACGCAGCCCGGAACCGCGCTAAAATACGAGCCTGTAGTAAAGTGCGGTGCAGTGCAGTGCTGGGCTGGGCTGCGGTCCTCGGCTTGAGGCGGCCTGTCTGTCATCAATTATGGGTGCCAACAGTGGACTTGACGCCAAGTCCACTAAGGAAAGCGTTGCGTTCATACCGATCCAGTCAGTGGCACTGGCTGGCATGCAAGTACATAGTGTCCATATGCCGTGTTGGCGAGTCACTGTGCAGCGTGCGTCTCGGTGGCCCATGTGAATGTGGAAGGCACAGGTCTTACTATACACAATTACATACGTAGTTCCATGACATAGGCATGGAACCCTAGACATACACACCGGCAAGGTCGAGGCGAGCAAGCAGCTGCGCAGCCAGCTCACTCTCCGAGCTGCTCTTGCGTGCCCAGCTCTCCCGCTCCAGCATCCGCAGATCCTCCTGCGCCTCCTCCTCCAGCTTGGCCACCTCCTCCGCCGCCGCTGCGTCCAGCGATGCGCCACCTGTCAAGTTGGGCGGTGCGCGAGCGCGCCCTCCCTGCCGCTCGCCGCCAGCAGCTGCCACATACGACTTGCGGCCGCACCGCTCGATGATGCGCAGCGCCCTGACCAGCACCGCGAACTTCTTCTCGAACCGGCTCCCGAGGCTGTACGCCCTGCCGAGCAGCGCCGGCCGAGACGCGTCGCCCCGCTCCTCTTCGCACTGGCGCAGGACTGACGAGAAGGCAAGCACCAGGTCAAAGAGCTCATTCATCAACCCGCTCAGCGCCCCTTGGCGCTGCTTCTGGAAACACGCGACGATGATCCGGTCCAGTACCCGCTCGTGGTAGCGTGCAATCGAAAAGACGTCCTTGAGAGGCGCGGACATGGCCGTCCTGCTGCCGCCGGCTGTTCCCGCTGCTGCGCCCTTGGCGCTCGAGCCTTCGCCGGCAAAATCGAGCACGTCCGCGACGGTACTGCTGCCGCCGCCGCGAACGCCACCAAAGACGGTGCTGTTACCCGCTCCATCGTCTGCATCGCCGAGTAGCATCATCTCGTCCTGGCCGTCAGAAGCTAGCAGAAACGAGTCGTCCTGTGACTCTGCATCGCGCTGCAGCTGCTCCAGCCGCAGCTGGAATGAGCGCCACACGTCGTCGACCGCGACTTGCTCCACGTAGCCACCCAGCGCGGCCATAAAATGCTGTGCCAGGTGCTGGAACGCGTACAGTGCCGACTGGTCGATCTCGATGCTCGTGCCGACGTGGGAACGCAGCTTGACCAGCCGCAGGTGCAGGCCCCGCAGGACCACCTTGACACGCATGATGCGCAGCAGAAAGTTGAGAATGCGCTGCTCGTGAAAAGGAGAGGTTCCGACTGCGTCAGCCACCATGTACCGGAGGAACAAGGACTGGCGCTCCGAGCACGCACCTGGTAGCTCAGCTGCGCTTGCTGAGTGAGCAGCGGCGCGATCAGCGACGGAGGGTGGAAGCTCAGTGTGAGCCAGTCCAGCGCGTCGATAGCTACAAACGATGAAAACGCCAATTCCTGTTAGCCAGCTTGTCGGCGTAAACCACTTGCAACCACGAGCCCCACGCACAGTCAGGTTCTTGCCACTTAGAATGGGAATGCCCGCGTATCCGGCTGACAGAGGGGTCAACGAGCGCAAACGACAGTCTCTCATCGAGGTCCTTCAACGCGTCACGCGTCGCTTGATGACCTCTATTGACGAACGGTACTAGTGTGCAAGTCCGCTGATAGCTGCCGCCGCTCTCGCGCATGACGGACACCACCTCGATAACCGCCGCGTTGAAGCGCGGCGTGAACTGGCCCGCGGGCGGAGGCCAGCCTTCCGATGCGAGCAGCTTGCTCAGTCCTTCGGCCGGCGCCCGTAGTGGGGCTTCCCCGCTGCGCAGCAAGCGTTGCTGGCCCTCATCGCTGATGCCGTCCGAGAAGAGAAGCTCCTGCATCGAGTGAGAGAAGCTCTGGCTGCCAAGCAGCAAGAATTGCCTGCATGTCTCTAGGTACGCTGGAAAGCCGAGGTCGCGAAAAAAGACGCTGATCAGAGCAGCGTTGATCAGCTTGGACCACTGCAAGAGCAGGTTCAGCATTTGCTGAGCGGGCCGATTTGAGACCTGAGCAGAGGGGGTGCGACCAGCCGCGTTGCCCTTTCGGCCAAGCGAATCTGCGACAGGCGCAATCAAAGTTTTGAATTCTACCATTTCGCTGCTCGCCTTCCCTTGCGTATCTTCCTCGCCCACACACTCGTCTTCGGGTAACGCCATGGACGAGGCCGCGTTTAAGCGTGCAAGCAGACGCGCCGGGTTATGCAGGGCTGCTGATGCTACTGACAAATCCGGTACGGCAGCTCCTCTTGTCAAATTGATCGTGGATGGCTGGTCGCGCGCCAACGCCTCCTCGAACCCTCCCCTCCCTTTGCGCCACATTGCAATCGAATACTGCAGCTCTTTGATGCGCGTCATGAGTTGTCGCTGTTTGGCGGTATACGCTTGTGGAGAGCTGAGCCAGGAAGGCAAATCGAGTGCTGCGTCCGCTTCAAGACTGTCGAGCTCCTTGAGCAGAGGATGATTCGAATCTGCAGCTTTTCGCAGCAGGCGAAGTGCACGGCCTGCCTCGAGTAATGAGCGCGCTTTCTCAATCGAAATGAAAGTTGGCAGCTTCGCTGGAAGCAGTGTATATCCGACGTCCTCCTCACCCCGTGCATCCAGCGTCCACTCCACGCGCGCCCCGGCCCACGGCACCAGCTTACGCTGAGAACCGCACCTGGACCCACCGCGGGAGCTGGCATGTCCTATGCCTCGCTCGGACGCATTAGTGAATCCGTCTTCGCCAATTTCATTCTGCATTTTGCTGGCTTTCGCGCCAGGCCAGCCGACCCAGGCGGCAAGGTCGTTGCGCCACGCATGCGACGTCTTCTCGAGGATCCACATGAGCGTGTGTTGGATCATCGGAGGGGAAGAAGCTGCTAGCGACGAGTAGTGCGCGTAAACATGAGTCAGAACACTCGAGCTATCGCGGAGATTGCATGGCATCTTGAAAGGGGGCCTGTGACGGAGAGACTGGAGCACGGATGCGCAAGCGGTCAGGCACAGCCGCTCCGCAACGGATTCGAAAGCCTTGACTAAGTCTCACACAGTTCATGAGCGAAGCTAAGTTCCCCAGCAGAGCCTTGATCTCGGCCAAATCTTTCTTCAGACGTACTAAGCCGACCTTTGACTCGCGCTCGGGGGCGACGCTACTGTTCCAAGCCGTCAGGCATTGCTGAACGTATTCGACAACGACCTCGACCGCGTGGCACATTGCGCCTACTTCTGGGGCACTATCACCTCCAGCAGCATTTCTGAGGGCAGCCACGCGGTCTACAAGCCTCCTAAGCAACGAGCCGACTTCCAGGCAGGCAGAGATGCTCGCTTCTGACGCAGGTAAAGACAGTCCGGCGATACGCTCCGTCCCCGCCCAGTCTTCGAATGAAGGGATCGGCGGGTTATTCTGTCCGCTAGGATCCCGAGCTTTGCCCTTGAGGATGCTCTTGACGTGTTCGAGATAAAGCTCGGCACGCTTTTTCTGCTGCATCGCACCGCTCCAGCGATAGGCGGCGCGCTTCGGATCCCATTGGAAAAGCTCGGACGAATTGCCTGTGCTCGCAGTCAGAAGGAGTGACCTCAGCACCGAAAACATCTCGTAGGATGGGGCGGGGCGACGCGTGACATATTGGCTGCTTTGGGGGCTTCCTCCCTGCTGCGGCCCCTCCGATGAAGCCGGAGCTAGCTGAAAGCCTTCAGTCCTGCATTGTAAAGGTTCGTGTTAGTAAAGGGGGTCTGGCACCAAGTGTAGGATAGCCATACTCACTCAAGGACAAGGGCCTCTAAAAGGCTTCGAGAGTAAGCGTCATTGTCTTGGGTGATGGTCATGTCAGACAAGAGTCGGGCTGGGCGCGGGGCCGCTCGCCATCCAGAATTCGGCATGGATTCATCATTCTGGACCTCACAGATGTGATACCAGTCATCCCAAGTTCGCGAACACGGATCAAGATTCCTGCTTTCCGCTGTATGCTGAGCAGATTTCAAAGGGCCAGAGCTAATCGCGTCTCGAATAGTGGGAACTGATACGGCCGTCTCGGAAAGTACGCGATGCTCTTCAGACCGAGAGTTGGCGCCGATGGGTCTAGAGTCGACCGAGGGGAGGCTGTCAGCGCCATCATCTGCCAAGCTGAAGCCTTGGATACCCTCTGCTTTGAGCCAGCTCTGCAGTACAGGGTCGCCGTCCAGGAGGGTTGATGGTGGCAGTGGAGACACCTGAAACGGGGAAGGCAGACTCGATAAGGCGTCGAACTTCATCGGGTCATCGCCGCTGAGCGATGGCGGACGGATGTCCCCCATCTCGGGAAAGCAGGAGAGCGTCATCTGTGGGCATTGCTATTGCTATCAGAAGGACGTGCCATGAGGCGATGGACCTGGTCTTTGCTCTTGAGCATGAAAGTTGTGCGCGTGATGTTCATTGTTGAAGCGCAGTGCAGCGCGGCGCGTCGCGCTCTGTTTGAAGGACGCATAGTCGTTCCGACGGGCTATGTGTCTGCCAGTCTCTCGAGTCTGAAGTCTGGACCATGTCATTCCCATTCCGAATATCCTTACCTCTTCTGTAGCATCGTCACCTATAGACTTGGAGTGCATCAGACGGACAGGGTTGCCCGTGCTCAATACTGGAGAAAGCAGGCAAGATGAGTGCGCAATACAGTGGCAATGGGCCGGGAGGGGGGCCCAGCTCGTCCGCGAAGGGTAGATGCGAAGATGCCGGTCCGCTCAACAAGCTGTCCGGAGCGCTGGCAAGCACCAAGGCTTATCTCACACCGTTCGCATCGGCGACCGCACAGTCATCTTCAGCTGTGCGTGAGGGCCATCAGGCGGAAGCGAACAAGCTCCTCGCCGACATCGCGCCGCATATCATGCGACCGCGAATGCTGCAAGCTGCTGCCGCCGCGAGCGCTTCAATCTCCAACGCTTCCCACTCGTCCAACATGCTTGGGCTACAGTCGGGCAGCCTGCGCCTAACTAACCCTGGACGATCATTGGTGCGATTCGGAAACATGGTCCGACACGGCCCCATCACTTCGACCGACTTGCGCATCCAAGAGGCATCCGATCAGATTCTGCTAACAGCTGCCATGGGCGATGTGGAGGAACCAACCGGCATCGCTGCCGAAGTATCGCTCCTGCGAGGATATCAGGCAACTATCCCTTCAGCCCTGGAAGGCAAGAGCAGGCGAAGAAAGGCACGAGGGAGAGACGCGCCGCACATGGGTCTTAAGTCAATGGGCAATTCTGCTCGCGGGCTGCTGACTGACGGCGACGCGGCCGAATCGCAAAGAGATGTGTCCATTTCACGGGAAGCGCGCAAAGCACGGAGATCTGCCGCTGCAAAGGGCAAAGAGATTCCATTGTCAGAGGAGGAGCTGCAGGAGCAGTTAGGTGACATCTTGACAGACAAGGAAAATCTGAGCGTCCGCAGGGTGCGTCTAAACAACTCATGCGCGAGTTGATGTTGAACTGAGCCGGGCGTTACCCCACAGATGCTGCTCAACTCAGAAATGTCCGAGCTGGAGGCCAAGATCGCTGCGCTAGAAAATGTCAAGCATGGGTTGCACTGCAGCCTGGTCGGTCTGCAGGAGGAAGAGCTGGAGCTCAACGACGAGTTCGAGGGCGTGTCCGAATCACTTGAGTTGCTGAAATACCGCAAAACAATGCCAGGAGGGAACGCGAAAATGTCGATAACCAGCACTTCCGCCACATCGAATCATGGAAGTCCTGGGAATAAGGGGACTGTCAAGCGGAAAAAGGGACCTCTCTTCTTGCCAAGCGAACACGACGATCTGCCCCCGGGTGTCGCATTTATGACGTTGACCGGGCACACCGCACCGCTCACAGCGCTCGACTTCTCTGAGCCATATGGCACGTTGGTTTCGTCTGCTAGCGACGATTCCGTACGTGTCTGGGACTTGACAGTTGGAAGCGAAGTAGGGCGACTACGCGGGCACTCCGGTGAGCCCCATGTTTCTCCTAAGAAGGCGGTACCCTGCCGTTGCTGACCCAGATCGATGCGCGCACCACATAGGGTTTGTCAAGTGCCTGCAGGTGGAAGATGAGCTGTGCATCACTGGCTCGGCAGACAGCACGCTGAAGTTGTGGGATCTGCGACGGGTGGAAGACTACGAGGCGCGATTGTCGCTTGCTCAGCAAGGCGATGTCTCCTATCAGAATTTGAACGAGCTGGCGGAAGGTCGAGTCGACGCGGGAGACGTCACGGATGATCCGTATAACCCATGCTTGCGCACGCTCGAGGGGCACAGTAAAGCTGTCACGGCGCTCTACTTTGACGACAACTGCCTCGTCACTGGCGCTTCTGACAAGACGCTCCGTCAGTGGGATCTGAACACTGGACAGTGTGTCCTGACGATGGACATCCTCTGGGCCATCTCGAATCCAGCATCCACACAGTCTCTCTCCTCATCAATGATGCTCGACGCATCCAACAGTGGCTTTCTGCCCATATCGCCACGGGCCAGCATGCTCGGCTCACCATCTCTCCGCGCTTCAAGTGTGTTCGGTGGCAGCGGCGCCGGTAACAACAGTGCAAGCGTAAATGCCATGATGGGCAGCATGGTCCTTCCCTCCGTGACAGGCGGCAACTTTTCGCATCCCACTCCAGCGTACGCCGACGGAAGCTGGGAGATGTACCAGGACTTTGTTGGCGGTGTACAGTTTTGGGGCTACGCACTTGCAAGTGGCAGCGGCGATGGCGGCGTGCGCATGTGGGATATGCGCACGGGGCAGGCGCATAGGACATTGCTGGGACACACTGCACCGGTCACATGCTTGCAGTTCGACGAGACTTATGTCATCTCGGGCAGCTTGGACAGATCAATCAAGGTGCGTGTTACTCGCACGCCAGCTCTCGAACTTTGGTAGTAAGCTCGCTTCCTGTCCTGCTAACTCCATAACTCCCGCACTTGGTTTCTTCCCTCAAGATTTGGGACCTGCGAACTGGTGTCATATCAGACACGATCAAGTACGACTATCCAGTAACATCACTTCAGTTCGACAGTCGCAAGATCGTCGCAACGACTGGCGAGAACGGCGTGAACGTGAGTCGTCCCATTCGCTGATGTTACCGCAAGGTCCGCATGCACGAAGTTTGAAACTGAGGTGGAATTTTGCCTTGTGTATTTGCCTCGCGCAGGTCTACAATCGCACCACTCTGCAACACTCGACGCTTTCTTTGAATGGGCACACTGCGCCCGTCGAGCGGGTACGCTACATGGATCGCTACGGCGTTTCCGGCGGGAAGGACAACCTCATCAAAGTGTGGGCGATGTAGTCTTTGCCTCCGGCCTGACATAGAGGCGCTTCTAGGAAAAGCTGTGTGACCTCTACGACCGATAGCTTGCTTGTAGGCAGCCGGCGATCGCGCCCACATGTGCAGGCTTGGTTTTGCGTGATGTAGCTCTCGCATCCTAGTGCGCTTGGTTGCTATAGTATTGAATGGCATATAGCAGTCGCTACGCCTTCTGAAGTAGGTGAAATAGATGAGTCGGGCTGAACGCATGCTCGGCCGACATACGGCCACTGCCATGGCCGTTCGTGGAGGTAAGCCGCTTTACTGATCCGCAGTGCTGCATGAATGCAGCCGGGAAATGCAGCGAACCTGCTCCTGATTGGTTGGGAGCTGTTCGTCACTTCTTTCCAACCGATGGTGTCAAATACTTCAAGACGCAGGATTGCGCGTTTCTGAGTGGAGCTCGATGAGCAAATGCCGAGGTTCCGACAGCTAGATTGGCGAGTGTGAAAGGTGCGTAAAAGAAGATTATCGACTCAGCATGGTCACGGTGTTAGTGCTCCAGTCGCTTTGGCTAGTGCAACCCTTGTGTGCTGTTGGTCATTGCAGACTTGATGGAGCAGTTCCGAAACTTGTAGTTGGAGGACCTCTGATTGTGTGTATATCAAGTCAGCATAGAGGACTACTTGAAAGACTGAGCCTCTGAATGGTACACACTTGCTTCCCGTACTGCTGCTCTGTATTCCTCGTTCGCATGACGCATTTCGCTTTGCAACGCCTCGAGCTCAGCGATCTGGAACGAGCGGAAGAGCCCATAGTGAGTCGAAAGGCAAAATAAGGAGGTAAGGATCCGCGCTGCATAAGTGCAACTCACCTGCGCTGGCTGCTGACCATCCCTGCTCGCCCACTCTGGCAGATCACCAATGTACGCCTCGACCTGCTTTGCCTTCATCATCAGATCCTGCACCAGCTCATCGGCGCTCTCGACCATCGTCTCTTCATCAACAAGTGTCTGGCTTGCCGTTGCGCTCAGCAAAACAAGCGGGATGGCAGGGTTGGTCTGCACGTGGGGGGCTTTGCGGGTCAGATAGGAGATCGAGGCGGCCATGATGCGCAGGAGAAAGTCGATGGCTTCTTCGAGCGTCTCGATCTCGTCACCGCACCGGGCGGTAGGCTTGGCGGCTGTGACGGCAACTGATGGGTCGGACATGGCAGGATGTCCAGCCGCCATTACCGGAAGGGAGCGTCTGTAGATCCAAGGGCTCCGAACCCTTTTTTCCGAGGCTGGCTGCTTGGGATGAACCGACCAAGACTCACGATTCAACCGACCGAAAGCTGAGTAGAGCATACTGTACTCTTGTATGTAGTAGTAGTAGTCGGGTGTCTCTTACGTTCGGAGCGGAACTTGTGATGCCGCCAGGCAGCACCTGAGTTGTGAGGGCGAAATGGGCGGAACGAGTCTCAGCGGCCAGCATAGCAGAGTAGTTACGTCCGACCAAGCCGGCTACAATGAGCTCTCTTTCGCGCATACATTCTCACCACTCTCCTCGACTCATCGGACAAGCCAGAGCTCACTGCTTGAAACGCTTGTCGATCAATAATCAATCTTCGCGGCGGGAAAGTTCAGCTTTCATCCGTGCAAGCACTAAGAGCCATGAGCTTCTCAGTACCAAAGTTGCCCGCCACACGCACGCTCCTGCGGGCAGCCGCACGCAGCGCCGCCCAGCTCAATGGTGCCCCCACGGTGTCAACTCCTTCCTGCTCAGCTGCCGCAATGCATACAAGCTCGGCGGCGCGAGTAGCGGCAAGATGGTCTAGTCGCCAGTCCTTCCGTTCAGAAGCCACAGCGAGAACAGTCTCCCATGGGCGGTCTCAAGGGTGGCCTGCTAACCCACGATCTGTGCAGAGTGAGTGCAGAGCACTCTGGACGCGCGCTTTCGACTCTTGCTGACGAGGGTGGCATGTACAACTTTGAATCAGAGCGCTCGATGTTCATTCAGACAGAGTCAACGCCGAATAATGACAGCTTGAAGTTCTTACCCGGCCAGAAAGTCATGGAGAGTGGGTCCGCCGAATTTCTGGACAATCGAAGCGCAATGTGAGTGGCCTCTCTGCAGAGGGTATGTTACATGAGATCCTATCCTGAACGTCATGTTTATTCTGAAACCACACAGGTCTTCACCGCTTGCAAAGCAGCTCTTCCAAATTCCTGGCGTCAGCAGCGTCTTCTACGGTCCAGACTTTGTGACAGTGTCGAAAGCGTCAGACGTACAATGGTCAACGCTGAAGCCGGAGATCTACTCGCGCATTATGGAATTCTTCACAGCCGGCCACCCACTCTTCACGGATGCCAACTCGGCACATGGATCGAGCGACACGCTGATCCTCGACACCGACAGCGAGACGGTCGCGATGATCAAGGAGTTGCTCGACACGCGCGTCCGGCCTGCAATCCAGGAGGACGGCGGAGACATCGAGTACCGCGGCTTTGGCGAGGACACCGATGGGATCGTCAGGTTGATGCTGAAGGGAAGCTGTAGAGGATGCGACAGCTCGACCGTCACGCTCAAGAACGGTATCGAACGCATGCTCACGCACTATATCCCTGAAGTCAAGGGCGTCGAACAGATCCTCGATCAGGAGGACGAGGTCGCTTTGGATGAATTTGCCAAGCTCGAGAAACGACTCAGCGCAGAGCGTGAGAAGGAGACGCAACGCGGCTTCTCGATCTGATACAGCCAATCTTATGACTACCTCTGAAGAATCTGGCGTACTGTACCATACTGTCATCATGCGAATTGCTCATCTCCTGGATTTAGAGCATGCCACACATCCTAGGTCCTAGTAGACAGTAGATTCAGAGTTGATTATATATTCTCATCAACAACGACGCTCCATGGGTGCTCGATCTTGCCGAGCTGGATACCGGTGATAGTGTTGAGCATGACCTTGGCGATGGGGCCGACGCCCTCCTCCGACGTTGGGATACGAATGTCGCGACCCATGTACCCTAGGCGCTCGACGGGGCTGACGATCGCCGCGGTGCCCGCGCCGAACATCTCCAGCAAGCAGCCGGACTTCTCCGCTTCGACAACCTCGGCCATGTTGATCTCGCGCTCAGAGACAATGAGGTCCGAGGGTAGGCCGTCGATGGGGAACTTCCCTGCGAGGTGATCTCGTGCCAATTCCAGGATCGAAGCGCGCGTCACACCGGGGAGGATCATTCCATTCAGTGGGGGTGTTATGAGCTCCGTGGCTGTGTTAGTGAGGGCAAAGGAAACAGTGTGTCAGTTACACTTCTCATCTGGAAGTGCAACATGAAGGCACAGTGCACACTCACCACCATCTTTATTCTTGATGACAACAAACATGTTCATTGTTCCAACTTCGGTGAGCCAGTGCTCTTCGCCGAACAGCCACAGGTTTTGCTGATAGCCGCTTTTCGCTGCTTCCACCTGCATCTTGATGCCTGGCGCGTAATTGAGACCGAGCTTGTATTGTCCTGTGCCACCTGGCCATGCGCGGACTTTAGATGGGTCAGCCTCGAGCGCAACAGGCTTGAAGCCGCTCCTGTAGTACGGCTATGGACAAAAGAGTCAGGGGGTACATCTCAGCCACATCCATCAGATCAAACTAGCAAGGGCGTATAGCTCACTCCGACGGGAGAACAGATAACGAAGAGAAGCGCCTCGGTGGTCGGGAATACACCTAGGGCTTGTTGCGTGCCAATGAGCGTCGGTCGGATGTACAGCGAATGACCCGGATCCGCTGGGATCCAGTGCTTGTCGAGTGAGACGAGTTTTTTTATGAGCGTTGTCAGCTGCTCGCCATCGACGGCTGGCAGCGCGATGCGGTCAGCACTGACGTTGAGACGCTTCATGTTCATGTCTGGTCGAAAGAGCCTGATGCCTCCATTGACGTCCTTGTACGCCTTCATTCCCTCGAACAGACTCGGTGCGTAGTGGAATATGACAGAGCTGGGATCCAGGTGGAGCGGTCCGTACGGATGGATATGAGGCGGTGCCCAGCCGGTCTGTGCGTTCCAGGGGACGGAGAGCATGTGATCCGAGAAGTTTTGACCAAACACAAGCGAGCTGGAAGGCGGTACGGTCTTCGGCTGCTGTGTCTTAGTTACCTTAAGCGACGAGGCATCGAGCGTGGAGAGTCCCATCACTTCTCCGGTCATCGGATCGATCTGCTGGGGTTTGGACGCATCGCGAACGAGCGTGCTCGTCGAGAAACGCAGCGATCTTGACGAGCAGGCCGCTTGCCGCCGCGCTGTAGTGCGAAGGGAGGCTGCGAGCATGATCTTTACTTCCTACTTTAGTCAATCGAACTTGAACGCGCTCTGCTGGTGGAGGTCGGTAGGTGATACCTTCGGCAGCGAGCTGATCGGGATGCTCACACTCTTTATAGCGAGTGATTTGGCAATGCCATTACGGAGATCCGAAATGGAAGTCTATCGCATGACTCAGAGTTGAAGTGGACTTATGCTTTGGTATTGGCTGGGCGGAACCGCTGGTGGCAGCGTTATTCCTCCCGACTCACACGTGACAACCACATAGAGATTCACCGAACCCGCCAAATGCTGGTCTGGTCACATGGGAGCTGGGTAGCTCACGCGCTTTGTATTGTAATAATGTTCAAACTATTCAACATCGATTGCAAAACGAGCCAATAAAGAAGTGCTCTTCCCAACAGGATTCAGATTGTCGCACAGCAAATGGCCGGTCTTACTAAGTTGGAGCCTGTAGTTGTGCGACACATTAAACACAATGAGGAGACTGCCGAGGGAATACACGAGTACGAGGGGCAAAAAAGTGGCTCGCCCATGTGCCCGTGCGGAGAAGTCCACCAAGTCTAGAGAGCAAGCAGCATCAGCTTGAGGGGCATGGGGGTCACCATGTACGCCAGATGATGAGGTGGACTTGAAAGGGGACATACCACGCCATCTCTGCAATAAGTCATAAGTCCGCATCGTGAAAGTCAAGCTTCATGTCAGTTCCTTTTGCATTTGGCGGGGTTATGACCTGACGGCCAGGTGAGCGCGCAGTAGCGGTCAGACAGCTGTAAGCGACACCGTGCTTGCGCTATTTGTGCGTGAGATATTTGGCCTCATGTCTTCGAGGACCGTTCTTTCAGCCTTTCGTGTATCGAAATCGCCAATAGAGAAAGCGAAGCGATGGCGGCGGGCGCAAGTTGCCAATTACGTGACGGGAATGCGGATCGCGACTTAGAGCGCTTGCACCTTGTGACCATACTCCGTTTCATTGCCTTCATTGCTGATGAGGAGTCTATGCCTGCAGCATTAGGTCGCGGGGGCTTGTTCTTTAGAAACAAAGAGCGGTTAGAATCGGACCAGGGTGACGAACGGCCGCGTTGGCGCTGCCACCTTTTCAGAGTCACGAAATTCATTACCAGCACGAACTCTCTGTCGTCATTCGCACCTCTCCAGGTGCCACCCACGCCAGACGGAGAATGTAAAGAGAAAGTAGCTGAGTGGGCGAACACCCTATGAGTGCGAAGATGTCCATGAGTGCTACAGACGTGCCAAAGCACAGAGCAAAGCTTCCGATCGAAAACGTCTGCAAGACACGAGGCGTCCGAACGCTCTGACGAATTTCTTGGCTGCGTGTAAGACTGGAAGTCATATCAAAAGTCGTGCACGAAATTCAAGATACATTTGACCGGACAAAGCGCGACTTGCGCCTCGATGTCTCTACGAAGGTAGCGATCGTGAAGGGTTGAGCCTCTCGCTTCTGAAATCCGAGCCATGTGCCGTCCAATGTTTTGTCGTTTCGAATCGTATGTTCGACACAGCTGGTTTCTGTGCAGACCGCACGGCGAATGGCGCTCTGTGGCCTGAGTGCAGATGTGCACACAGGCCGATAGCGACGAACATTGTCTTTGCACGCGCCAATGTTCATGGAGGTTAGAGCATCAAAACGAGTTTATCAAGCAACAAGCGGAATTGCAGTCTCGGAGACCAGACCCCGGAGGTTCCGTGACTTCGAAGGGGAGAAGAGAACCTCTAGAACCCAAGGCGAGAGTTGAGACTCGAAAGGCTTCGTCATCTTACTGCGGACCGCCTTTAAGCAGGCATGAACGGAAAGGCTTGACATTTCGTGCCAATTGCCAAAAGAATCCCTAGTCCTCGTCCTTCTCTACTATCTTCGTCGCACTGCAATTCGACATGTCCTCGCCAAGCCTCAAGTTGTATCCCGTTGCGTCCGGTTCGCAGCATGGCGCTGCCATGGTCACTGGCGCGTTTTCACGTGACACACTCTTGATTCCGGCCGTCTCGATCGGCTCTGTGCCTCAGCTTGCATTCGACCTACTGGTGCACGCCCCGGCATTGGGCCTCGAAAGGGTGGCCTCTGTAGATGTGCAAGATTACTGCGTGCCATTCGCTGCACCGCTAGACTCGCTCGCACCGAGCGGCAAAAGTCATGATAACAGAAATGGCCACGGAGGTGACCGTCCTGCGCTGGGCGTATGTACCGCGCTCGAAGTGTATCGAAATCCATCACGGCGTCTCACGCTCCTCCATCAGCGCAGTCCGGTGCTTAAGTCCCGGAAAGACGAATTTGTTCAGAGCCTACTGAGCTGGATCGTGCAGGAAGGTTTTAGTGAAACGTTGATTGTTGGAAGCATGGACGCGGGCATGCGCATCGACAGCGAGATGGACAAGCCACTGGTGCATCTTCAACCGGCTTCATCCGACAAGGGCCACGAAACAAAAATCGACAGCGGATCTCTCCTCTCGTTCATCACGCACAGTACGCCAGAATTCTCACCGGTCTCACCATCGCCCGCTCATCAAAACGCATTTGCAAGGTCGCAGAAGGACACGCTCGTTCCGCCGTTACCAGGTGCTGGCTTGGTGCGGCGCATCCTCTCTCAGCACGCCAAGCAGAGTTCAAACGATAGGGAAGCACGCTTGGCGGCGCTTCTGATGTTTTGCGGCGAAGGAGACAATAGGGGGGATGCACACGCATTGGCAGGTCTTCTGTGTCGTGGTCTGCGAGTGGAAGGCGAAGGTGAAGACTACACACAGCTGCGAGAGAACTATCCCATTCAGCACTGGTGACTGACTCTTTCTGCGTCCAGAGCTCCAAGAGCCGAGAAGCTGGCAAGGCCTGTTTGGACCAACGTACAACCAAGCACTGTTCGGGTAAACTTTGACGGTCCCACGGTCCTGTGTGTCTTACTTTCAATTCATGTTCTATGGGCCGCAATCTTCGATAGTTCACACCTCGCTGAATACAAGTGACGAGCGCGTGTGCAGTGCAACTGTGCGAAGGTCATCTGCCTGGCGGCTGGAGTGTATCGACCATCTCCTTGAACTGGCTGACGATCTGCGCCTCTTTCTTCATCTTCTCCTCCTTCTGTAGCTTGAGGATGCCCCTCTTCTCCTCTGCACTGATGACCTGGTTCTCTTTCCGCATTCGCACAGCGTTCATGCGCTTGTGTCGCGATCCAGACATGACGAACCCGGCCCGCTCGAACGCCTCAATCCTTTCCGACGTCAAGCCAATCTCTCCTCTGCGCGGGATACGCTTTCCCTCCGCCACGTATGCGGCCATCGCTGATCCTTCGCCAGGAAGAAGAGCTCCGCCAAAGCTGTTGTAACATGCGGGGGTGACAAGGTCAGCAAGTCCAGTGTTGCACATAAGTGGAAGGGCGCTACGACTCACACTCTTGGATCCACTGGCTTTCCGTCCTCCGAGACCGGCAACTGCGGTCCGACCTCGCCGTCGCTGTCGTCTTCGTTCGCCACATTCTTGCACTTTTCTTTTTGTGTGAGAGCATTGCTGTTGTTCTCAGAATCTTTTCTGGTCGTGCTGCGCTCGTTATCTGAATGGGCGTCGCGCGAAGCAAACGAGCTCGCACTGGCTACGGAGCGACTACGTCTGTGCCTCTTGCCGCTGGAAGAGTGTCTCCGCTCATCTCCATCCTCGCGACGGCGATGGCGACGACTGCTGCGGTGCTTTCGATCGTAATCGCGTGAATCGTCAGATTCAGATCCGGATTCGTCAGTGCTGTACTCTCTCTTGTGTGTGCTGGAATGCCGTGAGCTGTGCTTGGAATGACGATGCGACCTGCTCTTTTTGTCCGCATCTTTGTCTCTCGAGCTTCGATGCGAGTGCGAGCGAGAGTGCCGTGAGCTGCGGTGGCCCTTCGAGCTTCTCTCCTCTCTCCGCCTCTCCTTCTCCTTCCTGCGTCGTTCTCGCTCCTCATCCGAGTAGAGATATGGCTCGCGCGGGCTCTCGGGCCATATGACCACCTGCTTTGCGAGCGAATCGCGCTGCGCCTGTCGAGAGGCGAAGAAGCTTCCTTCCGACCCCTGGCCTTGGTCGGGCAAGTGCCCTCCGCCGCGACGGCCCCATCCACCGCCTTGCGTACCTGGCGCGGTATGCTCCGGCTGATCCAACCTGTATGAGGCATCCGGCAGCGGGCGGTCAAAGTACCTTGACGGTGGTGCGTTCGCAGGACGAACTGGTGGTGGACCGGGGGGACGAGGAGGATTGCTGCGACTGTCGCCGGCAGCGTAAGGCTCGTAGGATGGAGAAGCTCGACGCTGGGGGGGTGGCGAACGGCGGCTGTAAACGTCGACGTGTTCTCTGTGACCCCTCTCTTTGTAGCCTCCTTCATAGCGGCCGTCTTTGTATTGCCGTCCTGCAGGGCCGTATCCTTGATGACAGCCAAAGCTCGGGTCTGGGCTGTGTCGGCCATTCTCGTGGCTGCGCCTTTCGTACCCCCGTTGCCTCTCACGAAAGCCTTCCGATACATCGTCATACCCTCTGTCTCTTCGTGAGCTCGGTTCTTCAGCACGATCTTCTACCCGGCGTTTGTCCTCCCCATCCAGATGGTGCTGCCGCTCATCATGGCTGGATTGAGCTTGGTCTCTTTCCCTGCGCAACCGCTCCTTGAGCTCGAGTTCGCGGTCTTCAATAGCGGAAGCTGGCCGTGCAGAAGATCTGGACTTCGCTTCGTGGTTGTCCATCTTTCGGATTCAGAGAACGGGCACGGCCTTGGTTGCTGCTCGGCCGTGCAAGCGATTCACGACCAGACCAAGGTGGATGCAAGTTGTTTCGGATGTCATCTCACCCAAACGGTTCTGAAGCTTTCCCAGCTGCGCGCCATCTGCGGTTCCGCTCTCGCTCCCAGCGACGCGCTGTCTTCGTTCCCGTCGCTGACGACGCGCGACAACACGTGATACGAACACGCTAAGAGTGTTGTTCTCGTGTATCCCACCTTTTTGCTCCCTCTGTTCTTTTTGTCGATACAGAGGTCTTTCCCTTGGCCATGACCGCCTCGCCTTGATGTTTCAGGTGCCCACAAGCAGCCTGAATCCCTCTTTGTACGCAGGCGGTGGGACCTTCAAGTTCGGAGACATCCTGACGCTTTTCACCGCTCGGTTCAGTAGGGCGCGACGCGTCGGTAGTGCTGTTAGTCTTTGCGCCACGGGTGCTAGCCTCACGCAGCAGGAGCGGCCTTTTCTTCGTCCTCCAACACGCTCAGGCAGCTTGAGGAGCCGTATTAGTTCCTCAATTCATCTCTCTAAAGTCCATTCATTTCACACCAGCAGCCACAGGATGGATTTCAGCTCCGAGACTTCTATCATCTCGGATCGTGAGTCGGACTTTAACCCTTCGCCTGTCGCGAAGGGCAAAAAGGGAACTGCGAATGGTGGAGCCAAGGGTAGGGCCACTGGAGCTGCCGCACCTAAGGCCAAGAAAGCGCTAGTAGCCACCAAGAAGAAGCCTCTTGCGCCCCACAAGTCCAATGAAGGCAGCGACAATGACGCAGGCTTTGGAACTGATGTCGGAGACATCGACGGCGACAGCAATATGCTCGATGCCCGATCTTCCAAACCAAAAGCCAATGGAAAGGCAAAGACGGCCACAGAGACCTATCAAAAGCTGACTCAGCTTGAGCACATCCTCAAGCGCCCAGACACGTACATTGGCAGCGTAGAACGCCAGACCGACACGCTGTGGGTGTATGACAAGACTTCGCAGAGCATGGCTCACAGGAAGATTGAGTACGTGCCCGGCTTTTACAAGATCTTCGATGAGATTCTCGTGAATGCCGCAGACAACAAGGTCGGCGGTCAAGTCTGTGGGATTGACCAGTCTACTTGCTCATACTAAGTGATCCCTCCCACAGGTCCGCGACCCAACCATGTCTTGGATTAAAGTCAAGATTGACCGTGACGAAGGGTCCATCTCCGTTGAGAACAATGGCCGTGGTATCCCCATTGAAAAGCATGAGAAAGAAAAGGTCTACATTCCAGAGCTCATCTTCGGTCACTTGCTCACATCATCGAACTATGATGATGACGAAGACAAGGTCACCGGTGGCAGGAACGGCTATGGTGCAAAGCTTGCCAATATCTATTCCACCGAATTCACTATCGAGACGGGGAACAAGGACATTGAAAAGAAATATTCACAGACATTCAGCGAGAACATGCAGAAAATCGGAAAGGCTTCCATCGTCAAGGGAAAGACTGACTTTACCAAGATCACCTTCAAGCCGGACTTTCAGCGGTTCGGCATGAGCGGCATCAACGACGACATCGAGGCGCTCATGATGAAGCGTGTCTATGACATGGCGGGCACAGTCAAGGACTGCAATGTCTGGCTCAATGGGGAGAAGATCAAAATCAGCAGCTTCAAAGCGTACGTCGAGATGTACGTCAAGGCCATCCGTGAGATGGGCGGTGAGGACGACGCGTCGGTGGCCGGTGTCGTTCCTGGACAATCTAGCAAGGAAGACAAGCCGACAATCATCTACGAAGCTTCCACAGACAAGGGAAAGCTGTGGGAAGTGGCATTCGCCGTCTCGGATGGCACCGCGCGTCAAGTGTCCTTTGTCAACAACATCGCCACCATCAGAGGTGGTCGCCACGTTGACATGGTCGAGCATCAGATCGTCTCCAAAATTATCGAGAATATCACCAAAGGAAAGAAAGCGTCAGGCGTCAAGCCGGCACAAGTCAAGAACTACTGTTGGATCTTTGTCAACTCGCAGATCGTCAACCCAACATTTGATGGTCAGACAAAGGAGACGCTAACGCTCAAGCCGAGCGCTTTCGGAAGCAAGTGGACTATCTCGGACAGCTTTGAGAAGAAGGTGCTCAAGAGCGGCGTGCTCGACCATGTGGTCTCATTCGCCAAATTCCAACAGGAGAAGCAGATGAAGAAGACAGATGGTGCCAAGCGCAAGAGGTGGGTTTAGACGCATAGAGTCTACATCTGCGTGACCGGATGCTGACTATTCTTCATTTTTTCAGAATTACCGGCATTCCGAAGCTCGAGGATGCCAACAATGCAGGCTCCGGTCGCAAGAGCCGTGAATGTACACTCATCCTGACCGAAGGAGACTCGGCTAAAGCGCTAGCCGTGTCTGGTCTAACTGAGGTCGGACGTGACAACTACGGCGTCTTCCCCCTTCGTGGCAAGCTGCTCAATGTGCGCGAAGCGAGCCACGATCAGATCATGAAAAACGCCGAGATTTTGAACATCAAAGAAATCCTCGGCCTGCGTCACGGCCAGGTGTATGAGAATGTCGACTCATTACGCTATGGTAGTTTGATGATAATGACGGATCAGGATCACGATGGATCGCATATCAAGGGACTCATCATCAACTTCTTTGACACCTTCTTCCCATCCTTGCTCAAGCTGCCCGACTTTTTGGTTGAATTCATCACGCCCATCGTCAAGGCGACCAAAGGAAAACAGGAGCTAGCCTTTTTCACGATTCCAGAGTACGAGACATGGAAGGGACAGAACAATAATGGAGCCGGCTGGAAGATCAAATACTACAAGGTAAGTGTTATGCTTTCCCTTTTCTCGCGATAACGACCGTGTGCTAAACGGCTTGATTTTATTCGACAGGGTCTAGGTACGAGTGAATCGTCTGACATCAAGAAATACTTCCGAGCAATGAACAAGCACATGCTTCCGTTCGAGCCAATTACAACTGGTGACCGCGAGCTCATCGACTTGGCATTCAACAAGAAGAAAGCGGATGACCGCAAGGAGTGGCTTCGTCAATTCAAGCCTGGTACTTTCCTGGACCATAACATCAGCAAGGTCCCTGTCGCAGACTTCATCAACAAGGAGCTCATTCTCTTCTCCATGGCTGACAACATGCGTTCCATCCCCAGCATGGTGGATGGGCTCAAGCCAGGTCAGCGTAAGATCCTATTCGCCTGCTTCAAGCGCAAGCTTACGCCCAAGCAAGAAATCAAGGTCGCACAGCTGGGAGGTTACGTGTCTGAACATACTGCTTACCACCACGGCGAGAACAACCTTGCGATGACCATCGTTGGCCTCGCTCAGAACTTCACCGGTTCCAACAACATCAATCTTCTTGCTCCCAGGGGTCAATTCGGTACCCGTGCTCTCGGTGGCAAGGACGCAGCTGCGGCTCGTTACATTTTCACTACTTTGCCAGAGCACACGCGCCACTTGTTCCACCCATCTGACGACGCGCTTCTCAACTACCTTAATGAGGAAGGGCAAAGTATCGAGCCTGATTGGTACATTCCAACGATCCCACTAGTCCTTGTGAATGGTTCGGACGGTATCGGAACCGGGTGGTCATCGTCCGTTCCCAACTACAACCCCAAGGACATCATCCGCAATCTGCGCCGTCGCTTGAAGGGCGAGGAGTACATCAAGATGCATCCGTGGTATCGCGGCTTCACGGGTCCGATTGAGCCAGACACTCCAGAGCGCTACAAGATCTCTGGCATAGCCCGCCAGGTCAGCCCTGACGATCCGAAAGTCTGGGAGATTACAGAGTTGCCTGTGCAGACATGGACCACGACGTACAAGGAATTCCTCGAAGCCAAGGTGGTCGGCAACGAAAAGTCCCCTGCCACGATTAAGGACTACAAGGAATACCATTCGGACCGAACGGTGCACTTCATCATCGAGCTCAATGACAAGGGTGTTGAGGAGATTAAGAAGGAAGGGGCTGACAAGTGGTTCAAGCTTTCCACTACCAAAGCGACTACCAACATGGTGCTCTTCGACGCTGATGGCAAGATCAAGAAGTACGCCAACGTCGAGGAGATCCTTGAAGACTTTTATCTTCTGCGCATGTCTTTCTACCAGAAGCGAAAGGTACGACGGGACGCGGCCATGCCGTAAAGCGCATCTGGAACTGATTTTCACTTTTGTGTCAATGCAGGATTATTTGGTCGAAGCACTCAAGGATGTGTATGACCGACTGTCCAACCAAGCGCGCTTCGTCAAGATGATCATCGAAAGAGAGCTGGTTGTGTCCAACCGGAAGCGCAGTGATATCGTCGCCGATCTGCGAAAGAAGAATTTCCGTCCTTTCCCCAAGCAAGTTCAAGCTGTGGCTGCCGCCGACATCGAGCTCGACCCAGAGGAGAATGATCCTGCTGCTATTACTTCTGACAACGACTACGACTATTTGCTTAACATGGCGATTTACAATCTGACACGCGAGAAGGTCGAAAAGCTGCTTGCGCAACGCGATGCCAAGGAAGCCGAGCTGAACGCGCTTCTCGGTCTCACACCGTCCAGCCTGTGGGAGGTGGATCTGGATGCATTTGAGGCGCAGTGGGAGGGCATATTGGATGAGGACGATCGTACCATTAAGGAAGCTTCCAAGTTGTCGAACAGAAAGGGAAAGGCGCCAGTCAAGAGTGCTCCTAAAGCGGCTGCGGCTGCTCGCAAAGTGCTGAAGAACGAGGATTCTGACCACGACATCGCCGTGGACGATCTGAGCGAGGATGAGTTCAAACCGTCCAGGAGTAGGAAGCCTGCCAAGCCAAGAGTGCTCTCGGCAACATCAGCTGCCAAGCGCACCGCCAACGCCCTCGACGATGATGACCTGGAGATCATTGCAGGTGGCGCTAGCGCCTCCACAGCCAAGAAGCCATTCGCCCTGAGCGGGAAGGCAACAGAAGAAAATGACGACGGGAACGATCTGTATTTAAAGAAGCCCAGCACGAGCGCGAGCAAAGCGGGGTCGTCGGGAGCCACTGCGCGCAAGGCCTCGGCGAAAAAGCAGAAGATCGAGCTCAGCGATGACGATTCAATCGTCATCGCAGCGCCAGTGCCACCGCGCGACAAGTCGAGTCGCGCGCGCAAAGTCTCGGCTCACGCCAAATACATTGAAACTGATGAGGACGAGGAGTGACCTTCTGAAGTAGAGCTTAGCGGAGATTGCTGTCCCTGTATTGTATTTTCGTAGCCTGCTCGTCTTGTGTAGATCTTCAAATAATGGTGCTGACGAAAGCCGAGGTGCTTTGCCTATTTGTTGCCAAGCTTGAAGTTTGGCTGTCCGAGACGGGAGGGTTTGCACCGAATTTGGCCGCGTGCGTGCGCGAGGGTGTTACAGCCGCTGGTATGGAAGTAATCACTGGTGCAAGGTGCAGGCGTGGTCTCGCGCTGCATAGAGTTCGTAAGGTAAGAGGACGGAACATCGTCGCCAACGTTTATGTTGCAAGGTTGGCGAATGAGCAATGCTTCTACTTCCAGACCCGGACACCAGGAATAATCTACTACAGAAAGTGCGCAGAGCTGGAAATCAGGTATTACCCACGATAGAAGACTTGGGTTTCAAACTGGCATCCCCAGATGGCTTCCCAAGAGGCTTCTCTAAAGGCAGCGGCCTCATCTTCATCGAGCGACGTGAACGTATCGCCAGCAAGTCCCGTATCGGCAGCTGATGCAGCCAAGGCGCGTCGCGAAGCCCGCAAAGCAAAGATCCTGGGAAGTGGCTCGGATCGACTGGCGCGAATCACCAAGACCGGGCGGGGTGCGGAAGCAGAGGCGTTGTATCCTTCCAACCCTCCCCTCTCATCTGCCAGCGAAGCGGCTGCCGCAGCGAGTACGGCGCGACTCGCGACGGACGACCCAGATGATGTTGACATCTCCCGCCTTGAGCGGCCTGATGGAGCAAGGGCCCCAATCGACGATGAGCGAATGCAGACACTCGTGGGACTGGGGCAGCAAGATATGCCTCAGGATCCTTTCCAGCAAATGATGATGATGATGTCTGGTCAGCTTGGCAGCGGCGCGGCTGAAAGTGGAGGTGGCCCTTCTGGCATGCCATTCGACCTGAACGCTATGCTAGGTGGTGCTCAAGGTGGAGGGGGTGGTGGATCAGGCGCAATGCCGAATCTATCGGGCCTATTTGGTCCTCAAGGCATGGTGGTGCCAAGTCCTCGCTCCCGGCTGGACAAGCTGTTCGACCTTTTGCACCTGGTAGCCATGCTCATCCTGGGCTTCATCACCGTCAGTGCTGTCTTCACGCAGCCAAGTGCCGAAAAGAGCATGGTCATCGCCAGCTCAGAAGGAGAGGGTGCTCAGATTCTTTGGGACGAGCAAGCTGGTCTGCAGAGATGGGCAAGGCTCGCATATGAGCGACCAGGCGATTGGGAGACACACTTCTTTGCCATCGCCGAGCATTTGCCGCTACAGGGAGTGGTACGTCGTTCAATCCGGAAATGATTGACTCAGAACGAGACGCGTGGCTGATAGTGACTTCTTGCAGCCCGTTTTCTGGCTCTTCATGTCCATCGAGATTTTGCTTCAAAGTGCCAGGATGCTAGTGCTCAAGGTTTGTTTCTATGCTGCACACTATCGTTTGCCATTTACCATTCGTGCTGACTCAGAGCATTATTCCGCATATCTCATAGGACCGACCGCAATCAGGCTCGCTGCTTGCGTCGCTTGCGCGCCAGATCCCGATCCCGACGCTGCAAATCGCCCTGCGCACAGGTGGGCGATATCTCTCGTTGCTCACTGCTTTCCTGGACGATCTTTCCGTCTTGGTGTTGGTGCTGGGGCTCACTATCATGTATTCTGCTTGGAAGACGGGGGATCCTGTCGCCGCAATTCGATGAGACACAGAAATTATACTCTTTTCATGAAGCTTCTTGCCCTGATACAGTGTAATCGTCGCGCACCGTGAATTTCCTACTGGCGACCCAGCCTAACAGCGATGCACCCATCACCGCGTGATATCGCGGAGCTCTTGCATAATTTGCGACACTAGGAAACGAGACAGGTAAGTCAGCCTCATGATTCGCTTCTCCTAGTGACACGTACAAGGCATAAGTAGCTCACCCGTCTTTTTGCCGATGACGACTCTCCGGCTGGGTGTGTTCGCTGTAAAAAAAATTGGCAAAATGGAGATAGTTCGCATCATTCCGGGGTCCAGCAGCGATTCCTGAACAGGCTTGCTCACGCACCATACTCGACTTCTATACCCTGTCCGACGTCCAAATCAACTGGCGCAACTTCGCTGCCACAGCCAACCTCATTGGCTGTAACCAGCTTGCCGGCTTGTGATCTTCGGCGCCGCGGGAGATATTGAACTTGTACTGGTAAGCTCGGATTCGAGTATGATAGGCGCGGCAAAGCTTCTTTCACCAATGTTCTGAGATGAGACAGGGATTGTTGGACAAAATGGCCTTCATCAGCGTCTCTTGCAAAAAATGATTTCTAGTCGCATTGGAAGTGACATTGACGCGCTTCGCAGCTCACTGCGAATACGTACTTGGCATGTCCAGGCAAATTTGGACGGAGATATATCGTTACCCGAGCCACGGAGGTCGGTGGGAGGAAGACCTGGCCTTGCCCTTGAGCACTGAGAGATTGTGCGATAGCTTTGGCATTCAAGCCGCCTGCTTTCCTTGCCCCGGCGGCGCCCACGACGGCGGCTGCTCTTGTAGCCATTCTGAGCACTCGCGTTTGCCAAGTGTTGATTCAGCTGAAGTGCTCTGCCGGGGATTTCCAAGTTCTCTTGTAATTGGCGTGAAAAAGTGTAGGACCAGTAACGGATGCCTTCCTCATGTATGCGAAGCCGGCAACCAGAACTCGCGATGGCAATCAAAATGCCCAATATCGAAAGAACAGGATTTACGCCAGTGAGATGTGGAAGCTCACATCTGCGAAAATGGCGGCGCAGTTAGCAAGATGTCGGATATCCCTTTGCTCGAGTAGCTTCTACCCCGCTCAGCCTTTTGCCACTGCCGTCACACTCATTATCATTGTCAACCTCGCTCGATGACGGAACCCTGCTTCGATCTCTCGTCCTACACTTCCGTTGCTCCTTTGGGGTCCTCGTTCCCACTTTCAGTGTCATCTCCACAGAAACAGCCACGCGCTTGAGGGAGGCAGGCCCAGGTCTACGTGATGCCATTACCCACACGTTGCAAACCTGGCACGCTTGTCAGAGTGTTCAGCCCACTAGTGACAGAGACCTAAGGCAGCTTCGGCAAACCGTCTACATGCCGACGTAGCAGCCACTTAAAGCGTGTTACTTGCAATTCACCGAGATCAAGCCTGCCAACAGTATGTGATAAATCTTGATCGCCATAGAAGTATCGCTCAAAAAAGCTCATGCTGAAGGATGAGGCACTTCTCCACGCTGGTTCTCCAGTGGTGGTTCGCCAATAGCTCCAACGTCTCAGCCAGCTAGTCGAGGTGACATTTCTGTGTGTCAGTAACGACCTTGGTCATTCCAAATTCACTGACATCCAGAAGCGATTTGCCTGGGAAGCTGACTTTGCTGCTGATGCTCTGGTTGAGCAGGTCAAAGTTGGCGCATGCGGCCCTGGCAAGACCAACGCCGGCGCATGGGCCACATCACACTGCTGATACTATCACTGGCGGTCTAGAATCCACCAGTGGCCCCCTTCACTTGACCAGCATGCGGGCGAATCACTGTTCGTGTAAGGGAAACGAAGAGAGGTCAGCGATGGGCCTTGAGTTTATGAAAGATACTTTGAAAATACCACAAACCGTCTGCAAAATGAACGAAGAAGCCTCCCTCTCGTTCATGCTTTCGTGCTTGTGCTCGAACCCAATAACTTCGTATGTGCCACGTGACAGCTCGACTCAGTCAACACCGTGTTTCTTCATTTACCCGCAGACCTGTACTGCCTCATCGGGCTGGATCCCACCCTCTTGAAAGTCGAATGCATAGGGCTTGATCCCATTGTAGAAAGTGGGGTTGTTCATGGCAGCCTTGATTGCCTCGATTAGCTCGTAGATGATGCGTGCTCGGTTCTCAAGGGTCCTGCCGTAATCGTCGGTGCGCTTGTTGGTTGGTGACGCGACGAATTGAGCGAGCATGTAGCTGTGTGCACCGTAAAGTCGGCGGTATCGAACGTTGTCAGCGCTCAGCATTTGGAGGGGTCTGCCGAAAAGATATAATTGATCCTGTAAGGTCAGTGAATGCCATCGGTGCTGATTTTCACTGCGTAAGTTGCTGCATACGCAAAAGCGTCGACAATTTGCTTAATATCCTCTTTGGTAGCAACCATGGATTAGTAAAGCTCATGACTAAGCGGTCATCGGGCTTGCCGTCGCTAGCGCTCCTTGGGTGCAGCTTGGTATATTCTGCGACCTGTTGCCCTGCGTGCGAAAGCTGAACGATGTTGAGCGAGCAATTGACTTTGATTTTGGCCTCGTTTGTCGTGCTGGGTCAAATGCTCGGGAGAGTCTACGGTCTTGTTTCAGATGGGATTGCCAAGTGCTTCTAAATTCATAGTGTTGATCCTGCTATCGAATGGAGTGTCAACGCAAAAAGGCAACGCACGATCAACGTGGGGCCGTCATAGCACAGCTGCTGACATTGTGGTGTCGGACAGGATGATGCACCACCCGCCGTTTGCCCACTTTTCGTATACCTTGACGCGATTGTCGGGCCATGTGCCTCGCTTCGTGACGTGATGCTGGTCCCACGACGATAGCCGCTCCGTCATAGCCGCCTTGAGGAACGAATTCCTTGCAACCTTGCGCGAGAAGGGCGACTTGGTGGACTTGTGAGGAAGGAAGTGTTCGTCTTCTCGTCCTCGTAACGCTAGTTCGCAGACAACTTGAGCTTTGTGAGATGGATCAAACCATGTTTAATGTGGGTAGGGTTGACGGACACTATATCGGTGAATGATAACCACAGCATCGTCCATGAATGCAAGCTCCAGCACGTATATATATCTCAGCAGTGGGCAGAATGGTAGTTTGGAAGCTGGAGTGCCCACGAAAGGCTGCATCTGCTGAGACATGGTGCCATTTTGCGAACTCCACGCCTTAAGCGCGCTAAGGATTTGGGGAACAAGCTTGTTTCGCAGGCATACGCGTGCTGGGCTCACGAGGCCCCACGTAATGTTGATGAAGCAGGCAGTCAAAAGTACAGAGAAAAGTGTGTATTCAATGAAGAGAAAGTAGAATTTGGTACCTTGAATGAAGCCCGAGATTGAGCTGAGGACCCTGGGCACCGTCCGCACGGTGTATAATGCGGAAGAAACAGGCTTGTATGTCGTACAGTTGAACTCAGGAAGGATGGCAGTAGTGAAGAAGACCTGAGCCAACTTTCGCGACGTTATGCCTCGCACTTTAGAAAGTGGAGCGGACTCGGCTCCAACCATTTTCAAGGTACGTGAACAAACAACAGTTTATGGTACTAAAATCAACAACCATCATCAGTGAGGAAGACCAGGGAATCACCACCTCTTGCACTTTTGCTATCGAACTTGCCACATGCTTCGATAGCTTTTGCGTCTTGGAGCTGCTGCTAGAGTTCACTGGTCATGCATGTCGCAGTCGAACACCTCTCGAAGCGAAGCCGGAACATGTACCATTTTCCATCCATCTCCGGGTATAATAATAGGGATATACGATCTTTCATATAAATTCAATTTTTTTTGGAGCTAGCCCCCCCAAACGGCGACCAATGCCGCTGTTTTGCCGCAGCCGAAAGTAGCAAATGGTACTGAGTTATCTGTGCGACTAGACACGGTTCTGCACTCGTCGCCTCAAGCAATTGGTGAAATTCCCAAGAAATTGGTGTGAAATAGAGGTATATGAGAACAACATTCACTCATTAAATGTCTGACGCTGTTCAGATCTTGCCGAGCACGTTCTCGGCCTTGGTGACCTCGACGTTCGCAACTTCGCTCTCGACAAAGACGTGCTTAACAATGCCATCGTCGACGACGAGCACGTAGCGCTTGCTGCGCTTGTTGCCGAGCAGTCCCTTTGCGTCGAAGAGCATGCCGACCTCAGAGGTAAAGGATCCGTCGTCGTCAGCGAGGAAGTGCACCTGGCTGGCGGATGCGCCGAGCTTCTCCTTCCACGCCATCGTCACGAAGGCGTCGTTCACTGCTACAACGTAGATGTCCTTAATACCCTTCTGGACAAATGCATCATAGTGCTGGACATAGCCTGGCACGTGGCTGGAGCAGGGCGGGGTGAATGCGCCTGGAATTCCGATGATGAGATTTCGGCCGACAAGATCACCCAGCTTGATCGTTCCCTGTTCGGGGTTGTTCTCTTTCAACAGGATGCCAGACTTAAGGGCGGAGCTGAAACAAGAAACAAGTTACAAGAGTGGTGTCAGCATGCGCTGCGGGGGAGCGAGCAGATGGCATTCCTTCACGCACCCTTCCTTGATGTGGCCACCGCCGTGCTTGAGCTTGTGGATGAGGTCCGCCATGTTTGCTGTAGGGCGAGCACACCATCCGAGTCAGAAAATGACCATGCAGTGCTTCAGCTGCACAGTGGCAAAAGCCACAACAGAGACAGGGCAACCATGTCGCATCCAATTGTCTCCGACGAGAGCCATGCGCAGCGAAGCATCGGATCCAGGCTCCGGCTCCACATACACGAACTCCCATCCGCTTACACTTCGATCGAGCATGGCGGGTAAGCCTCACCTTGTGATGTTGTTACTGATGCTTGGAATTTGGTGTGAGGGTAGAAGAGGCGATGAAAGAGTATGTACATGGGACCCGCTCAATATATATACATGTGGGTATGGACGTCCTCTACGCGCTCCGATTCAATGCAAGAAGACGTCAAGCACGCCCTTCTTTTTCTTGCTTCGGCCGGCGCATCGAGAGCCTAAAAGAGGAGCGTGGGTCCGTAGGTACTCCGTTCTTGATAATCCAAACCAGCATTCGACTTCCGGGAAAGCAGCACTGCATCACATTGCCCTCTGGCGCTGCAGCTGGTACAGCACTCCATCGTCGGCGAACAAAGCTGAGCAGAGGCCTGTCGTCATGATCAAGATTCAATTCCAGAACCCAGAATCCAGGTTTTAGTGGCTTGCCTCTCGCCAGCATCCGAGAATCAGATGCTCCCTTCCAATTTTGGAGGTGGCCTGTGCGCGCCCCACAAACGAAACGGAGAAACGATGCACACTACTCGAGTCTGCTTCGCCTCGATCACTCGCACAGGCCGATGTTGTTTCGACGGCGGAGCGCTGCCACGAACTCGGACTGCCGCCTTTGACTGCTGCAAGCCTGGGAGAGCTATGTGCAGCCAAAGCTCAAAACCAACTGCCAGCCGCCGCCCAGCATGAAAAAATCACTTTTCATTGTGATTCGCAGAGATCCAAGTGTGGTCGAGGATGAAACGCCGCGCTCCACACCGCCCACCAATGAAAATATGAAGCGGAAGAGAAAGCAGAGAGCAAGACTGGCTGAACTCGGCAGACGTCTACGGCCTGAGCTGTTTGCCATGCGAGGTTGGGCAGGGCAGACCCAACAACATGTAATAGGCAGGGTAGACGAAGGCAAGTAGAGCAGAAATAACATCCTTGCGCGACAGAAGATAGTATCATGCGTGGCTGCAGGCATTGAAACTCGTGCAGACGATGCAAGTACAAATGACATTGCCGACTAAAACAACTGAATGCTGCGTCATGCGTGATTGGGTGTCGACTGTCAGAGAATGATTGATATACGTGTCTGTGGTGCGACGCCCTGTTCGCTAGGCTCGACCAGACAGCCAGATTTGTCCTGCATCTCTAGCTGTCCCATCCCCTCAGCGTGGCGTGCCTGTGACTAGAATCCCCCGAGTGCACCCTCGCATTCGTCAAAGCTTGCACAACGGAACGCAGACGGCTTACTCTTCTTCTTTCTTCTCTTCACCATCTCTCCGCCTATCCGTATCGCGTTGATCACGCTAGCGTCGCTGTCCTCGCAAGTGGTATGCCCGCTGCTACCGCTGCTAGCATCGCCAGCGCTCCTAGCGTTACCGCTGTCTTTCTTGCTCGGACTGCGCGTGGAGGTCGCCACCGTTTCGATCGCGCTGCGGCCGCTGGCTGGAAGGCCGTGCTTCTGCCTACCGGCGAGAACGCTCGCGAGGAAGCGACATCCGCCGCGTGATTCATCGTCCGTCGAGACCATCGGCGACGAGGAAGAGCCGCTGGGGTAGTTGCTCTCCTCTGCTAGCACGAGCCGGTCAACGAAGCGCGCAGACGCAGCCTCATTTCTCAATTCTAGCGCCATGAGCTCTGATGAGCCGTCCGTTGAAGCGGAGGAGAGCGCAATGGGTATGCTGTCAAGGTCCTCCTGGGTGATGTGCAGCTGCTTGACCATCGCCGAGTCTGCTGATATTGAGCGAGACATGCCGGCCAGGTGCGACAGCATCGAGTCCGGGCTCGTGCATCCACTGCTGCCGCTAAGCCAGCTAAGCGGCGGCGAGTCCTGGTCGCTTGTGCAGCTCATGGTTCCTGAACCGGTGCTTGTCTCCGACTCAGAGTCTCGAAACGGAGAGCTTGGCGTGGCAGTCAGCTTCAGGCGCGTGCTCTCAAGGTGCTTGAGCGTCAGCGCGGTCGCCGTCAGATCTGAGAGCGAAGTATTCTGCATCTGATACTGCATGTCTTGGCTGGCATTCGACAGTGCTTCGGTTCTCTCGGGCATTGTGGCGTCGGCAACACTTGCTTTCGACCGTGTTTGCGTCGGCGTTTCGTGGACGTCGCCGACGGAGTCAAAGCCGGTAGACTGCGATGAGTCTTCGAACTGGCGCACCTGTATGCGTAGAGTCGGTCGCGACTGTACTAGTGAAGGTGGGCGAGGAGGAGCGAACGACTGGACATGTTCAAGCTCAAAGTAGGACGGATGCATCACAAAAGCGCGTGCCACGCTTGGACTTTGCATCGGCGTTGCGTCGGCCGAGCGCAGCCTGGTGGTAGGTGAAGCCTTCGGCTTCGGCTCCTCGTCCTGCTCTTCTTCCTCCACCTGCTCGCCCTTGATGATACTGTCCGCAAGACCGCCAAAGCTTCGGAAAGAGTGGGTCGGCAGATTGGCCTGAGTGCCGTCGGCAGGCTCCCTGTAGATTTGCTCACCACGTGGCAAATTTTCTTGTGGTTTGTCGGGCTTGATAATGCTGCCAGCCATGAGCTGCGTCCATGTGCCAGAGTACTCGCTCCCAATCACCTTTGCCGCTAGACGACTCTTGATGCCGTTTTCCTCGCCCGGTGAGGCATCTGCGTCCGCTTCATCATCTCCGTCATCTCCACTTCGCGTTGCGCATCGCCGTAGACTGAGGTCCAGGGATGACCCTTTGCACTGCGTAGACTCAATCGGAGTGCGGTCGTACTGCTTGCTTGAATGAGTCAGACCAGCCTCAGGCTGGCCGTCATCGAAACGCACGTGACGCTGACATAGCGGTGTGCCCGAAAAGCATCGGAAAGAGGGTGAGGCGTCGGCAGCGGTGCTGAAATCGCTTTCATACGCAGTCATCGTGAGCGACGAAGCTCTCATGAACGGACTGTTTGGCGCGCTCCGATCAGGGCTGCTGAAAGAGTCAATGTCGCTCGAGCCAGATCCGCTGAGTTTCAAGCATGGCGCACGCGGACACTTGGACGGTCGCGCTGGTAAGACTGGCCGCAAAGGCAGCACTTGCACCTCTTCGTCCGGGTCATCGTCGACACCAACGACGGATTCAAGGTCCTCGATCGATTCTGACGAGGTACAATGCATCGTGCTCAAGTGTGAGCGATGGTGTCTCTTTCAAATGCAACCCCAGTCTCGCTACTTACCCGCCATCTTGGGATAGTCGCCAAAAAACGCGCAGAGCGAAATCTAGCAAGCGGCGGGATACGCGGTCTCGACTGAATTCTCTCGACAGCTTTTCCTAGGCAGTCGCGAGTGTTGATGGTGCAGGTTGTAATGGACGACCCTCGGTCCGTTTTCCCCGATCAACACCTTATCGGCACCATGATGCACTGCCGCCGTGTACTGTAGACTGAGACCCAGAGGGATGTGAGAGCAGACTGCAGAATGGTGGCCGAGCACGATGTGTGAGCTCCTTTGCGCTCCTGCAGGTGGCGATGAACGGTACACGACGAAAAGTGAGGAAGACGGGTGCGGCGAGTCGGTGACCGGGGGCAAGGTGGCAATTCGCAAGTGGCAACCGCTCCCTGCGAGTAAAACTCGCGAGTCACGCCCCAAAGACGCCCCAAAAAGTGCTACCACTAAGAAGGAGGAGCAGGTCGCCTGCTGGCGATGGCTGCTGCTACTTGCGCACCGCTCCTCTCTGATGTGCTTGCTGTGAGTGCTGCTAGGTGTAAACGGGATCAGAGACCTGGAAGCAATTTTCGTATCAGATAGTTCACTAGGATCCTACTCTCCCCAAAAGCCTAATGGACGAAGAGTGAAAAAGGAAAGGGCTCTCCGCGCTCAGCAGTCCACAGGCGTGAGAGGAGTGTAGACTCTATTCGCTGTTCACTGGTGCGACGGCCAGAGCCAACAGCCCACAATCGCCCGCCTTCACACTGCACACTGCACACTGACGGCACAGCCACAATCTATCAGCATTACAGGACTATGATGACGAGGCCATAACGCACCATCAAAGTGTGTGCATGACTTGGTCACAGTACGCGCAGGCGTGCGGGCGGACG